CGCGCCGCATCGCATCGTCGCTCTGAGGCGACACCAACCGTCATCATGGCCGACAATACTCCCTCAAGCAGCACCGCTGCTCCTCCCGCGGCATCAACATCGTCGCAACCCTCCTCGTCATGGTCGTCCGAATACCGCCCCAACCCAGCCTACAGCTTCCCGCCCGCCGCCCAACCCGAAATCGTCCGCGCCTACCAGAAGGACACGTACTACAAAGACCTCTTCACCTCGCAAGTCTCGGACGTCATCCGCTCGCTCTTCGGTACCCGCGTCCAGCACTCGCACACATCCTCCATCTCGCTCGTCGGCGCTTTGGGGTACTACCTGCTGTCGACATCCTCGATACCGGGCATGGGCGATGGACGCGGGGGTCAGACGTTGGGTGAGGAGTACGTCAATGCGATCCCGTCCAACGCGAAGACGGGGCGGATTGTGAGTGTGACTCGCCGACTAGGGTGGGTGTTGTTGCATGTGCTGGGACCGTACTCCCTCACGAAAGCCTATGCTGCTCTGCGTCGATGGGCGGTACGAAGCAAGGAGAGGATGGATCAAGCCGAATCGAGAGCAAGATCCCGCGCCCGTGCATTGGATAAACCCTTCGATCCAACCCCACACACCACCCGCCATCGTCGTCTGGTCAACTGGCTAGCACGCACCCTACCCGCACTGGAAAGCCTCCAATCCGCCGACGGTTGGCTCGCCTATCTTTCCGCAGCCCATCTGATGCTCTTTTATCTGGGAGGCAAGTTTTATTCGGCCGCCCAGCGTGTGGTGGGCGTGACGTATATCAGTACGTATCCGAAGCGACAGGGGTATCAACCGCCGAGCTATGAGGTGTTGGGTGTGCTGTTGGGAGTGCAGCTGGTGGTCAAGCTCATCGGTGAATTGCGGTCGAGACGATCGAAGACGGGTCAGGGGAAGGAGGAGGAGGAGATCGTCTCGGACGAGACCTCCACCGTTGTCATCGATTCAAAGGTCTTCTCTCACGCCTCACAACCACCCAAACCCCTCCCCACCTCATCTCCATCTCGGGACGAGGGAATTGTAGAGCTGCTCTACCCACACGAACCCGAAACGGACGGGGAGAAGGAAAACAACGACGTAGCAGTGGCGAAACTCAACACCTCCTCCGCAGCCAGCAACGCAACCGCCACCCTCCAATGCACCCTATGCATGGACCAGCGAACTCCCCATCGTGGGACTAGCGCTGTGACGGAATGCGGCCATTGCTTCGATTGGAGCTGCATCACCGCTTGGATCGCCGAGAAACCAGAATGCCCGTTGTGCAGACAACCGCTCCAGTTGAATCGCGTGCTACCGCTGTACAACTTTTGATCGAACCCCTCACGCAACCCGATAAGGGCGGGATTGTACTTGTATCGAATCTCACTGATCTCAAACTTGATGAGAATGAGAAAGCTGAAACAGCAGACGATTGTGCATGCGAGACGATGGCCCGCCAGACAAGTGCTGCAAACGAGCGAAGATGGGGGGAAAGAGGGAATTGATTTCCAACAAAACAGATACGCACAGGGGGGGTGGGAAGAAGTCGGGGAGGTGAGGGAGTCGGGGGATAGTAGCTACATAGATACGGAATGAGGGTTCCATGACACAAGGGGTGGGATTCGAAAACGGGAGAACCAACCAGCCGGATCCGAGCAAAGCCAATGCGGTATTGGGGTCTCTACGGACGTCCCGGAACGACGGGACGCGTGAGCCCACCAAGTTGGAGGGGAAACATCGCGCTTTGGGCAGACCAGGCTGGGTACAACAAAAAAGACCAAGGGACCAGACCGAGGAATGGGGGGATGATGTGCAACGCAAATCAAGCGTGCAGCTCTAGGAGAGAGGAGAGGGGAAACGTCGAGATGAAGGAGGTTATGCGCTCTCTTCAGCGGTGACGGCGTGGCCGGCAGACGAAGTGAGGTCGTTGGCGCCAGAGAGGTTTTCACCGGAACCCGAGGTGCCGCCCTTGGTCGAGGTGACGCAGACCAATGGGAAGGCTCCCTCGCCGCCGGCCTCGGTGCGACCCAGCGCCCAGCCGTCGTCGTACAGACGCTGCACCGTCACCACGTCATCCGGCTGGAGCGTGATCTCGTCGTTGAGCGTAGCGTTGTACGGGTAGATGGCGACAACCGTCTCGCCGGGGCAGATGTCGTGCGACGAGTACTGGTCTTTGACAGCCGGAATCGTGGTTCCTCGCCCGTCGGTGCCCGTCTCGCCGGACATGGCGCTGTTGGGACGCTCCTCAGCAGAATCACGTCCCTTGGCAGCGGCAGCAGCACCGACACCAGCAGCACCACCAGCAGCCGCGAGAGAGCCGATCGCAGCAGGACCGCCAAACTTGGCATCCGTCGAGGGACGACCGAGCTCGGGCGACTTGACCATCGCCTCCTCAGACTGGATCCAGGGGCGCTCGACGTGACTCCCGTTGTTAGCAGCAGCAGCACCGTAGACGGTGTTCTTCTCAGTATCGCCCTTGTCACCGCGTCGGCGCAGGCAGAGGAGGGCAAGGAGGGCACCGAGGATCAGAGCACCGACGATGACACCCGCGAGGATACCGGCAAGCTCGCCCGTGCTGAACACTTTGTCGTCCGCACTGACGAGCTGCTGGCCATCGGCGGCGCTGTTGGCGCCCGAGCTGCTGCCAGAGTTGTTGCCCGAGCCGCTGCCCGAGGTGTTGGAAGCACCAGCACCGCTGTTGGTTCGCGAAGAAGCACCAGCACCGGTGCCAGTAGCAGAGGCACCAGCGGTACCAGTGACGGTGGCCGAGTTCTCACCAGCGCTGCCCGAGGCAGTCTGGGTAGCGCCGGGCACGCCCGTGGCAACCGTGGTGGTCGGGGTGATGCTAGCAGCGAGAGGGTGGCCCCACTGCGCGCACTGCGAGAGGTTGGTTCGCGACTCGGTGCAGCAAGGAGGAGGAGTGACGCCGCCTGCAGGGTCGCAGAAGGCGCAAAGTTGGTCGATCGAGTAGCCGAAACCGCAGCTGCCCTCGTTCTGGATGCCCGTAGCGCACGAGTTGACGTTGGTGGTGGCGAGCGAGCTGTAGTCGGTGCAGGTGTAGTAGTCGTTGGAGAGCGTGTCGGATCGAACGCTTCGCTGGAAGGTGCTGAGCTCGTCGGTGGATCGGCAGTAGGCGGTGTTGTCCACAATGTCCTCCTCGGACGCGGCGAACTGGTTGCACGTCTCCTGGCAGACAAGCGTGGGCGGTGTCTCGGCGGTGCAGCCGGACTCGAACGACGCTTCCGAGAACTGCGAGCAGAAGACCGTCTGTTGCCATTGAACCGTGACGTTGGTCGCGAGGGTGGTGTTGCACGAGAGGCCGTTCTGGATCTTGTCCGTGTAGTAGCCGTTTTGCCTGCGGGTCGAAAGAGAAAGAGCAGAAAGAGTCAGTCAGACGGTTCGTCGAAGGAGTGGTGCGGTGCATTGCCGTTACCTACGAGGTGAGGTAGTAGTGGAAGAGGGTGTCGAAGGAAGCGACATCGGTAACCGTCTCGAAGAAGTTGAACTCGCCCGACAGGTTGCTAGGCTTGACAAAGTTGTTCTGGAACGAGGGGCACATGGAACTGCCCTGGAGACTGATACATGAGTCTGATGCCGCTTGAACAGAGGCGGAGAGCAAAAGGGCGGGCGCCGCGAGGGCTGCCGCCTTGACGGCTTGTGATGTGCGCATGGTAGCTATATGTGATACGTAGTTGGAGATGGAGATGTGGGATGAAGTGACTTGGCAGCAGAAGCGTTCAAAGTCACGGTTGGCGTCGGGTGTGTGTGATGTGCGTAAGAGGCGATGTGCGTAGAGAAGATGCTGGAATCAAAGGGAGTGTAGAGAGGTAGAGAGAGAGCAAGAAAAGACCGTTTGTTTCGAGTATCGATACAGCTGAGAGCGGTGGCTTTGCTGAAAGGAGAGTCGAAGTTGTAGGAGTGATACTGTCGATGCGATCGACAAGCCGATACGGAGAGCTGGGTTGGGGAAGGGATAGGGTGGATAGAGAGGAGAGGGAGAGGCGTTGGTGATGATGGTGGAAGGGGATCAAGATGGTGTCGAAGAGGTCCAAATCGAAAAAGGCTGACCGACGAACACGAGGGCGCGGCGATGGGGATGGGAGACGCGAGATGGTCGAACCTTGATGCGGGCGAGAGCTGTGTGACACAGGGGCGACGGTGCAGATCGCGGTGATGTGATGGGGTCGGCCAGCAGCTCGGCGGTATGGCAGGATTCGCGCTAAGTTGAGCTAGCTCGGAGGAGATGGATGGCGAGACAGGTGGGAGCTGCAGGGATCGACGAGCGGAGCGGAGAGGAGGACCAAGACGATGAGGAGGAGGACGAGGCAAGAGCGGAGGGAGGCACGAGTGATATGCAGTCTGCTCGAGTACACCGAGGGGGGGTGCCTCGAACTAGAGTACGCTGTCCATCAGCGCGCCACTATTGCAGACATGAAGAGGCAGGCTATGGCGACTGGGTAGTTTCTTTGTCGGCCATTGAATTGACAGACACACGAGGGAGCCATTGACTGATCTGCAGCCACAAGGTCGCCACAAAGGAGGAGCGGGAAGAAGGAGACCTGGCCGAGAGGCATGCATGCCGAAAAACCACAAAGCTTTGAAGCAGGGTGGGCAACCGAACCATGCAACCCTGGCTCTTTTGCCCACGCCTCCGGCTCGCTACCTCGAGGTGATTGGCAATTTGGGCTGGAAACGAGCGACAGGAACAAGGGTCGGCTGTCACCAAGCGAAGGCGACAAGTATTGATTGCTTTGCAGGCGAGGCGAGGCGAGGCGAGATGCAGACACAGCGACGCCGCTTGCTCTTGCTTTTGCTCTCCTGCCCGCTCTGAAACATGCACTCACACAGACAAACACTTTTTTTTCCCTCGCTTCTTGGCTGCGTTTGAATTTTGAGTTGCTCGCTGGTGCGCTGTCTGTTTGAATTCGAGCCCTTTTTTTGCGCTTTGTGTCTGATCTTCCCGTGGCAGAGCCGAACCTTTGTCCGCCTTCCGAGCAAAAGAGAGGCGATGGCGAGTCACGGATGGTGTCGAGGCAGCCGTTTCCAAAGCTTCTTAGCTTCAGAGGATGATGGGAATCGCTCGTCACCCAGCGAGCAGACTGCAGACAAGCTGCTGGCTCTTCGAGTTAGACTGGGAGCCAGAGACTGTCCAGGTAGCTGCGCAGCAGTCTGAGCGCATAGTATGGCTGCTAAACGACAGCGCACATGGCCGTAGTCCAGCCGGTTCTCGTCGAGTGTCGAGGTGTCGAGGTGAGTGACGAGCAACGAGAGGCAGATGGTCTCGGCGCTGCCAAGCGGCTCGGACGCGACCACTCGAACATCGCCATTTTGAGGCGGAATACCAGTCTAGTGTCCAACTCGGCGTTCGGCGTCGCCTGCATGTCGTGTCCGGAACGCATATCGAGACGCCAGTCTCGCCCCGCGTCATTCAGCCTTGACAGCCAGGTTCAGGATGGCACTTGTACCACTGGCATGCGCTCGCACTGGATCGCTGACTGCTGCGTGCTGCGTGCTGCGTGCTGCGTCGTTGTTTGACTTCGCGCGTGGTTGCTGTTCTTAAATCTCCTCTCCAAAGCGCGAAACTACGGTCGCCGTGAAGATCGTTTTGGCATGAGACAACCGAGCAGCTCTGCTGAGCGTCGTTTGACAGTCGAGCCTTTGCGCTGCGTCTGCTCGCTGCACCGACGGCACGGCTACGCAGAGCAAGAGGCCGCCGACGCCATCTAGGCTGCTCGACGCGCGTCTCGGCCTTGTTGCCAGAATGCTGCTTGCATACGGCGCGTTCAGAAGGACCCACAGATTGGACCCTTGAATGCCGTTTGCTGGCCTGCAACCGCCTCGAAACCGCGGCCCTCTCTTGCCCCCCCAGCGAGACGGTTCGCCTCAGTCATTTGAGCTCCTTCTTTGCCATGCACTTCGTCGATCCAGAAGCATGATCTGCCGTCTCGTTGTCATGCCAGAGGTGCTCTGTTCCCGAGAAGCTCCTGTCCTGATGCCTGAAATGGAAGCATCGCCATTCATTGGACATAGGTGGTGGTAAAGGTGCCAGTCGCGCATGTAGGGCGTCGAAAGTCACCAGCTCGCTCGACGAGGCAGCAGCGGGCAGCATCGCCTGTTCTTTATCATTTTGTGGCCATCTTTTTGGCTCGCCTTTTCAGTACTAATAAAAACAGACCGAGTAATGCCTGGACCTGGCGCTGTCCACCGCAGTGCGCTACCTCCCATCACTTTTGGTGGATGACCGACCGTCTAGCCTCCCAACAGCAGTACTGCGACCCTACTGAAGCCCGAGGAATACCAAGCGCCGGTCAACAGCTTGACACGGGCGCACCGCTATCCCAGGAAGTCAACGCTGCAGCCACAACGAGAGGCTGGATTTTTCATTCTAAAATGTCAGACCTCAATTCCAACATTTTGAGATTTTTTCTTCAGCTCGCGCGCCGAAGCAAGTCATCGATCACTACCTTGCCTTGACCAAGGCGACACGAGGAGCCAATTTGACCGTGCACCTGCAGGCTGGCTCTGTTCATCGTTGTCAGAACGAGACAGATCTCGGCGGCAAATGACTGCGAGATCCTTCAACTACGCTGTCAGTGACTTCCCAAAGGTATGCGCAGAGGCAGTCCAAGCGATACGGCGCGTGTCGTGTACAGTGGCTCAGCTTCAGCGACTCTCCGTGTCTTCCAAGCCAGGCAGAGACGAGGCTCGAAGCAAGCCAGGGTTTACTGCTCAGCTCTTCGCATCGCTTGACTGAGCCTTGTTTGCTTGCCCTCTGCAAAAGGCAGCCGGCTCCTCGCCTGTCCTTCTCGCACCCTTCACCAGGATACTGGCGCTGCAGCCACAAAATTGTTTTCCCTCGAATATTGCCGCTGGCGCTCTGACCACTTTCGAGCTTGCACTTCGCACCAACCAGAGAGAGAGAAGCTCGAATCTGGCTCAGTCACGCCTCTGCTCGATTTCTTCTCCCTTTGACTGCTGCGCTGCCTTCTCAGGCTTTTTCAAAAAGCGTGGTTTTCGATCGCACATCCTTGCTCTGGCTCTCGCCCTCCGCTCTGTGTCGTCTTCCAACGCTGCCTTTTGTTTTCTGATGACTTTCTGAATTGAGCTGCCCTTCTCTCTTTCTAAGTCACGCTTCCGCTCTGCATTGTCCTAAAACGGCACAGCCCACCGACTAACCTTCCACCTTGTCGTTGTCGTCGTCGTCACCATCCTCATCCGTCTTCCGCATCCCTTTCCCCACCCTTCTTTCTCCACAGGCAGCATATACCGCACCTGCTCGGGTCTCTGCTAGTTCGATTGCGCTAGTCTCGCACCACCGTATCTCCCACACAGAGGCTTTCTCGACTTCATTTCAACCTCATCGAGACGATATTCGATACCTCTTCCTCCCGCATTTTTGCGCACAGGCTTCTTCTGTTCGCACCGTCACCACCACTTCTTGGTCCTTCGCCAACGATCTCGCAGCTGCTCAGCAAATCAGGAGGTCGACGTCTCCAACCAACCCCCATACGGCAGCCAAACTCTCCCGACCAGTGGTCCGTGCAGCATTCCGACTGTCATCTGAGAGTCCGCATCCAACCGCAGATAGAGGCTCAAGCGACTCCGAGCCCGCTCCATCCCGCTCTGCCAGCTGAGCAGACATATCTTACCGCACACCCTTCATCCCGCTCACGATAGAAGGCTGAGTTCAGTCTACGACACACACCATGGACCCGCATCTCGACCCGTCGACCGCCATGGTCGATCCCAACATGGACAAAAATGCCGCCCCCATGGAGGTGGAGGAGCCCGTCTCTGTACATGACGCCAAGGCATTCGCCGAGAAGCATCTCGCCGATCTCGGCCAAGAGGAGGAAGCCTTCGCCGTCTGCACATGGAAGGTCAAGGGGTGGCGCACACTAGACAAACGACTCACCGGCCCAGAGTTCGAGTGCGGCGGTCATCGATGGCGCATCCTCCTGTTCCCCTTTGGCAATTCCAATGGCCAGCCCAACGACATGGTTTCGGTCTACCTTGACTACGCGGATCCCAAGGGCAGTCCCGAGGGCTGGCACGTCTGCGCACAGTTCGCCCTCGTCATCTCGAATCCACAGGACCCCACCATCTTCTCTACAAGTCAAGCACACCACCGCTTCACTGCAGAGGAGATGGACTGGGGCTTCACCCGCTTCAACGAGCTCCGAAAGCTCGCTGTGCCCACTGACGGCCGAAGCCGGCCCATCATCGAGAACGACTGCGCCGATGTCACTGCCTATGTGCGCGTCCTCAAGGATCCCACCGGTGTTCTTTGGCACAACTTTATCAACTACGACTCGAAGAAGGAGACCGGCTACGTGGGCCTGAAGAATCAGGGTGCCACTTGCTACATGAACTCGCTCCTCCAGTCGCTGTTCTGCACACATTACTTCCGTAAGGCCGTCTATCAAATACCCACCGAAGGCGACATCCCCTCCGAAAGCGTTGCATTGGCGTTGCAACGCGTCTTCTACCTGCTCCAAACATCAGAGCAGCCCGTCGGCACCAACGAGCTGACCAAATCGTTCGGCTGGAAATCGCTCGACAGCTTCCTCCAGCACGACGTGCAGGAGTTCAACCGTGTCCTGCAGGAGAAGCTCGAGACCAAGATGAAAGGTACCGCTGCGGATGGCGCCATCACGAGACTATTCGTCGGCAAGATGAAGTCATACCTCCGATGTGTCAACGTCGACTACGAGTCGTCGCGCTCTGAGGAGTTCTACGATATCCAGCTCAACGTCAAGGGCATGAACACCCTAGCCGACTCGTTCCGCGACTACGTGCAGACCGAAATGCTCGAAGGCGACAACAAGTACCACGCCGAGGGGTACGGTCTCCAAGATGCGAAGAAGGGTGTCATCTTCGAGAACTTCCCACCGGTGCTCCATATGCAGCTCAAGCGGTTCGAGTACGACATCGAGAAGGACTCGATGGTCAAGATCAACGACCGCCACGAGTTCCCGCTCGAGATCGATCTCGCCGACTACCTCGACAAGGAGTCACCCGTCAGCAAGGAGGACTGGAAGTACAAGCTGCACGGCGTTCTCGTCCACTCGGGCGACTTGCACGGCGGCCACTACTTTGCGCTGCTCAAGCCGGAAAAGAATAGCAATTGGTTCAAGTTCGACGACGACCGCGTCACGCCCGTGACCGAGAAGGAGGTGCTCGAGGACAACTACGGAGGCGAGATCCCCAACGGCCACCCGGCAGGGCAGATTGGCGCCCGTGCTCCCGTGCGGGCTATGAAGCGTTTCACCAACGCATACATGCTGGTGTACGTGCGCGAGCGCGATATTGACGAGGTCCTCAAGCCCATGGCACCAGAAGACACGCCAGTGCACCTGCGTCAGCGACTCGAGGACGAGCGTCTCCAGATGGAGGCACGCAAACGCGAGCGCGAGGAGCAGCACCTCTACCTCACCGTCAAGCTGATCACCGAAGACACCTTCCGCGGCCATCAAGGCTTCGATCTGGCCACCTTCGAGGAGCGCAACCTCCCTGCCACCGACCTGCCAACGTTCCGCGTGCTCAAGAACGAGTTGTATCTCAACTTCAAGTCACGCATCGCAGCGCAGTACAACCTGTCCGAGGATCAGCTCCGCATGTGGGTGCTGGTCAACCGTCAGAACAAGACGGTGCGACCCGATACCGTCGTGCCCGAGAACGACCCCAATCTCACGCTCGAGACGGTGCGCGACCGCATGGCATCGCGCCAGCACGATCTGCGCCTCTTCCTCGAGGTGGTCAACGGCGAAATTCCCAACACGGAAGCCAACCCGTCGATGATGATCTTCCTCAAATACTTCGACACGTCGAGGCAGACATTGCTGGGAGTCTCGCGCGTCTACGTCCAGCGCCACATGAAGGTGGGCGATCTGGCGCCGACCATCAACGAGCTCATGCGCTGGCCACCAGCGACGCAGGTCAAGCTCTTTGAGGAGATCAAGCCGGGCATGATCGAGCAGATGAAGCCCAAGGCCACCTTTTCGCAGAGCGAGATCCAGGACGGCGACGTGATCTGCTTCCAGATCGAGCTGTCGGAGAAGGACGCGCACGACTACGAGTCGCAGTCGCTCTACTCGAATCCGATCCAGTTCTACGACTTTTTGCAGAACCAGATCAAGGTGCTGTTCAAGCCGCGCTTCGAGGACGTCGACTACAAGGCCGAGTTCGAGCTGACGCTGAGCAAGAAGATGACGTACGACATGATGGCGGCCAAAGCGGGCGAGCGACTCAAGCACGATCCGTTCAAGCTTCGCTTCACCACGGGCAACGGGCCGAACGGAACGCCCAAGACGGTGCTCAAGCGCACGGCCAACCAGACGGTCAACGAGATTGTGTCGCCGAGCTACATCCAGGGTCAAGCGTCGTTGTTGTACTACGAGCTGCTCGATGTGAGCATCATCGAGCTCGAGACGAAGCGCAACTTGAAGATCTACTGGACGGGGGCGAACAACAAGGAGGATTCGGTGCACCAGTTCCTGCTTCCCAAGACGTCGACGATTGCGGAGGTGAACGAGCAGTTGGCGCGCCAGGTGAAGTTGACGCCGAACGGCAGCGGCAAGGTTCGACTGTTCGAGGCGATCCACAACGGGCGTCAGCAGCGCGAGTTCCTGGGCGTCGAGATGATCGGCAACATTGGCGAGTCCGCCGAGCTGTTTGCGGAAGAAGTACCGGTCGAAGAGCTCAACCTCACGGAGGACGACAAGATCATCAACGTCTTCCACTTTAGCAAGGAGCTGGCCCGGACGCACGGTGTACCATTCCGCTTCGTCGTCAAGCGCAACGAGCCCTTCCGCGAAACAAGGCGACGTCTACAGGAAAGGTTGGAGGTCCAGGAGAAGGAATTCGCCAAATTCCGTTTCGCCCTCGTCCAAAGCTCCACATACAAGCAACCCACCTACCTCGAAGACGACGATCTGCTCTACGAACACAAGTTCCAACCCGACGACGCCCTCGGATTGGACCACCTCGATAGGAGCGGCCGTGCCGCCAGATTCGGCAACGGCGCCGTCCAGGATAAGGGCATTCGCATTCGTAGTTAAGCACTCAGAGCTCTTCGGTTTCTCGTCACTTTTGCTCCCACTCATCTGCATATGCCAAGTGTTTCCGATCTCTTCGCTATTTCATCACACATGTTCCGTTTCACGAAATGCAATTCTGGTCTTCCATATTGCTGTCGTCCAATCTGCGAGAGAGAGAGTACAAGTCTCTGTTCAGGGGAAGGAGGGGAGGAGCAGGGAATGCGAGGAAGGTGAGGGCGAAAAAGAAAAATGTGTTCGTCTTTCACCGACTAGAGACGTTCTACGAGAGAGAGAGACGTCCCTTGTCGGCATGCAACGAATCCGATCGATGATTTGAGGTGTCCCGTATCCGACATCAGCATGGCAAGCAACCTAACCGCCGCCGACGCAACGAGAACCAACAACATCGTATCAATAAGAAAACAAGGCGGCTTCCAGACCAAGAGTAGTCTCGCGTCGAGTTGGCCCCTTACTCTCCTGAGAAGAACAAGGGGACGCCACCGATTGCACTCAAGCCTTCGCCTCCAAAGAGGCTGAGCATCCTCCTTGCCCCGAACGTGCGACCGAGCAAAAGCTGGCGCCGTTGACGGCCGTGCTGCCCCGGGAGTGGCACGACCAAAATGGTTTCCGCCTCCCGAGACAGCTGAACAAGATCCACTTTGGCGGCCCGATTCCATTCTCTACGCAACGTGGGACAGCTCCTCGTAGAGGCTTATCGCTCCATCCATCACAACTGCCGTCCCTTCGAGTGCGCGCAGCATCCCGATCCGCGCAGACTCTCACCAGATCCAAAGCGGGTCTGGGGTGCCCGGGCGCAGAACATGTACCATACCGACGCAGCTGACCTAGAGGCCGTCTACCCTCTTCCTTGCCCGGCCCATTTTTGGGTGGAGGGTGGTGTCTTGGGGTTGCTTTGCTCTAGCGCCGGCAGCCGGCATAGCGGGGCGAGACATGTCCGCGGGGCCTTTGTCGTACGTGAAACGGGGCTGCAGAGGTGACATAATGCCACCCAAACGCACTGTCGGAGGAGGGAGAGAAGGCCAGGAATCTAAAAGAGCGAGCGCTGAGATCCACGAGGCTTGACGAGAGTATCATTTCTGGTGTGGGCACTTTATGTCGTGAGCAACGAAGTGCTTCGACAGCCAGCACTTTTGAGCTTGAACTCGCCCAGCTAGAGCAGAGGTTACAAGAAGACGCCCGCGACAACATCGGCCACCGACCTAGCCTAGGGCCAAGTAGACAGCACAAGGATCGTCGCGGTCCTTCCCGAGATCTTGACCGACCTCAGTCCTGATGGGCTGAAAAGACAGGAGGAGTACGCGGACCTTCCCACTCGCATGGGCCCGCCCAAGAGCGAGCCAGATTGAAGGCATGCCAAACAAGACATGCCGGCGAGTAACGGTGGCCTTTGGACTGGAAGCCGCTCTTGATTCGTGACTGACGATCTGTTGTTGGGGTTCTCGTAATGTCGACGGTGGTGTAGAGGAAGCATGGTATCAAAATCAGCGAAACTTACCAAAATGTGAGGGGAACGTATGGTGAGCGACGAGACCATGACAACATCTGTGGACTACGCAGACAGACCAGAGACATGCTGCTGGATGACTTTGCTCTGCGAATCTCGCTTGTGTTTCCTCTTCGGCGCCATCGATACGCTCGATCAGACAAGCACATCTTTCCACGATGGCATGTCATGATCGCGTCCGGCTTGGATCGAGGAGGCACCGTCCGGAGACGATGGCAAGACTGCCCTTGCAGAGGCGTAGAGCGTTGTCCCAGCTAGGACGCTGCGGTCTGTTCTACAGAGCAGATGGCACCATCGTCTCGATCGCATCGCCATAGCTTGAAAAGGAGGGAGAAGGGTGATAAGAGGGGAAGAAGAGAAAGAAAGCCCACATGTGCGTGTCAAGAAAGGGCTGAGTTGTGACTTGTCAAAAAAGTGATTTCTTCCAGCTCACGTCGGTCAAAAAGTGTGACACAAGAGAGTGAGAAAGCCCGATCACGAAATTCCAAGATGTGAGATCGTGAAAGAGCGCTGAAGGTGCCGCGAGCACCCTTCGGCTTTCGGGACGCCTCGGATGGCCGACTTACGTGAAGACCTGACTACGTTTCGGCTGAGCGATGCCATGTACCTGTGCGCTCGTTGTGTTGGCCTTCGACCTCTTCCCATGATCAAGTGACAGCTAGTATCGTATCGAGCGCTCCGTGCCATTCGAGGCACAGCGTTAAACCTCGCCGGACCGTTGAAGGTTTCTTCTTGAGCCGCCAACTTTTTTGGCTTGTGATTTAGGGTTTTGATTTTTCGCAGATTTTGCCTTGGAGCGCAGTCAAACACCGGCAAAGAGATCCGCCTGGCAGCAGGCGGCAAGTGTTGGTCCATGTTTTAGCTGATCATTCAGACACGACACGGACACCATCACTTCTCACGGACTTCTTCTTCATCGGCCCGTCCCATCATCCTCTTCTTGCACGTCGACGACTGAACCGAGACCTCAGTCCATTTGCGTAGCTTGTCACCGTTCAAAAGGACTTGGACATTCTCAGCGATCATCGACTTTAAGGCCTCTCTTGCACGGGACCCGACTCATCCCTTTTCTTCAACACAGCGACAAAGCAATCTGGCGCAACCAACCTTTTTCGTGCGGCGGCTTTGCTGAGAACGACACTGCAGTAATCTCTCAGAAAGGCCACAGCCGCTGCCGGAGCGTGCTAGAGCCCTACCCGACATGATGCGCAAAGACGTTCGCATTGTCCTGGCCGGCGACCCCGACGTTGGCAAGTCGACCCTTATCACTTCACTCGTCAAGGAAGCCTACGTCGCAAAGGTGCAAAAGGTGGTGCCGCCCATCACATTACCGCCTGAGGTCGCACCAGAAGCTGTCGTCACCAAGATTGTCGACACGAGCTCGAGTCCAGAGCACCGCGCCAATCTCGAAGCCGAACTTCGTCGAGCCAACGTCATCTGCATCGTCTACTCCATCTCAGCACCCTCCTCGTTCGATCGTATACCCACCTACTGGCTCCCCTACATCCGCTCATTAGGCGTCAATGTCCCCGTCATCCTCGTCGGCAACAAGATTGACCTGCGTTCGGGCGACGTCACCAATGCTGCGCTTGAAGATGAGCTGGCTCCCGTCATGGCCGAGTTCAAGGAGGTCGAGACGTGCGTAGAATGCTCCGCTCGCATCCCGCTCAACGTCAGCGAAGTGTTCTACTTTGCTCAGAAGGCCGTTCTGTACCCAACCGCACCCCTCTACGACAGTCGCGAACACGTCCTCAAACCTGCTTGCGTCGACGCGTTGAAGCGTATCTTTCGTCTCTGCGACTCGGATAAGGACGGCTTGCTTAGTGACGCCGAGCTCAACGACTTTCAACGCAACTGCTTCGACACGCCGTTGCAAGCACAGGAACTCGAGGGCATCAAGGATCTGGTCGTTCAGGCACCCGTGGCAGGCTTGCGGTACAACCACGAGAACGGCAGCATGGCTGCCTCGAGCTCGAGCGCCAACGGCGACATTCCCGCGAATCATCCACACTTGCGTGAGGGCGGCCTGACCATGGCCGGCTTCCTCTATCTCCATACCCTCTTCATTCAACGCGGACGACTCGAAACAACTTGGACCGTCTTGCGCACCTTTGGATACGGCGCCGACCTCAGCCTCGAAGACGCGTTCGTCAAGCCGGCTTTCCCGGTACCACCAGAATGCTCGGTCGAGCTCTCACCCAACGGGTACCAGTTCCTGACAGACATTTTTGAGGTGCACGACAAGGATCGAGATGGCGCGCTCAGCGAAGAGGAGCTCGACAGTCTCTTCATCACGGCACCAGACAATCGACACCCTTGGCAGGGCACCGGATTCCCTACTTCGACCATCACTGACGAGCACGGCGCTGTCACGCTGCAAGGCTGGCTCGCGCAGTGGAGCATGACCACTTTGCTCGATCACCGAACCACACTTGCGTACCTGGCGTACTTGGGCTATCCCTCTTTCCCATTGGCAGGCTCCTCTGGCAGCTCATCCAACAACGCGCCAATACCGCTCACCCCTTCTGGACCACCTGGCTCGAGACCATCACGGAATCGCACACCATGTCCGCGACCTACGACTCCAGCGTTGAAGCTGACACGGCCGCGCAAGACGGACAAGAAGAAAAAGGGAGCGATACAAAGAAGCGTGTTCCTGGGTTTCGTGCTCGGCGCAGCAGGCAGCGGTAAGACAGCCATCCTTCGCAATATGGTGGGCAAGCGCTTTGCCAACAATTACGAGCCAACGCAAAAGATGATGAGTGTCGTCAGCACCGTCGAGCAAGCAGGCGCCGAGCGCTATCTCGTTCTGCAAGAGTTTGGATCGCGTTACGAGGCCGAGGTGCTCCGCAACACGGCCAAGCTTTCAGCCGCCGATGTCATCGTGTTTGTCTACGATTCGAGCGACACCAACTCGTTTAGCTACATCTCGAATCTGCGGCAGCAATACCCGCTCTTGCAGTCGATGCCCTCGTTGTTCGTGGCAACCAAAGCGGATCTGGATCTGGCACAGCAGCGACACGAGGTGCAACCCGATTCGTACTGCCGCAAGCTCGGGCTCAAGATTCCAGGGCTGGGAGCAGGTCCCCTCAACATCAGCATCCGTGACGGACAGGTAGCGGATCTGTACGGTCTCATCTGTGCCATCGCTGTCGATCCCAAGGGCGCGGTGCAGGGCGGCAACGATCGCAATGCCCTCAGCTTTGGCACCAACCGCTGGCAGTTCTGGGGCTACATTGGTCTGATGGTGGTGGGCGGTGGAGGAGCCGTCTGGATCTGCGCAAGGGTGCTCAAGGTACCGATTGGAAGCACGCTTGGCTTTGGAAACAACGGCTTGTCGTCAGGCTGGTGGTCCTCAAGAGCTGATGCTCGTGGTGCGGGCGCTGCCGATGCTACCAAGATCTCGGGATGGTTCGACTGGATCCGCTGGCAGGGATCGTCGTCCTCCGCTCCCGTCCGCACTGAGCTCTGATGCGCCGGACAGCCACGTCCTACCTGCGTTGGACACGCCTCTCCTTGACTGCCAAGGGTCTTGCACTATAGAAACCATCACCTCTTCGCCGTCAATGCCATATCTTTTGGCTTATCGTTTCCTTTCGACGTCTGAGACGGACTTCCCTACTCATCTCTGGACCTGAGTAGCTGTCCATTGTATGCATTTGACGGGCCGGAGGCAAACATCGTTGGCCTGCGAGTGGAAGGCAGCAAGCAGCATGAAGCATCGTGGGTGCTCAGAAGCGAGTGCTCACCAGAGGACACAATTTCAAATCTCGAGGAAAGGATCGAATAGAGAGCTTAAGGTGCCTTGTATTTCAAATCGAGCGAGCCAACGAGAAGCAATACAAAAAGCTTCCAATTTTCCCGCTCTCACAGTCTGTCCTTGCTCGACTCGCTCGACCTTGGCTAGAGGCTGGCTGCGGGATGCTGCTGCTGCTGCTGCTAAGAATAAAATGCATTTCTTCCTTCTGTGTGCCTTGAGAGGGTGAGAGGCTGAGCCTGTGTGTGTGCGTGACTTCTCCACGCCAGGGAGATCGCTTCGGCTTTCCACCTCTCCGCTTCTCTTCTTCTTCTTCCACACCCTTTCGTCCTCCTCATCTCCCAGGGGTCGGATTCATTGTCAGATCTTTGGTGGTTGTCGTATCGTCAAGATCGCCGTGCTCGCCGACAGCTCCGCCCTTCCCCGACGAACCTCACCGGCGGGACTTCTTCTCGTCCCTCAGCTGGCACGGTCATTGTCTCCTAGAGCTGGTGCATCGAGTTCTTCAGTGATCTGTTGTATCCACTCTCCTTCACGAGCCATCTCTGCAAGCTGCGCGCGAGCTCAAATCCGCTACGTCTCGCAGCCAGACTCCCCTTTTTTTGCGCACAGTGCCCCTGCGCTCGTTACCAAGGTAGTCGGCCAGACAAGCTTTCTGCTGCACTTTTCGCACACCATCTCACAGCGCACGTCCGAGCCCATGCATCTATAGGGCTCTCTTCCGCACCTCTTCAGCCTGACACTGGCTTGCTTCTACAACGAGACGCATCAACGCGTTTCCTTTCCGCATCGGCTCACCGAAAGCGGAGCAAGATTCATCGCTCAGCAGCATGGCGTCCAACGGCAGTAACAGGGGCGGTGGTGGTGGTGGTGGGCGAGGCGCGTCCAACTCGGGCTTCCGCGGCAATCATGCTGGAGGTCGCGGCGGCGGAACAGCGGCCAACAGGGGCGGCGCTGGCGCTCCTCCGCAGGCATCCAGATGGGGAAATGGACCTCCCTCTGCCAACCACAATAGCGCATCTACCAACAACTCGGCTTCTCACGGTCAGCAGAACCATGCCAAGGGCAACAATCAGCGCAACGCTACTCCCAATGCCAACAAGGTCAGCACCGCCAACAGCACCGCCGCACCAACCCCCGCGTTCCCGTCCCTGGGTGTGTCGTCGACTCAGGACGACTCGCAGAAGCTTATGCACGACCGCATCACGTTCTTGCTCGTGACGCTCGTCGGCAATCCGGTCACCGTCACCGTCAAGAATGGATACAAGTTCTTCGGCATCTTCTCGGCTGCCAACACTGAAGGCGGAGAGCTATCAGTCGCTCTCGCATCGGCGCAGCAGATCCTTCCCGCCAAGGACAAGGACGCCCAGCCTGAGCTCGGCGAATTCAAGGCGACCCTGCTGATCAACTACAAGGACCTCGAGACCATTGAAGCCGCCGAGGTCAGGATGCAGGAGCAGGCCAAGGAGATGCGCGAGGCACGCGAAAAGGAAGCCTTCCGCACCGACACAGAGATCTCCAGACCTTTCGATCCTCTCGCCAGCGGTCGAACGCTCCAGAAATGGGCTGACGACCCTGATCTTGACGATCTGGACAACCTCAGCAGCAACAAGCTGCCAGCCTGGGCATCGCCCAACGACGCTGGCGCTGGTTTGGAAGACACGTCCAACTCGAATGCGGGCAAGGCGTGGGACCAATTTGCTGCCAATGAGGCGCGCTTCGGCATCAAGTCCAATTACGAAGAGAACCTCTACACCACCAAGCTTGATCGCAGCGGCAAGGACTTCCGCAACCGTGAGCGAGAAGCCGATCGTATTGCCCGCGAGATCATGGGTCAGGCCACCAACAACCCGCACTTGGCTGAGGAGCGAGGTCAGGCCGACGACTCGGGCGTAAACGAGGAAGACAAGTACGGTGCTGTCGTTCGCAGTCCCAACGCGTACGTGCCGCCGGCGCTTCGCAAGCAGATGGCTGCCGCTGGTGGTGCTGCTGGTGGCAGCGGCGGCAAGAAGGTTCCCGCACCAACGACAGCCTCTCCCGCACCGTCGCAGGCGCCAGCTACCCCCAAGGCAAACGGCGCTGCACGTCTCACTGCTGCATTAAACGCGAATGCCTCCGCTGCTGCTCCCCCCGCCTCGACCGAAACGACCACCGCCGCGCCCTTGTCCGTCGCCGCCAACCCTCCCGTCGTCCATGTCAAGGTGCCGAGCCCCAGCGTCCCGCAAGAAGCACAAATCACCGACGCTTCTGGCAAGAAGTCCTCGGTCGACGCTGCCAACCCGCTCATGGGCGATTTCCGCTCCTTTGTCAGCTCGGAACGCGAGCGTCTCGAGAAGAAGAAGGCTGCTCTCGCCAAGAAGGAGAAGGATACGCGCCTCGCCGATCTCAAGTCATGGGCCAGCACCTTTAAGCTCACCACGCCCGTGCCCTCGGACGTCGCGGGCATGGTGCAGAAGGACAAGGATGACGGCGCGTCCGACAAGCCTCGCGATCCAAGTCTGCAAAAGAGTCTCAGCCCCACGCCCGCTCACTCGACAGCAACGCCCACGTCCAAAGGGGACGTCAGCAGGTCGTCGGCCGTCTCGCGTGCTGCTCAGGCATCTGCATCCAACGTGGTCAGCCCATCGGGTGGTTCGGGATCCGCGCAGGTCAACAGCGACGCTCAGAAGCTCGCCGACAGCAAAGCCATGCTGCAAAAGATGACCATTCCCAAGATTCCGCCGTTCAATCCGGACAAGTTCAAGGCACGACAGGCAGCAGCAGTGGCTGGTCCCACCACCGATACAGCTTCGGGTGCGCCAGCGACCAAGACAGAAGGCGGCATGCCGTCCTCTGTGAGCACGTCTAGCTTCAAGCTGAGCGCCAAGGCGAGCAGCTTCAAGCCGTTCAACCCGAACGCGGCCAGCTTCACTCCAGGGGGCGCATCCAGCACCTTTACACCCGCATCCGCTGCCGCTGGAGCTCCTGCTGGTTCGGCTGCAGGTGCCGCCGCTGTCAGCCCCGCGCAGACCACTGCTGCTGCTGTGCCATCCACCTCGGCCCGTCCTTCGCTGACCTCGACGCCGCAGGCAGCTTCGACCTCGGCAGCTGCGTCTGCCAATCCGTTCTTTGGCAATCGCGTCATCAAAAAGTCGGACAACGTCCACATCCGGGAGGACTTTAACCCATTCAAGGTCAGCAAGGTGCCCGATGCCAAGTCGGTCGGACCCATGTGGGCTTTCAGTGGCAAGCCGTACCGCCAGCACTTTGTCGCTCCCCCGGCAGGTGGCGCTATGGACGACGGCACCGGCTTGTTCGTCCCTGCCCACGCCGGCGTGATGCAGCCTGGCATGCATCCTGGAGCGCAGACCCCGCAGCCGGTGCCTCAGCCTCTTCACCCTGGCCAGATGCCCATGTCAGCACCGCAAGGCGGAATGGTGGGGGCTCCCGGACCTGGACCCGCTGGCCCTGGTCCGCAGCAACAGCCCTTTGGCATGGTGTATCAGCCGTACGGTGGCGGCCCGTATCAATACCCCGGCGGTCAGCCTCAGCAAGGCGGCATGCCACACGGACGCCAGCCGAGCATGGTGCAAGCGATGCCGATGGCACCCTCGATGCAGGGCGGTCCCGTCCCCTATGGCGCCATGCCTCAGCAGTTCATGGGTCAGATGCCCTTCTCGCCGCCCATGCACCAGCACGGCGCACCGCAAAACATGTACAGCCCGCAGATGGGCAACGTACCTCCCTCGGCGGGGCAGCAGCAGTTCATGCCCATGCCTCCTCCGCCCGGTGCAGCGGGCGCTGGTCCTCGACCGCCGCCGCCGCACTTGCAGCAAAAGGGACCCCCACCGCCGCAGGCGGGACAGCCACCTCACATGGGCTACTACCCCGGCCCAGGGATGCAGTTCGCCGGCGGCCCGGGTCCTCACTTCGGCGGCCCACAGGGACCACCCAGACAGGGAGCACCAGCCGAGTCGGGCCCTGCATCCAGCGCTGCTTCCTCCACAGCTTGATTGCCACCCGTTCACACAGAGCACGCAGGCAATTTTTCACACCTTTCACACATTGCACAGTTGAGCGAATGACTGCATTTGATCATGAGAGGAAGCCGATCTCCTTCCACCGCGCTACGGTCTTTTGAATGAGCTGCTGGGTCACGCCTGTCTTCTGCCAGGTGCGGAAGTTTGCGCTGGCATCGAGGGCTTTATTGCAGTCGAACTTGGTCGGATCCGTTGGTGGGGAGGTGAAGTTCTTCTGCCAGAGAGAGAGAAGGCCTCGATGGTCTGCGTCGGATTCCGCGACGCGGTCCAACCATTCTTGTGGGGAAATGAGGGAGAGGTTCAACTCGGAGGCTTGGAGCCACTCGTGGAGTTCTTCCCAGGACGGTGCGGGATCTGAGCCAGTCGTTGGCTGAGCGACATGGAACACGCCGTCCTTCTGAGCAGAAGAGATATCCAGCAGGCTTTTCGCCGCAACGTCCGTGCTGATCCAATCCAACCGCTCCTGGAGCCGCGGAAAGACCCCCAATCGACAACTGATGGCGATGAGCAACGGCCACGCTTCGCTTTCGTTCCACACCCCCTTTTGCGTGTCTGCGCACAGCTGACCGATTCGCACGATGCGACTGCCACCCTCGGGAAAGCGTCGGGAGACAACCTGCTCGGCAACCCACTTGGACCGCGCATATCCCATCGGCACCGCATCGCTTGGGTCCGTCGAGGCCTTTTCGTGCAAGACGGAGCCAGGAGGGCATGCTAGGACGGACGCTACGGAGGAGGCGAATGTGAAGCACCCGTTCTCGCCCGCCAGCGACTGGTGGAGGGCAATGAGGTGAGAGAGGCCCGCGATGTTCTCGGCTTCAAAGCTGCTGAGCGAGGCGACGAAGTTGACCGACCACGCGGCGTGGATTGTTAAGACGCGCGCATAGGATAGGGTGAGGGGAGGGAGGCCGCAGGAGGGGAGCGAGAGGTCGGCGGCGAGGACGAGCACCTGGCTGCTCTCAGCAGATACGGCGGAGTGGGCGGCGTCCAGATGGCGCGAGGAGAGGGCGTCCAGGAGCCGCATTCGGGCGTGTTTGGGGGACGACGCGCGGATGAGACACGCGATCGTATCCTCGGGCTCGAGGGTGGCAGTCACTTGCGCGAGGACTTGGGCACCCAACCCACCAGTCACACCGGTTAGGAGGAAGAGCGTGCCCTTCCCGTTACCCGCTCCTGCTTTTCGCTCCACGTCAAGATCCGGAGGAGAGGAAGAATACTTCTCCACCAGCTCGCGCATGAGCCTCACCTCCCGCTCCTGACGCTCCTCCACCCCGTTCACCCCACCACTTCCGGATCGAACGTCCTCGATGTGCTGCGCGAGCAACCGCAACGTGGGGAACTCGTAGACTGCATTGCGGTCCAACAGCTTTCCACCGAGCTCGACGTTCTGGTGCACCGCAGCGCGAATTCGGGCTGACTGGATCGAGTCGACCCCCGCCACAAAGAGGTCTGTGTCTGGCGCGACGCTTCGACCGTTGATGCTCGCGACAGTGTGCTGGAGCCATTGGACGAGCTCTTCGCCGCTCAGCTCTTCTTTAGCCGTTGAAGAGGAGTGGAGTCGCAACGAACGGCCTTCTTCAAAATCGAGGTAGACACTGTCGATGAGGTCGGCGTAGTGCTGATACGCGCGCCCTCGCTGGAGAGTCCCCTTGCTCGCCCTGGGTATGTTAGCCGCTTCAGAGGGTGGGAGGAGGCACACCATCTCGGTCGCAAGCTGCGCATGCGGCGGACTGGCGTCGTTGATCTCCTTCAACACCGGCTGCAGCATTTGCAGCAGCTTGACTTTGATCTCGTCATTCCAGGCTCCCGGGGCTGCGTCGGGTGTGACGAACACGAGCGCACCAATGATGGCTCTGTTGGCGCCAAACGCAATGGCTTCCGTCACGAGCGACGACTCTTTGAGCCGCCTTTCGGCTATCGGTGCCGACGCCTTCTTGCCGCTCACCAGCACGATGGTATCATCCGCGCGCGAGTCGTATTTCCATGTATTCTCCAGCTCTGGATGCTTCGTATAGAGATCCGACGTTGCATACGCACCGTCCTCTCGATTCGAGACAAGCTTCGTGGGCCAGTCTTTGGCGACGACCAGCTCGAATAGGGCCCCTTCAAACGGTTCGAATCGGATCATCGATCGTCCGAGCTCGTCGGGTATGCGGAGGAAGTTCCATTCGAGATCGTGGAAGGAGCGCCAGGAAGACATGAGGAATCCACACTCGGAGCTGCCGAGTCGGCTGACGAGTTTGATTCCCGCGTGAACCATCGCGTCGCCCAAGGGTTGAGGCAAGGGCGCACCACCGGTGCTCACCAACTCCATTCCGGAAAGCATCTCGCGCGCCTGGGCGGACCTGTCGTTGAAAAGCAGATCGAGGATGTACGGTACGGACAGGAAGTACGATACTGGCTTGGGGCATGCGGCGATCGCAGAGCAGATGGCTGCCGCAGACAGCGCACCGGGATCCGCCGTCGGGTGGAAGAATATCGACGACCCTGCCTGGATCGAGCGCAGAAGATCCGACATCCCCCCATGGAACAGGGGCGTCGTTGTGAATGCAGAGAGCGAGGATCCGGGAGCGGTGACCATCGATGCGGTCCAAAAGCGATGTAGCTGGTAGATGGGTTTTGGCAGTCCGGAAGAGCCCGATGTATGCATTGTTACTAGCACGTCTTCCCCCGTCGCACTCCCTGACTTGGGATCCACTTTGCGATCGATGAAGGCTTGAATGTCGGGGAGCATCTCGCACACCCTCCCTCCCGCATCGAGCGCGTCGATGGCAGATTGTGCAGCGGAAGCCTGTGACGCATGTGCAAGAATCGTATCCGTCTCTGTGAGCCGGAGGAGGTTGGCGATGCTTTCGGCGGTCGACCCGGGCGCGATACACAACACGCCATATCCAAGCCGCCACAACGCCACGATGTGTGCGAACAGCTCCAGGCCCGATGACGAGAGCACCGCGACTAGGGGCGTGCCGTTCGGACTCTTGCCATTCGCCTGCCTGCTAGGGAGACGGTCCTCCAGCGCCCCGGCGAGGTTGTGCGCCAGCGAGGCGATCTGCGAGTAGGTAAGGGTGTGGCAGCCCCACGATCCCGAGCTGAGATGGGTGAAGCCTACCGCGAGGACATCCGGCATGTGGCGCGCGCGAGCGTCGAGCATGGCGTTGACCGACTCATGCTGTGCTGGTTCCGGCGCCGGCGGTGGGGGCAGCGAGAGGGCTTGCGAGATCGTCAGGGTCAGATAGGGCGGGTTGTCGGGCGATATTGATTCCGCCATCGTAGTCGCAGTTCTCTCAAGGAGGTGGTGGATGTTTCAAGGAGAAGCAGCTCTCAACCGTTCATTTGAGAAGATCTGCCATGTCAAGAGAGCCAGCCATGTTGGACCCTGAGCAAGGGTTTGCTCAGCAGCTGCAGCTGGGAGGATCGCGCTTGCAGCATGCATAAACTGACAAGCAGGTGGAGGATCATCCTTCCAAAAATCGCCGTGCACGGCCCGTAGAAGATCAATTCTTCACGAAGATGTCTCGATCTGACACTTTGAAGCTCAGCAATGGCCTTTCGACAGGATGATGATGACAACACTCGCCCTTGAAGCTGCATCTCGACCAACGAACGCCAGGTTGTGCATGCTACGTGTTGCAGTAGTGCGGGGAAGTATTTACAGGATGGAGGAGGGAGCTGAGCTGCCTCGGGGTGGGGGATGACCGAAGCGGAGAAACGAGTCTGACAGCAGCCAGGACAAGTAGCCGCGCTTGAGCGCAGAAGCCTGGATTGAGGCTTGGTCATGGTGGGAGATGCTAGCATTGGGAATGCTTTACTTGCGGCCCTTGCCTCGCTTCTTGGGCGACGAAGGCTCGTCGTCACCGCTGCTGAGGGCGCCGGCCGACTTGCCCTTGCTTTTGCGTGCTCGGAGGTGGTGCTCGGGCTGAGTGGTGCAACGGAACGGTCGGAAAGTGGGAGAACAGAGAGGTCAGTATCTGCGCATGTCAAAACAGTTCCATGACCCATGTACCAGTGTGTGGCAATACTTACGATCCACTCATCCTGCACGCCAGTCTGCTTTTCAACAACGGGCTTCTCGAACTTCTTGGGACCACCAGTAGCCGAAGTCTCCTCCTTGACAATGTAGGTGGCGTAGACGAAGTAGCCCGCACCAGCGAGAGCAGCGAGACCGATGATGTAGACCGAGATGAGCTGGAGGTCGAACCAGCTCTTAGCAGGCTCAATGACCTTGACGGTGCCGCGGTAGGCGTGGATGCGGTGCTTCTTACCGGTCTGCTCGTCGTTGACCAGCAGGCTGAACTCGACGGGAAGATCCTGAGGCTTGAATTCGGGGACAAAGTCGAAGGGGATTTGAACGGGACGACCGCCGACGGAGCGGAGGGGACGCGACTTGAAGGTGGTGGTGGTCATGTTGCGAAGCACGCGGCCCTTCTGGCCATCTTCCTTCTTGGGGTTGAGGAAGGCGCCCGTGACGGACTGGAGCGTCAGCAGACGGTCCTCCTTAGGAGGGTTGGTGATCGAGAAGACGACGGTATTGGCCTGACCATTCTTGACGACTGCGCGATACAGATTCATAGAAAGGATCAGCAAGGGCGCTCGATCATAGCAGGACATCGAGAGCGAAACCTACTAGAGAACGGGTTGTTGGGGAAAGTGGTGACGATGCCGAGCTCCGGAGTGTCATGCGCCTGTGCCGCAACGAGGGCAGCGGGAACCAGGGCGAGCAGAGCCGTAGCAGCCAAAGAGAAGAACCGCATATCTGTGGGAGCGGCAGAGTGCAGAGGAAAGAGTGCGGCAAGATGGTGCGTGTCAGCAAGCGATTCTTTCAGAAGGTAGTGCCAACTGACCGCAAAGGCGATCAATTTCACGCAGCAAGTGGCTTGTACATACTATCAAAGACCGAAGAACCGAACGGAGATAGAGTGCAGAGATAAACCGGAGGAAAGTGATGGTGGATGAGCAACAAGAAGTGTCGTCAAGGATGTGCAAGACGAGTTGTTGGCCGGTGTCTGTTTCCCCAGGTCCAACCGGCTGCAGATCTTCCTAATTGGGCGGTGTGTGAACCGTGCTCTCTCTCTGTGTCTACAGAAGCGAAAAGAATTAGAGCTGGAGAAGGCAGCGCTAGTGTGGCTCTGATTGGACGCGTCCCAAGTTCGAGACAGGCAGCACCTTCTACCAACGTTGATGACAAGCTTCCTGAATCAGCGCCTTCGCTTTCAGGGTTCCAGACGCAGCAGATGAGGTCCGTCTTCATGCCACAGGCACGAGGTAGTGATCTTGCGGAAAGACGGCTCAGTCAAGGTGTTGGATTCTATGGAGCTACAATCGGCGATCGAGGTAATCCCGATCTGATAGCTGTCTACGGTCATCTGCGGCGTAAATTGGCCTGAGCGAGCTTGATTGGCACCGATCCAGCCGTTCAAGCCGCTTTTTCGGTTGAAAGGCGCGCCGCCCTTCTCCACAACCGGCTTCTGTGTTTCAACATCGAGAGTGAGCGAAGACCTGCCCCGCACGGCCTTGATTGACATTGTGCATATCTTCGTCGCTCACCACCACCACCACCATCCTGTCACCATACTTTGTCTCGACTAGACACTCGATAGACACGACTGAAAGCGTAAGCATGATTCCCCTTTGCAAATCGAGTCAGCAATCCAGCACGGATCAACTGACAATCTCGTTGAGATCACTCTACTTCTCCTCCTCTTCTCCTGCTCCTCGATTACACTCTCGATGCCCTCTGACTCGCGACGTACGAAAACTTCCCCTCGCATGATCACTTGACTTACATGCGTCTCGCCATCACCACACGCTGGTTATTCACATGCCTCGGACGCCCGCTGGGACGATGGAACATGAACCGTCGGCCATCTTTATCCATCTATCCGCCGCTGCTCATGTCAACTCTTCCCGACTCGTACTACTGCGTCATGCATGCGACTGCTCATGGCCACCGGCACACTATGCACGGGGACCGCTCGGCTTCGTCGAATCTCTTCTCGCCGACTCTACCTTCCACTCAACCTGCTCGAACTTTTCTCTGCTTGGCTATCCGCATGCCCATTTTGACGACTTCGCTCCCTACGACGCTTTCGTTGCCGTTGCGTTGTCTTCTGGACCTCTGGGTTGGATGGGCTGCGATGCGGAATGCTCGATGATTCCTGGGCTTTGCTGTTCAAATCGGCGATCCGATCGCTGATCCGACAATGGCGGCGCGCGCACATCGCCCCGACGCTGGAATTCTGCCGCCTGGGTCGCCGGCCGTGTCTGCTTGCGCCATCACTTTCCCCGACGGCGACGCTCGCTTGCTGTTTTGACACCGCTTGCCGACCCTGTTTCGCGCCGACATTTCTCCACTCGCTTCGTGCTACTCTTGACTCATCTTGTGGCCATGTCTGACGTCTTCTACCTCACCCTCGCGGTCCGATCTGGCTATGGCTCTGGCTGCACTCGGTCTCACCGCAACCAACACGGCCAATTACGCCGCGACTGACTGGGATTTTTGGCTAAAATTCCCATTTCGGATGTGCTCGGTCGATGGGCCGTCAAATTGGCTGTGGCTTTGGCTGGCTGGCTGGCCTTGGCTGCATTGCGCCTTTTGTTGTTTGACGCTCCGCCCATTTGCGTCTGTTGGTCTCTCTCCCCGCACATTGCTGCTTCCCATTGGCCTGACTTGACTCGATTCCTTCCCCTTTGCTGTCAAACCCTCGCTTCTTCTCGACCTCTGCTTCTGTCGACTTCGCTCCGCCTCGCCTGCTGTTGTTCTACTCATCCATTGCTCCTTGCCCATCATCTTCGACGCCACCACCACCACCACCACCACCACCACCATCCGACAATCCTTTCGACCGCTTCTGCTTCGTGACGATGTCCGTCCGCCGCCAATCCCTCTCTGGTCCCATGGCCGTCGATCATATCGACCGCGTCGACTCACGGCAACCTTCCACCTCCTCAACGGCCTCCACTTCACGCGACGCAACCACAGCGGCACGTCATCGGATCCAGCAAGTTACCCACCACATCTCCAACAAGCTCCCTTCCACACTACGAGGTACCATGTCCACACAAGAATTCAAACAGGCTCCGCACAAGCTGCTCGTCATTCCAGGACCCATCGAGGTCGCTGATGATGTGCTCTTGGCCAATGCTCACCCTGCCATGTCGCACGTCTCGCCCGAGTTCATCCCCGTCTTTGGCGACTGCATTCGCATGCTCCGCGAGGTGCTCTTTGCGCCCAACTCGCAGCCCGTCTTGACCGCCGGCTCCGGTACGCTCGGATGGGACCACGTCGCCGCCAACGTCGTCCAGCCCGGCGAGGACGTGCTCGTGCTCAACTCGGGCTACTTCGGTGACAGCTTCGCCGACTGCTTCGAGACCTACGGCGCCAAGGTCGACCAAATCAAGGCGCCCATCGGCTCCAAGCCCTCGCTTTCCGAGGTTGAGGAGGCGCTCAACAAGAAGAAGTACAAGGTCGTCACCTTCACCCACGTCGACACCTCCACCGGCGTTCTCAGCGATGCCAAGGGTCTCGGTGAGCTCGTCAAGCGTGTCAGCCCCGAGTCCATCTTGGTGCTCGACGGTGTCTGCAGTGTCGGCAGTGAGGAGATCCGCATGGAGGAGTGGGGCATCGACATTGTGCTCACCGCTACGCAGAAGGGTCTCGGCTGCCCTCCTGGTCTCATGGTGCTCGCTGCCAGCAAGAAGGCCATCGCCGCTTTCGAGAAGCGAACCGTGCCTCCCAACAGCTACTTTGCTTCGTGGTCCAGGTGGCTGCCCGTCATGAAGGCATATGAGGCCGGCACCGGCGCTTACTTTGCCACGCCTCCCACCAACCTCATCTACGCGCTCCACGCCAGCTTGACCACCATCACCAAGGGCTCGCCTTCCATCGAGGACCGATTCAAGCAGCACGTCGCCGCTTCCGACCGCGTCAAGGACTTTATCGAGGGGCTTGGACTCAAGCAACTCGTCGCTGATGGCAAGAAGGATGGCGCGCACGGCATGACGGCGGTCCGCTACCCTCAGGGCCTGAAGGCGACCGACCTGCTGCCCAAGCTGGTGGCTAAGAACATTGTCGTGGCTGCCGGTCTGCACAAGCAGGTCAAGGACGAGTACTTCCGCATCGGCCACATGGGCGTTACCGTCATCAACGACAAGGAGCGAGGTGACATTGACCACTTGCTCACGAGCATCAAGGAGTCGCTCGCCGAGGCTGGCTACAAGCCCTAGATGTGCTTTTGAACGCTAATTTGCAATTGACATTCACATCTTGTCTCCCATAACTGACATTTGCTGTGCATTGGAAGCGATTCTTGTTTCGATCGTTTGAGCTTAGCTGATCAACTGTGCCAGCTCCAAGAGGTCGGCCACGACGATGTCGACGTAATCTGGCTTGCCGTCTGCCGGCAAGCTGTCTTCTGTCGGCCTTGATGAGACGAAGACGGTGGTCATGCCGCACGCTTTGGCCGCCTCGAGGTCGTACAGCTGCGAAGCAAAAAGAGTCTGCGTCAGTCTCATCTTCCAATCTCTATATTTCCATCTGAGCAACTTACGTGCGCGGCGACCATGCAAGCGCGGCCCCCATCTACGTCCGGCTGAATCTCAAACAGCTGCATGGCCTTCCTGTACATCTGGGGATCCGGCTTGAAGCTGCCCAGCATGTCTGCTGTGCACAGAAAATCCCAGGGCAGCTTCCCATTCCTCGCCATGTCCACCATCAGGTTGAGATTGCCATTTGTCAGGGTACCGATCTTGAATCTCTGCTTCAACTCGTTGAGGCCTTGGACGGAGTCGGGCCAGGGATCGAGCAGGTGCCAGGTGAAGTTGAGTCTCTCCCTCACCTCCTGTCCCCACGCTTCATCGAGCGCCTTTGACACTTCTTCCACCGGGAGCTCGCCGATCGTACCGGTCGGGTCTGGAAGGGGAAGTGCAGAGACGAGCTTGTTCAGCGCAGTCATGTGCATCTGATCGACCGTGATCCTGTCGGGATTGCCGGAGGAGGCAAGCCGCGCAGTCTCCAGCTTGTACTGCTCCCGCCATTTGATGGTGAAGCGTTGCCAGTCGTAGTCGTGTCGGAGAGCTTTGAGGACCGGGTCAGGAAGGGAAGTGTAGGCAATTTCGTGACGAAGGGCGCGAGTGACCGTCTCGACATAGTCGACGACCGTACCAAAGACGTCAAAGTAGAGCACTTCGACCTTGGCCAGCTTGGCTTTGGCGTCGACTGACATTGTGATGGGGGTGACGGAGGACGCACGGGATGCTGGTGGCTGGAAGGGAAGCGTCGTTGCTGCTGGTCGTTGGGGTTGCCGGAGAAAGGTGCGCCAGGGTCCAGATCGAGTGCGGGGTGAGCGCTTTTAGCAGCAAGCACGACAGGAGTCACGCAAGATGTCGTTCCTCTTCCTCAGCCGAGGTATTGCTCGAGCTCGTGCTCATGTGTACACTTCACTGCTCAGACACGGAAGCACTTGACCGTTATTGGCGTCTCCTATGTCTGCGCTTCGAAGGCATCCTGATCGATGTAGGACAAGAGAACGGCTCCGGCAACGTTTCTAGGCCGAAAAGCGCTCCAGCCTCCACACGGCTGCAGGCGCGTTTTGGCTGGCTGAGCGTAAGATTCGCACGCCGACTTCCGCTTTTCTGGCTCTGCATGCAGATACAGGCTCAGCAGTGGCGGATTTTTGAGTTGCGTCGCCTGCACGTGTGCGAGAATTGACTCACCTCGATAGCGTATGCACGCAGCTCTATCGCTTCGCCATCATCATCATCACAACAACAACACCGCATCGACGTCGAATTCCAGGAAGCGTCAAGCATCGTCAAGGACAGCGTTCTGATCACTGCACCATCTGCCCGTCACGTCGCTTGAGACATCCGGAGACGAGATCGACTTCAAACGCGTCGAGTATCACGAGGCGTATCCATCTCGCCCTGTCTAGATCAGACAGCGCTCGACGGGAGCTTACACGGGCAGGTCATTCACGATCGTTCCTGTCGCTCATAAACACAATTCGTTCGACTCGCTCTCCACCTCCATGAGCACTTTGCGACCCACGAACAAGTCCATGTCCACCGATGGGAGCGTAAAGCCACTACACTTCGATTCCGCCGACCCCGGCCCAAAGCGACGCAATGCCGGGCGCACCAACTCGCATCAGAACAGAAATGATGCTGCAGTCCTTCAGCAACCCAAACGCGGTGGACAGAGCATGAACCATCTGCTATCGTTCACCCTGCCACCGCGAAGTAGACCTCCTCTGGCCGGACCAGCACGAAGATCGCGTCGAGGTGCCAGCTACACGCCTTTCAACAAGGAGCGATACGTGAATGCGCAGTATCGCTTCCTTGTAAAGCCGACAGGCGACTACACCGCCTACTTTGCCGATCCCGACATCTATCTCAACTGGGCTGACATTCTGCAAGTCGTCATCCCAACCTCGTCCGCGCTTGCTGGGGTTGGCACCTCAGCACCTATCTCCGACCAACCGCGCGAGCCAGCACACGAAGGCGCCGCATGTCCCATCTGCCTTTCCCCCCCTACAGCCCCTCGTATGACCAAATGCGGCCACGTCTTTTGCTACCCTTGCATTCTGCATTATCTCACGCTCAAGGAGGACGACAAGAGCAAACCAGGGCCACCAACCTTGCAGCCGTCCACGCAGAAATGGCGACGCTGCCCCATCTGCTGGGATGCCGTGTACGCGCGCGATCTCAAGGCGGTTCGCTGGTGGGATGCGCAGGCCGCTGCTCGTCAGCACGAAGCCAAGCTGCAAGAGCAGTACGACCTCGAACGCGTGCAACGCATCAGCGAGCTCGACGAGGATAGCCACGATGTCACAGAAAGCGCTCTTCGCGATGAGAATGCGCCGAGTCTCACGCATTCGCATCCCGACATGCTCGCATTGCGGCTGGTCGAGCGTCCCAATGTGACCACGCTAGCACTGCCGCAGTCGTCGACGTGGCCAGCATCCGAGCTCGACCACCCGCTCATAGCCGTGCACTCGGCTCCGTGGCATTTTCAGCCGGACGTGATGGGGTTCGCCAAGTTCATGCTAGCCACACCGGAACTGCTCACCGAGTCACTCGAAAAAGATCTGCAAGAGCTGCTAGAGGAGATCGACGTGCTGAAGAGCTTCGGAACGGATGCGAGTGGGCTTCACTTCGTGGCATTGGCCCAGCAAAAGGTCAATGACCAAATGCAAAAGGTGCGAGACGAGTTGGATCTGCCTATCGTCCGCAGCACCATCGGGCAGGCGCACAATGATCTAAAGGACCACAAAGCCGCGTTATCGGGTCAGCTGCAGCGCACGGATCTGAGTCGACGTCAGCGCAAGCGCATGGAACGGTCGCAGACGGACGAAGAGGAAGTGACGGCTGCCGTTGTCAGGATGGACGTCAGCTCGGCTCGTGACGGCACTCCAGAGGCTGCTTCAGGAGCCGAAGAGTTCCTGGCGTTCCGAGCGCAGTCGCAAGGTGGCATCATGGGTATCGCTTCCACCGATGGCGGCGCAACACGACACAAAGACGATGCAGCACCCCAAAGCGTCGCAACGGATGCCACTCACAAAGCAGCTCAAAGCCGTCCGCCCAAAGCGCGCAAGAATGTCAACCCGCCGCAGCCCGAGTCGTCGTCTTACGTCTTCTTCCAGGCTGCTTCCGGGCAGAGCATCTTCCTGCACCCTCTCGACACGAAGATCCTCCTCTCGCACTATGGCGCGTACGCCAAGCTTCCACGCAACCTAGCGGTCAAAGTGGCCGGCGCCGACGAGGGAAGCATGAACGAGGAACTGCGCCGACGGTGCAAGTACCTCAACCACATCCCCATGGCAGCCGACGTAGTCTTCATCGAGGTGGACTGGGAGGACATGAATCTGATCAGCAAGTCCACACTGCGACCGTACGAGCAGGCGCTACGACAACGTCGCAACCGCCGCCGCGACAAGGAACGACGGGAAGATCGAGCCAAAACGCGGGCTGAGGAGGCGGAGCTCATCTCGAATCAAGGCGGTCCCGCGGCCGCAGCAGCGCATCGTCGACAGCAAGAGCAGCTCGCTGCGTTCACCAGCGAAGCCAACTTTCCTTCGGATGGGCTGTCACGGAGCTTCGAGCGTGGTGGCAGCGCTGGTGAAGGCGGGTTCGCATCAGGTTCGAGTCCGAGCTTCCGCGAATCGGCCATGTTTGGCGCTGAACGCAGCTTTCCAGTCCACCCCGGGGCTGCCGAGACGGAGGACTTCCCGGACTCCCTCCATGGCGCGCGCAGCGGATTGGACCACGCTGCAGTTTCGTCAGACGACCAGGCGGATCGTTCGGAACAGAACGGTGCGCGAAAGCCAGCCCAGGCATCAGCGCCAATGAAGAAGACGGTGTGGGGCACGCCCGCCTCCGCCTCAAGCTTCTCGAACGCCATCCAAGGCCGCGCCACGGACGCGCACGGTATCTGGGACGATCACATGGAGGATGCGTGGCATGAGCTGGAGGAGGACTACATTCTCGGATCAACTGGTTCGGGACGGAGGCCGACAGGGGCTGTGAGGGAGGGACGCGGGCTTAACAAGCAGATTCGACCGAGTGGCGTCAAGCCACCAGCTAACGTGGGCGCAAAGGAGAGCCTTCCGGCTGCCAAGAGCGAGACGCAGGCGGAAGCAGGAACGGCGGCGGAAACACCGGCGGCGGACAATGGGGGAGCCCGCTCGAAGCGCGTCAAGAAGAAGCTCATTCTCACGGGTGGTGGTGGCGGTCGCGGATCCCGCTAGCTGTCGATGTGGTTCGTCGGACGACCCGAATCGCCTATGAGGCGACGCTATACCGCAATCTTACATGGTACTGTTGCCAGCATGATCAGGGAGACGCTCGTGAGCTGTTTGGTACTCAAGCTGAGGTTGCCGCCGAGTCATCAGTGATGGATCATGAATGCCACTGGTAAGTTGGCCAGCCAAGCTGTCTCGTACTCCGGCGGAAAGAAGAGCCTGCGGGACCTATGACTGGACCTGCAAGGCCCAGATACAAAAGCATGCAGGGCCCGAGCCCGAACAATAAGAGCCTGATTCGAAGCGCATTCGACAATGTCTCAGTTCCGAGGTCGTAGGCCTCGCTCAATACTGATGACTCGGTCTACCCGCCATACGGATCGATGCCGAAGTGTGGGCAGTCAGCACTCGGACAGGATGGGGGGCAGAGAAAAAGAGATGTCAATTCCGCGGCTCTCTTTGCGAGCTCCAAGTGGTGCCTGGCGGTTCTGAGCTGCAAACGTCACTCTCTTTCCAAGTCGCGCTCGCTTCTCACACAGAACAAGGCGGGACAGCGCATAGAAGCCTGCCTGAGACTGGGCGCAGAAATTGACCGCGTGGCGCCGTCTTCACACCGAAACCTCTCTTCTCTCTTCCTGTCACCGTAAGCCGAGGCGCCTTACCACTGATTTGACGGACGAGCACATGCCGAATTGTCACAGCCTAGCCGAGAGCCAAAAATCACGAATCCAACACACGCCGCAGCCTGTGCACTCTGCTGCTCTTCCCTGCTGCAATCGGCTCCTCTCTCTCTCGCCGGCCTGGGCTTGGCTTCATTTTTTAGGCTCACCCACCCACTCACCCACCCACTCACCCACCCACACTCTCTTTGCTGCGCCTTGGCAAAGACACCGCCCTGCGCTGCTCTTAGCTCGTCACCTTCATCTCACTGTCATTCGCGTACACACGCTCACACACACACTCCTTCCGACCAGTCTCACTAGCTGCTGTGGCTTTACCGTCGTTCGATCAGGCTCTCGTTCGCACAGCTGGCCTCTGCTTGCACACGCCTGGACCCAGTAAACGAGCTTCACAAGACATTCTTGTTGGCCCCTGCTTGCTCGTCGACTCCTCATCACCTTAGCTCGACCTCTCAGCTCCAATCACATTCTCTTCGCTACCCGCACCTTCGCAACAGTCCCCCATTCGCAATCTTCGTCCACCTTCTCAAAGGCGACTTTTTCACATGCCCTTCTCCATCTACCAATAGAGCGTCATTCGCATCCCGAACCGGGTCAGGCTCCTTCGTCTACCTTCAGCTTCACACCCAGCGTGACCACGCAGCATCAATTGGCGCTCTGACATATCGCGACATCGTCGTCTTCTGCCCTCGACCAGACTCTCGCGCCTCGCCTGTAGGTCCAGCTCCGACAACATCACTTGAGCGCAGACAGCCAAGCATTCGTCCTCGAGTAGCCGTCTGAATCGAGCTTCACCTCCGCTCGCCTAGTCCGACACCATGTTCTCCTTTCTCGGCGCCGACAAAGGCAAACGGCGCGAACACCGCCTAGCGCCTCTGACAGACATCAAGATCGGCCCTTTCAGGATAGGCAGCACCAGCTCCACGCCCAACAGCGAATGTACATACACTGCGCTCACCTCATCCACGGAGACCGCCGTCGACATCCCGCTCGCCAACATCAACTCGCAACAGTGTGGCTCAACTTCCTCTTTCGATAGCTATACCGACTCTCCCTCTCCACCCCCAGGCTACAAGCCGCCCGCGTACTACTCTGCTCTGCTCGGTGCCACCACCCGTCGGTCTAGATACTCGTCGCGCAAATGCAAGCTCATCACGCTCGCCGTGATCGTGCTGCCATGCATATACATCTTTTGCTACATCACCTTCCGGCCGCCGAGCTACATCATTCTCCCACCCGAGAAGTACGTTGAAGTTTTGAGGGAAACCATGACGCAGCACATCCCGAGCCAGGCAGCGCGGCAGGCGCTCACCGAACAGCTTGCACGCATCGAGCATCCCGATGTAACCCCGCGCACGCCCAGCAGCGAACCGACGAACCCCACCTCCATCGTTCCTGCTACGATCTGGTCGTCGGACGGCAAGCCCGCACCCAGCGCGTGGTTTACAAAGTGGTCCGCGATGGGCTTCGAGCCCAAATTCCTCGACGATCAGGGCGCCGAGGACTGGATCACGGCGCACTACGACAACTCATCGGTCAAGAAGATGTGGGATTCCATGCCGCGCTTCATCCTCAAAGCCGACCTGCTGCGGTACCTGCTGATGCTCGACGAGGGCGGGACGTGGAGCGACATGGACACTGTCCCGCTCATGCAGCGGGCGAATTGGACGCTCGACGCGGTGCCGCTCTCGACCGTCTTGCCGGAGGACGAGGGGATCTTTGGTCGGACGATGGAACGCGAACCGGTCCGAGCGGTGATCGGCATCGAGAACGATCCGAACGAGAACTACGATCCGCGCAACTTCTTTGAGCGGTGGCGACTGCTGCCGCTGCGCAGGCATCGACCGTTGCAGTTCGTACAGTGGACGCTGCATGCTGCGCCGCACCACCCGATCATGCTCGATACCCTGCGGCGTGTGTTGAGCGCATCAACGGTGTATCGCGGGTACGAGGTCGAAAGCCAGCGCGAAGCGGATAGCGACGGATGGGGCTGGGGAGAGAAAGGCAGGCAGAAGGAGCAGGCCAAAGCGAGGGAGGCGCACACCACCCATCCGTGGGACGGAACAGCCATGTCCTGGCAGTGGCAAGCAGGTCACTGGCGGTGGGGCTGGAATGTGCTGAGCGTGGAAGAATGGACCGGACCCGCGGTGTTTACCGATGCGGTGATGAGCTATCTCCATGCCACCGCGGGGGTGAGGCCGGAGGATCTGAGCGGGTTGACCAAGCCAGTGCAGGTGAGGGATGTTGTGATTGTGCCTAGTCAGGGGTTCAACCCGGCAAGGAAGGTTGAGGGTGTGAGTAGGTTGGTGCATCTTTTCAGGGGGAGTTGGAAGGGGTAGATATGCAACACTCGTTCATTCAGTATCGTCGGTTCGCGCTAATCGTGTGAAGCAGGCTGAGTGAAGCAGAGTGAGAATTCGGGTAACAGGTGCATCTTGGAGATGCTTTTTCCTACATATACAAACGGGGGAAGAGGACATTCGGAAGGGGGAGACGAGAGACTCTAAGAGAGCTCGGGTCCTTAGGCGACAAAGGACGAGTTGCTCTGACCCTCGCTGGCCTTCTCTGCACCAGGCGATACCGTCCCCTCGCCCTGCTCCCGTCCGCCGTTCTTGACCTTGTTCCTGAGGTTGAACAGGATGGTCTTGGCCACGGGGATACCCTGGACAAGGGGGAAGATGCCGACACCGACAAAGGCCAGGATGGCCCAGATGAAGCTGACAATCACCCAGCCCTGGAAGAAGTTCCTCGTAAACACGTAGTCCCTGTACAGACTGAAGGGCCAGATGATGGTGATCACCACGAAAATCGTCAGCGAGGAGGCGACGGCGATCTTGAAGAACCGGTCCAGACGGGCCTTGTTGTAGGCGGGATCGTTTTCGATGATCTCGAGTTGGGAGCGCGGGTCGGTCGAGTTGATGCTCTCCGTCTTGCCCTCGCCGGCGATGGCTGCGACGGGCTCCTTGGTGACGCGAGCCACTTGTTCGCGATGCTGCTGCTCGAGGATCTCGGGGATGCGCTCCCACGCAAACTCGCGAGGGAAGAAAAAGACTGAGAGCAGAGACAGCACTAGACCGACGCCGATACCCGTACCACATCCAGCCAAGCACGGAACAACCCCACCGACACTCTCCAGGTTGACAACACCCGATCGGTGGTACGCGAGAGAGAGCCAGACGGCGACACCAGAGGCAAAGTTGATCCAGATACCCGGGAACACGACGGCGGGATGCAGACGCGTGTCGAAGAAGATGAAGATCAACGGCGACAGACCTGCACCGGTGAAGATACCCGTGAGGTTGTAAATGATGCCAAGGTCGAGACCGATTCCATGGAGCAGCGAGGCGAAGGCGGCAGCGAACAGACCGAAACCAGCTACGACGTACTGGTTGACACGCAGCAGCTTGTCGGCGCCGATGGTGGGGCGGAAGTAGGTCTTGAAGATGTCGTAGGACACAACGGTGGATACGCCGACCATCTGGGCGGAGATGGCCGAGGTGCAGGACATGAACATGAGGAGCAACACTGCTGCGGAGCCACCCTTGCCAAGGAGGGCTTGGGCGGCGTAGGGCAGGACGAGACCGGCAGAGACATCGGCTTTGGGGATGCGGTTGGGGTAGGTCGGGAAGCCAGGGTAGGCGGTTTCCAGCGCCAAAGCGGCGAGACCGGCAGTGGTGGCAAGACAGAAGGGAATGGAGAACCAAGCAAGACCACCGATGAGGTAGCCGGGGAAGGCAGCTTCGGGCATAGCAGCAACACCCTTCTGATGGAAAGAGGCATCGAGGAAGACCACACCGGTATACTCCAGCGCCGAGAGCCAGGCGAAGTACTGCCCACCCTCAGTCTTGAGTGTCAGCACGCTCCCCTGGTAGTTGCCCTCGACGTTGATGTTGCGCTGCGCCCGCACCAAGAGATCGTACATCGCAGCCGGCGATCCAATCTCGGGGAACGTGGCGTACGCCCGCAACCACAGGATAAAGAGGATGATGAAGATGATCACCGTGTGCAGGTAGTCTGCGAGGATGGTGCTTCGCAGACCACCGCGGAGGGTGTAGGCTACGACACTGGCGGGGAGAAGGAATAGCGCAGCGTAGGTGTTCATGCCCGTGATCGAGTTGATCGCCGCCGCTCCGCCGAGCAGGACGGAGCTGCAGACGAGGATGTTGGTGGCCAGGGCGAAGAAGATGTACGTAAAGTGGGGGAGAGTGCCGAAGCGAATGCGGACGAGCTCAAGGTACGTGTGCACGGAAGGGGCGCGACGCTTGAGCTGGATGGCAAGGGTGGAGAAGAGGACGATCTGGGTGCAGTTGCCCGAGGCGTAGAGCATGGCGCCTGCCACACCGTAGTTGTAAGCAGTGGAGACGGAGGAGAGGAGCGTGGTAGACCAAGTCCATGACGAGATGACGGCGGCAGCGGTGAGACCGGTGCCGAGGGAACGACGAGCGACGGAGAACTCTTCAGCATCGCGGCTGATGCCAGCGTAGCGAACGAGGGAGCGGGAGATACCGACGACGACGATGGCGAACAAGGCGCCAAGGCCGATGACGACGCCGTAGCCGGCGCCTTGGGAGAGCGGGGGGACGGCCATGTCGGAAAGGAGGGACAAGGAGGAGAAGATGAGATTCAGAGTGTGAAGGGGGGCGTCGAGCTGCTTCCCCTTATGTAGGAGCCCCACGAAGCTCGTCTGCGACTGTTCTTCTCAACCTTCTCGCCAAAGGATGGGATGATTGTGAGCACCAGAAGCTCGCGGACCGAGCTAGTCATGCAAGGGCATATTCGTGATTCGGTACCTGCTTTGCTACTGCCGAGATCTCAATCAACGAAAGCCACGGGGTCGGGGTTTTGCCTCATGTCGGACGGGCTTACGAGGCATCTTGATCCACTCCATCGTCCTTCAGGACGTGACTCGCCTCACCCTGGTCTCGGGAGATGCGGGAAGGTGCGGGCAAAACCAAGACCCTGTGGCTTGATTGGTAGACTCCGACCGAGTATGGCACAATCGTAGACGGTGGCAACATCGAGCTCAGGATCGTTCAACCATGAGACCGTGGTTTTGTCTTTAAGAGTGGGCGTTCAGGGTATTGGCATTGTGTCGACTCGAGGGTGTTTGCGGTGAAGGAAGCGCGAGAAGGTGGACGGGGCGGCTTTCACGAAAGATCTTGAGATAAGACAAAGAGTAGTTGCAACTCCGTACATGGATGGCGAGCGACACCCTGTCTCCACGCAGGTGGGCGGAACGAGGTTTCTTCCGTCGCGCAAACGGCGGCATGACTGTGAGGCAGCAATCATGCTGTCGAAGGGGGAAGCGACGGCTCAGGGTCTCAGAAGATCTGCGCTTGCGCCGTCGAGATTGCGAGACGCACGGAGTCACCTTTGGCATGAGGCAGCGAAGCAAACGTGCTTTGTGGCCTCGTGTCCGTCTCTGACACCATTCTTCGGATGATGTGCTCCTGGCAGATGTGCATGCGTGCATCTGGGGACCGCACAGGAGACAGCTGTCCAACAGCGAAAATTGCAAATTTCGTGCTTTCCGCAGCGAAAAGCACGGAATCCGCGCTAAGGCGGAATCACGTCGGCTACAGCGCGCTGACGCCATCCGGGGGCAGAAACACCATCACGCAAGCTACCGTGGTACCATAGCAACGGACTTTCAAACGAACAGCGGTGCGCAGACAGATCCTCGCCTGCCGTCTTCTAGACGATCGCTGATCGTGAGACGGCCCATCGGGCGATCCTGGAGGAAGAATGTGCAGAGCAACGATCTGACAGCGCAGGGCTGACCGCAAAGGTGCTAAAGAGGACCTTGCCAGTGACCGGTCGCGATAAGATACGGAGATGGCCCCCGCGTTACGTGACGTCGCCCACTGCTGTCACCAAGGGGCAGCACTCAACGAGGATTTCACCGGCACTTGCGCTGACTTGCACCAGACAGACCAGCGTGGCTTGCGCTGAAGGTGTCGGAACCATGAATGACCCGAAAGGTGCTCTGCGCCTTGCTGTGCGTCTGATGTATCGGACCCTCGAGTGAGACCCTCAAATATATATGCGTGGCAGCTCGATTGGGTGCTCTGAAGGTAAAGAGTGTCCGAGGAGCTCCATCGCTATCGACATGCTGCCACCACATCGAAGGACACCAGACCACCTCATCATGCCTGAGGACTGCGAGGCAGCTCCAGCCTCTGGCCAAGAATGCAATCCAGCTCCGCCTTCTACGAGCAAGCTCTCGCAGCCCTGCATCGAACCCACCGCACACTATGACCTGGTCATCATCGGTGCAGGTCCCGCCGCGCTCGCCGTCATCTCGCGCATCCTCGAAACCCGCCCAGCAGCTCTCTACACCGAAGACGAGCACCGCCATCTGCACTTCACCCATCGACAACGCGCACCCCTTCTCATCCCTTCAAGGCTATCCAAGACCTCCAAGGTCCGACCTACCAAAGTGACTCCCAGCGAGGGGTGCGCGTGCGGTGGCCGAATCAAGATCCTCATCATCGACAAGTTGGGCGAAGGCTTCCTGGGTCTGTGGCGGCGAAACTTCCGGGCGCTGCGAATCAGCCATCTTCGCTCACCCATGTTCTTTCATCCAGACGCGAGCGATTTTGACAGCCTCATCGCGTACGCTAACCAGCAGGGGAGGGCAGGTGAGGGGAGCCCAGATCAAGTCGTGGACGCCATTGAAACGGCGCTTTCTCCGGAAGCGTCGACGCGTTGTAGAAGACGGGCCCGCAGTAAGCGTTCGCCCTCACCCAACCCAGAGAGAGGAGAGGGGGAACTGCCAGATTTGATCGAGATCCTCGGCGTGGTCGGCAAAGAAAAGTCCAAACACAGGCGTAAGCAACAGCAACAAGGCGCATTGGAGGGAGCAAAGGTCCACGTCAACGAACGCGATCGTCGCGATTACTTTACGCCCAGCTCGACGCTGTTTGAGGAGTTCACGAGACAATTGGAGCACAAGTATCGGGTGCAATCGGGGGACGGGTGCGGCGAGAGTACTTGGCCAAGCGTGTCCAAGCTCTTCGAGGACGCGGAAGATGGCACAAGCACAGCGGCCTCCTCGGAGACTTTGGTGGAGGGAAGCGCATCGACGGATAGCAATCCTTTGACGACCGTGAAAGGCGTCGTAAAGGACCTCGTCTGGTTCGATGGATCTGATCGGACGGTGCAAGATGACCTCGGCAACCACAGTCCCGGCTTCCTGCTCGAGCTGGCTGACAGTTCGGCTCAAACAGCCAAGTCCACCACAGTCATCTCGGCCAAAGCCGTGGTCAGCGCCGTCGGCTTTGGTGGAGTGCCGACGATCCCGTCCTACCTCACTCCACCCGTCCCTCAACCTCCCTCGTGCGGTCCCGGCTGGATGCATTCCAGCTGTCTCGCGTGGCAGCCCCTCCCACCTCCTTCAACGTCCGATGCGCACCTCGTGGTGGTGGGCGGAGGCCTCACCTCGGCCCAGATCGTCGTCCTCGCCCTCACCACCGGCTACGCACACGTCACCCTACTCACCCGCGGCCACCTGAAAAGCAAACCCTTCGACGTAGACCTCGGCTGGGTCGGTCGCTACAGCAACTATCTCAAGATGCAATTCTACCAGACGGACGATGTCGCGGAGCGGCTGCACATGCTGCGTGCCGCACGAAATGGCGGCAGCGTCACACCTACCTATGCGAAGGTCCTCTCGCGATTGCAGGCAGCTGGCAAGGTCGAGATCCGGACGCACACCTCTATCGCCCGCGCCGAGTTTGAGGGGAAGTGGGAGCTGGGGTTGAGGACAAGTGCGGACGGCGGGAGGGAAGACACCGTACAGGCCGACTACCTAGTCGTTGCAACTGGTGCGAAGATCGACTTTGCAGGTCTGCCCTTCTTGCAAGGTCTGAGGAGGACCCATCCGGTGTCGACGGTGGGCGGACTGCCAGTGCTGACGGCGGATCTGGAGTATAGGCGCGACGTACCGCTGTTCGTAACGGGCGCATATGCCGGGTTGCAGATCGGTCCGGCGGCGGGGAATTTGGGCGGGATGAGAGATTCCGCTGATCGAATTGCGAACAGGTTGTTGGAGCTGCTGGCGTTGCCAGAGAAGGAAGAAAGGAAGGTGAGAGAGGCTTCAGAGACGACGGCGGGGGAAGCAGCCCCAGCGAACTCGAACAAAGGACGGCCGAAAAAGGAGAAGCACTTCACGCACTTCAACTTCGATCTGCTGTCGGTCGAGGCCTAAGCCGCATCGGATTGTCTATCACAGAGGGGATATAAGCAGCATAGGCGAAGCACGAGCACGGCGAATAAAATACAGCATGCTTAGATTAAGCAGAGAGGCTCGCCTGTAAGGCTTGTGACGAGCAGGCGCACCGAAGGATCACTGAACGGCAGGTAGCTGCCATCTTTGCCGTTGCCGAGGTCGAGAGAGGCCAGCTTCTGGCGTGCTTCTTCGAGCCGGTCCAGGTGAACGTACAGCGTCACATGAGATGACGCCTTTGAATCGCCAGAGACTCGACTTGACTGGGCGTGAGCAGCGTAATGCAAGATGGGCCAGGGGTATAGATCCGACTCGGTCGAGTCGTTGCGATGTGATGAGCTGCTCTGCGCCGATCGCGCGAAGCCTGCTTGCATCATGGCTTCCAAAGCACGGAAGAAGGCATGCGCTGTAGATTGCATCCATACAAGTAGGACAGCTTCGCGTTGACCGTCCGCATGCGAGCGAGGCGTAGGCGCATCGGAAAGAGCTTGCGGTGGAAGGAAGCGAGCTCGAGTAGCGTTTGCTGCGAGTGCCGCTTCGGAGAAGGGCACGATGACTTTGACCACTTCCTTGCGGCGCTTCTGCGTCCGTACCTTGAAGATGTCCTCTCTGAGAGGCTGCAGGCGCGGAAGTCTATCCAGGTCGTTCGCCACGCGGCAGTATCCTGCAAAGCGCAGACCGTGTTCGAAAGGCTCGAGGAGGTCGTCGTCGCTGCCACCAGCTTGTGTGGTCGGGCCACCAGACTTGAGATGAACGAAATCTGGCATCACCGATAGAGGCCCTTTCAGCATCTGAATTGAGGACAGGCCAAGGTCTCGACACACCGTGCGGGTTGTAGGGGGCCGAGAGATGGCTTGCAGCAATCGTCGCGATGTGCTTGCGCGACTTGTCGAAGCCCCTACACGGTCCGAGACGGAGTCTGGATGACACGATGACCACCGCTGTGTCTTTGCGCTGTTCCCGATGACTGAGCCAGCGATGCGCTGCGCCTGCGCTTCCGTGAAGTGGCCAGGGTCAAAGTCGACCTGCACCTCATGTTGTGCCTCGGCAGCGATTGTGAGATCGGAAGAATCGATGTTATCTCTGCTGGACTGCCGCTGCCGTGACGGCGAGGTTGAAGTCGTCTGCACCTGGTCGAACCTGCGCATGGAGCTCTGCGAGAGCAATTGAAGCAATCCGACGCCTGACTGGTCGTCATCTGGCTCTTGTTCGGCGCCTTGTGGGCTCGTCCGCAGCTGAGCCGCTACCATTGACCTTGCCTGGTCTGATGTGCTTGTTGATGGCGCAGCCTGGCTTAGTCGGATTATGCGAGGCTCCTCAGCATCTTGTGCCGGTGCTGATGCAGCTTGATCGTGCCAGCTTCCGGCAGAACGCTGGACATCATCGGAAGAAGGCCGTGTGGGACGTAGCGTGGGAAAGTAGCTGATTTCGGACTCGTCGGCAACCTGCATGTCTTCGTCAGCGGCATCGGGCTGCGAGTTGAGCTGATGGTCCGCATCGCAGAGCGGAAGTTCCGCTGGAGATAACGATGCATCTCGTCCGAGTTGCACGCGCTGTATCTTCGCTCGACGACGTTTGGGCTTGGCTGGATCCTCCTCAGCAGGGTGCTTCGATGCTCCTCCAATCTTGTTCGTCTGAGGTCGGTGTAATGGTGCGTTCTCGTTGGTCCCTTTGATCGTCTCTGGAAGGTTTGGGAGGGCTCGAAGCGTAGACGGCCGGTTCAGAGCTCTGAGGCCGACCGTCTTTGCTGGGGGAGGTCTCGACGCTGAAACGGATGCCCCGACAAAGGATGACCTGAGCGTGCGACCGGAACGTCCGATCATCTGCGCTCCGAAGGTGCCTATTGGCGAGCTCGGGTCGCTCCGATCGAGCTGGGCGTGTCTTTGTGCTAGAGTCGGGGCTGCATCTCGCCGGACGGGAGACTGTAGCCTTGGTGCGAAAGGCAGTGTTGCGGGTCGTGCTAGTGGTGGAGGCTCGTCGTCTAATGGTGAAGCTGGCGAGGACGAGCGCAGATGAAGGACCGCTTTTGGCTGAACAAGGACGATGCGTCTTTTCCGCTTGGCCGAGGGTGATGCAGACATAGAGCGAGATGCTTCGGGCTCCTTTTGCCGACATGCTACAGTCTGTGTTGCGAGATGAAGAGATGCTGTGGTGAAGTGCGGCGGAGAGGAGCCTACTTGGACCATACGACGCTTCTTTTGCGCCCGATCGCCACGGATACCTCTGGAATCGATCACCGTGTGCCGCATACCATCTTCGATACGCTGATCGAGCGCAACGTGCCGGATTCGAGGCATTGTGTCTGATGTATCTTGGGCTGTGAGGTGCTGCGGCCAGTCTCGTCGGACTGTCTAGAAGCTCCTTCTACTGATCCGCTCCCGCAAGCCGTCCGTCCTCCATAACGTGAGGCTCCTCTCCGGGCGAGGGGGTTGTGATGTGCTGCCGCAAAGTGTGATGATTGTGTGTGGGGCACAAGTGATCTCATAAAGAGAGTTCATCGACGTTCGACTTCATCTGGACGCGATCCAGGCTTCAGGCCAGTCGAAAATTTTGGACCCTGACTTGGCTCTCATGCAGGTTGGGCAGCCGCGAGCCTCTTTTGTTCACCGCGTCCAAGCACTTTACGCGAGAGAATGTCATTTGCTTGCCTCTCGAGCTTGTCTTGAAGCCCAACAATCATACACTCACTGGTTCATCTTGATGCGAGCAGATGCAAACGATCAGGTCTGTGATTGGTGTAAACCTTGTTCAGGTCCGTCACAAAGCTTGTGCGTCTAAGTTGTGTCAGTAAGCTGATCACATCAACGAGCGCTTCCGCTTCGTGACGGAGAGACGAGGTCATGCAAGCATCGTTCGAGCACCACTGAACAAGTTTCGGCCTTAAACGAGCCTGCGAACAAGCTCGAAGCAAGCCGTTGTGACAGGCGAGGACAAAAAGCGAAGGGCCTTGTGACAATGACAATGCAGAAAGAACTCTAAATTGCTAGGCGACCCGTGGAGATCACTCGTAGCAACGTCCTCTGATCTGGTAAAGGCCGGGACTCAGCCTCGACCCGCATTCCCTCGTCTGCATGTGAGCTGGAGCTTATCAGAAAGTCACGTCCTCTCATCACCTCCTCTTGAGCACCCTTTCCGTTTCCGAGCGGATTGGTCGTGGGGGATGGAGCTCGGTTCTCACGACAAGGTTTAGCCAAGAGTGAGCTGCAATACGTCTCTCTTTTGCAGTCGACGTCTGCTCCGGCTGAGCACGTAAGACGTCTTTTGAACCACCTCTCAGTGCAAATCGTCTTTGGAGCCTGTCAAATGGCTCATCATACCCTCGAGAGCTGTGCAGTGTGGGCCTGAACGATGTTCGGCGTTCCACAACAAAGTTCGATCGCTTGGCCGTTTCGCAGAGATCGCGCTCGACGAGGTCGTGTTGAGACGTCCAGCATCGTGTTATCGACCGCATCGATCCGCCCCTATGCGGAAAGCCTGCTGAGCACGACGTCAAAGTCTTTGTCTGTCATCTCCGCACCGCTTTCTCGCATGTGGACGACTCAGCTTCCTCAAGATCGAGATGAGAGTGTAAGCTATATAATCAACGCATTTCGCGAACCCCCCACTTTCTAAGTTCCCTCATCATCATCTTTGCCTCGATCGAGATAGCCTTGAACTCCTCCATACGATCGCAGACCCCATCAAGACGATATCCGCATTGCACCTTCCGTCATCACCGCCATGAAGGACATGAAACTGGTCACGCTCGGCGATGGCCAGGTCCTGTGGTCGAACTACGACTCTCGATTTGATGTCAGAGTCAAGCCCAACGCTCTCACGGGCGCTATGACCATGTCTCTTGATGGCCTCGTGGTCGTCGTCCACCGCGACCGCATCACCATTCGGCACGAAGGTACCTCCCGTACATCGGTTGAGCACGAAAACACCCCGGACGACGGGCCATACATCACGACCTGCATCGACGTCGACATGCACGGCTGCGTCCCCAAATCCGATCGGCTGCTCTTTCCTATCTCTTTCAACGAGCCCATCATCGTCAGGACCTTCCACCAGGTTCTGGACGAACAGTACTCCGATTTCATCAATCAGGCCAGCAAGTGGTACGGCTTCCTCTGCGCCGAACGTGGCGAGTTCGCGACCTCGTACGGCACTGCCAACGTCAAGCTTAGGTACGAGGTTGACGCCAACATCCGCGACGCCGTTCACGCTGTCAAATGCGCCATGGTTGTCTTGGGTTATCAGGACTTTGTCCTGCCCACGCACATCGTAACTCAGTTCCCGAAGGACGTCCTTGAACTTCGTGAGTCCACGACAAAAATGTGGCAAAAGAAGGCGGCCAAGAAACGCAAGATGGCGGACGAGGATACGCAGGTTCCTCCACGCAATCTTTCTGGAACGTCGATCGTTAAGTCGTCCGCCTAGACATCCCTCAAAGGTACTTCTTGCCTCAAACCGTCTCCTCTCCTCTCGTCTTCGTCCTGTAATGTAGCACCTCCTCACGCTAGCAGGCCTCCCTAAACTCATCTCACTTCCCCACATAGACCATTTTGACCGCGACCTTAGAAAAGGAGGATTCGCTTGTCCGTTCCATGTGGCGAAGGATGACGGCTCAACGGTGCTCTACAGCAAAGCTTTGGACATACGAATCAGCGAATGGCAGAGGCACCTGGACGACACGCACGGTGTCATCATCAACAGTGTCGGCGCCAACGTGGTCGGCTACTGCCACATGCATGATGAGTGGTTTCTTGGCTTCGAGCTGATCGAGCACAACTTTGGTTGCGACCTCAAAGAAACCCTTCGGTGGTTGAGGGCCATCATTGCCCTTTCTGCATCGTCGACACCAAGATGAGAGCTTCTGCTCGGCTGTGCTGGTATCCAGAGTGGCACATTCTTGGTAAGCACATTGTCGCAAGCCCGATCTTGACGGCAGACCAGCTCGAGCGCACATGTCCGATCTGCAACACGACTAGCCCGCCCGGCGACTTTCCTGACCATCTGATCGAGCAACAGCTCAACTTGGCTGGCCTTGGCACGGAGAGGCGACCGGTCAAGACCGGGGGCGACTTCTCAAAGCTCAAACGTACCGACTCGAGACAAGACAGGCTGCTCGAAAACTTGGTCGCATTCGTTGACGGAGCATGCCCGGTCCTACCCCAAAGCATTCCCAAACGCCAAGGTGCACGCAGAGAGACAACGAACGAGGCTCAGGAGGCAGAGTACGTGAAGTTGAAGCAACAGAAAGCCACACAGGCGCACAAGTGTTGGAGAACAAAGAGCTAACCAGTCAGAAGCTGTGCAGCCGTGTGAAAGTGAAGCTCGACTGCCAGATTTAAGTTCAGCCCACCGGCCTTCATGTGATACGTTCGTTCGCGGCGCCCTTCGAATGCTGTGACCTGTATGAAGTCACAGTACGTGCTCATCACACTCTCTATGATCACATTCACACACGCTGAGTTCTAGTTAAACAGCCAGTAGAAAGTCACATTGCGCGCGAGCCATCTCTCTCAATCGTTATCGAACCGGCCCCTTGCCTATGCTCCACTATCAATCATCTTCCGACGCCCCAGACCCACGATCGTCTATATTTTCTCTGTGGGATGACTTCTGCTCCTGCAACACCGCCATCGTCCCTCCCATCTCCCCTCGTGTTGTCGGACGGTTGGGACCCTGCTTGCGAACTCCGAGGAGACAGGTGGTTAGCCGACTCTAAAGAAGTCAAAGACTACATCAGAATCGAGAACGAACGTGAAGAAGTCATCATCAAGTACGCAGGCATGCAGATCAAGCTGCGAGACCAGTCGATCAGCGTCATTCAGAGAGGTACCTCCACAATTCACACCTTTACTCGTTCGTTCACTTCCGAAGCAAGGCCCGAGTACAAGTTTCAAGCTGTGATCGGCTCCTCATCCGACACCGCCCACCTGGCTGAAACTGCTACGATCAAGACATTCCACTCGGTCCCCTACGAGTACAATGACGCCTTTTTCGATCAAGCATCTTTGACCGGTGCAACTGCGGCCGAGGATTTCGCAGAGTGTACCTCGAACGACCTGTGCAACGCTTGCCTCTGGTACGAGGTTCCAACCCACTCGGTGATCAAGACCGTGACGATCGCCACGACGGTCGTCGGTTTCCTAGACTTCCATGTGCCGGCTTGGTTTGAGGCTTGTCACCCCCAGGAGGTGGCAAAACTGCGCACCATCGCTGAGAAAGCGGCTTCCAACACCCTGGCCAGGAAGTGGAAGAGACTCGCCCAGTCCAACAAGCAAACCGCCGAGTCCGACAAGAAAGCCATCCTCACGGAGTGATCGCCACGCAAGAAGACCTCGGCGACCTCCAGCGACGCCGGCCAAAGTGTCTGACGTCCACATATCATAATGTAGCCCTCGCACAAGCCTCAAATTCCCCAATATCATCACTCCTCTCGTAACATCATCTGATCAAACATGAATCGTAGACTGAACCGTAGACTGGTTGTGAGTATTTACATGATGCGTGATGTTATCTCTCTCCCTTATGCAGCGGCACCGATAGGCGCAGGCAGCGCCAGCCTGATCTCTGGCGTGCCCGTTCCACTCGACACCGGTCGGCCAACCACCAGCTTGCTACTGGGCGTCTTGAGCATATCCACATCGCCATGCAGTGCCGAACCGCCAATGAACGCCATGGTCATCTCGAAGCTCGCCTTGAGCAATGTCGAACTCGATTCGGCGATACCGCTCCTGTTGAACGGCCTGAAGCCGCCCGCAGCGGTCTGGTAGTCTGCGATCAAGAACAGGTGACGGGGCGACACGGCGATACCGTACGTGTCGAAGATACCGCGCATCTCGGCTACGATCGCCGCACGCGCGGCCTCGACACCGTAGGTGTGCAGCACGGCACCGATATCGTTCGTGTAGAGGTTGTCGAGGTCGACGACGCCGAAACCGAAATCCCAGAGGTCGCGGAAGTTGATACCCTCGGCGGTGAGCGAGGTGCCCTCCTCGCCGGCTTTCGGAGGCGGCTTCATGACGCGCGCGATGTTGGGAATCTCGTGGATCACACTCTGGCGACAGACGCGCTCGACGATGTTGATCAGCAGCAGCTTCTGCGACTGCGTAGCGAGCGTGAGGTCGAATTCGGCCCAGCGCGCTTTCACGTCGTCGAAGCGGAAGGCGTTGATGTACTTGGAGTTCTCCTGGAGGGCGCGCTCGAGGGCGGACGTCTGCTCGGCCCACTCTTCGTTGATCGAGCCGTCGTCCGAGTCGGAGTCTGAGTCCGAGCCGCTGTCCAAGTTCATGGGGGCGGTCGACTTCTTCTTGTTGCCGTTGCTGAAGGCAGCCTCGATATCTTCGGTGGTGGATGGGATGGCGTCCATGTCTTCGTCGTCACCCTCCTCGTACGACGCGGCAGCTGCCGACTTCTGCTTCCTCTTGGCATCGTCGGCGTCGCCGTCACCAACGTCCGACGAGGCGTCCTCATCATCGTCCGAGTCAGCATCGTTGCCTCGTGCGCCGACCTGTCGGCGGCCAACGGCACCCGTGGCCCGCTCGGCCTCATCGTCGTTCTCACCAGCAGGTGCATTGTCGGAGAACGTCTGACCCTTGCCAATCGCAGCTGCCTGCAGAGCATGCTCGCGCTTCTGCTTGCGCATCTCGTTGTTGATGCTGTTCTCCAAGTTGGGCGCGAAGGTCTCCTGCAGACCGCGCAGGATGTGCGAGGTGGAGCAGTTGTACTCCTCCTTGCACTCGTCCGCCGGGTAGAAGTTGAGGCGCACCGTGTACGTCTTCTGACGGTGGTAGCCGGTCTCCTCGGACTTGGGCGAGATCTTCTCCGTGACGACGGCCTCGTCGATGACCTGGCTGAGCACGAGACGACTGCCGTCCTTGCAGAACGTCTTGATCTGGTCGGCGGTGATGCCCTCGAGGACGGGCAGGCGCATGATGGGCGTCTTGATGTGCTGCGAGGCCGTCATGACGATCTCACGCAGACGCGGGATACCGAGCGTCACGTTGGCGGCACCGTGACCGGCGAAGTGGAACGTGTTGAGCGTCATCTGCGTCGAGGGCTCACCGACACCCTGAGCCGCAAGCAGGCCGACCGCCTCTCCGGGATCGACGAGACCGCGGTGGTAGAGCACCTTGCACATGGCGCGGAAGGCCTCGACGCCGAGCTTCTCCTTGACAAATCGAAGCTTTTCCACCGCGCTGGCACCGTCTTGAGCTCCTGCATCGGCCTCGGACTTTCGCTTCTTGCTCTTCTTCTTCTTGTCGGCCAGAAGCTTGCTGGGGTTCTTCTCGATGTAGGCTTCGATCTCCTTGGCGTACTTCTCCGACATGGATCCGAAGTGCGTCGAGGGCGTGTAGACGCTGAGCACCGGATCGTACTTGTGCGGCTTCTTGAGCGCCTTCTTCATGTGCTCGGCAGCGAGCTCGGCCTCGACGACCTCGCCAAGCTGCTTGGGGTCGTAGCGCTTGTTATAGTTCTCGAAATTGGCAGCAGTGAAGTCAAATTGACCGATGTACTTGCTCTTGGTGGTGTCCAGGGCATCTTCACCGTAGTTGAACTGAAGGATGGAGCCGTCGGCGTTGCGGACAGTGTTGTCGTACTGGACGTGGACACCTTCGAGATGCTTGATGAGACATCGCTGCAAGTAGCCGGATCGCGACGTCTTGACGGCTGTATCGATTAGACCTTCACGACCCGCCATGCAGTGGAAGAAGTACTCCTGAGGCCGAATGCCGGTCAAGAAACGACCGCTAACAAAACCACCGGCTCGCGCGGACGTGTCGAAGGGGCGGAAGGACGGGAGGGACTTGCCACTGACCATGAGAGGGACACGTCGACCCTCGAGCGCCTGCTGACCGAGCAGACACGAGATCTGCGAGACGTTTACGGCGGAACCCTTGGCACCGGATCCGGTCATCATTTGCATGTTGTTCTCCGGGAACTTCTTGTACAGGCCTGCGGGCAGGCACGTGTCGATGATCTTGGTGGAGAGACCGTTGGACGAGCCCATCATCTCACCGTCGAGAACAGCCAGCTTGTTGTCGTCGCGCAAGACCTCTTCGAGACGGATGCGCAGGTTCCTGTCCGTGTCTGGGTTCTTTTCGTTCTCGCCCTCGAGGCCGACAGTCTTCATGGCGACGCCCTTGCCCTGGTCCTTGGCGGCGTTGAGGAGGTCCCGCCTGTCCTTGTCGCCGTCCTTGCTGAGCAGCAGATCGTCCATTCGACACGAGAAGGCGTTGGTCTGCAAGAACTTAGTGAAGAGACGCGAAAGGATGCTGAGAAGCTTGCCAGCAGTCTCGGATCCGTAGATCTCGAAAATGGCGTGGACCAGACCGTAGGAGGAAGCACCAAAAGCAGCCTTGTCAAGCACGCCTTGCAGCAGCTCGCCGTCTTCAATGATGACCTTCTCCTCGCTAGCGTGGTCCTTGCCCCACATGCGTCCAGCCACCTTCGCCTTCGAGGTAAGGTTGAGACCGTCTGCTTTGGCGGGCTTCAGGTTGAGGAGCACGGTGGAGATGACCTGCTTGCCGGTCCACAGTGGCTCTGGCTTCAAGAGAGCCGGGCCAACAGTGAGGACGCGACCGCTACCGGTGTACTTGCCCTCAGGTCGCAAAGCGCCATAGAGAATCTGCTGGTACTCGGCACGTGTGTACAACGTGTTCTTGGACGTCATCCATACACCGGCGACGACGTGATCCTGGATAAGACCACGAAGCGGATTGCCGCTGGTCGGCGTGAGGTACTGGTTGTCGGTGTTGGCGACGTAGTAGCACTCGGCACGAGCCGCTTGCGATTGCGGGAAATGCATGTTCATCTCGTCACCGTCGAAGTCTGCATTGTAGGAGTTGCAATTGGCGTAGTGCATGCGGATGGTCTTTTCACCCACAAGAACACGAGCCTTATGCGCCATCATCGAGGGTCGATGCAATGTAGGCTGTCGGTTGAGCAGCAGGATGTCGCCGTCGCGAAGGTGACGTAGCACCTGCTTGTTGGCGATGGGCGTGCGTGTCGAGCTGCCAAGACCAGCAAAGGTACCGCGGGCCTGCTTGGAAGAGTGCTCTTGCGGTGTGAGGAGCTGATTGGCGAGCGCGGTCCTCTCCTCGACGCTGAGCTTGTCGAGCTGCGTCTCGGTGCCGTCTTCGCTTCGGATGGCAACGGCACCAGGGTACTTGGAGGGTCCGTTGATCACGAGCTGCCGCATGAGCTGGACGTTGTGGACAGTGACGGGCTCGGGATAGGTGAGCTTGCGGGCAAAGACAGGCGGCACACCAATCTCGTTGGTCTCGATGTTCACATCGGGGGAGATGACGGAACGAGCGGCAAAGTTGACACGCTTGCCCATCATGTGCTTTCGGAAGAGGCCCTCCTTCTTCTCCAGGCCTTGCTTGACACCGGGGGGCGGCAGCTGGCCCTGACGCAGAGGCATGGGGTTCTTGCTGGCATCGATGAACGAGTTGACGTCGACCTGGAGCTGCATCATCGAGTTGAGCACTTTGCGGCGAGTTTCTTCGCGGCTCTTGATGAGCTGTGCCTCGGCGGCGCGGTACTCGGTCTCGGAAGCGTCGGGACCGAGTTCGGGGAAGTCCTTCTTGGCTGACAATCGCGCCAACTCGGTGATCTGATCCCGAATGACGAAAGTGGTCTTAAGCACGTTGGTGAGAAGCTCGTTCTGAGAGTTTTCGAAGGTCATATCGCCCATGATACTGGCTGGACGGAATCGTGTGGGTGGCACTGCAAGCACGCCGACGAAGAAGTTGTCGGCGCTGGCCCCGTTGGGAGTGGACCAGATGGAGGAGCCCACCTTGGGCTTGACTTTGCCCGCCGAGTTGCCGAGGCGGAAGGGACCATTACGGCCGAAGATGAGCGAGCAGAGGGGACATTCGTTGTGGAAGAGCAAGCGAAGATGAGCCTGGCATTCGACGGCCGGCATGACTCGGTAGCCAGCCTCTTTGGGTGCATTGTCGGCAGAGATGGCCTGAGAGGCGATGTCGACCTCATCCTCGGTCTCCGCAGCAGCAGACGTGGATGCGGCAGAAGCAGCAAGGCGACGCTCCATCGCAGCGACGCGCTTCACGGGCGAGATGCGGAAGTAGCCCTTTTGATCGTTGGCGGCTACTTCGTTGTTGGTCGGCGCCTTCTCCATGATCTTGAGGAAGCCGTCACGACGCACGAGGGGGCTGATAGCATTGCACTGGCCGCAGCGCTTCTTATAGATGTCCTTCATGAAGTCGTTGATGCACTTTTTGCGGGCGGTGTACGCCAAGCTGCCTGCTTCTGGCTCCACCTGCGCCTTGCCGCTGGCCTTGGCCGCCTTGATGAGCTCCTTGACCTGCTTGTTGATGCGTGTGGCGAACTCGGCGGGGGTTTCGCCGTGGAAGCCTTTGGGCTTCGAGCCGCTCGCCTTCTTGCCGGACTCCTTGTCCTCGTCATCTTCGTTTGCGCTGTCGAAGTCGTCGTTGCTGAGATCGGAAGCCTTCGCGTGTGATCTTGGCTCCTCGGCTTCGATGTTCTCCGCATCGTCTACAAGACCAAGCTCGAGCAGCCGCAAGCGACCGATGACCTTGGTGAGAACGACGAGATTGGCGCGGAATCGGTGACAGTAGAAGCAGGTACCTCGAAGCAAGTTGAACATGTTGCCCATGAAGAGAGGGTGGAAGACGGGCGAGGGGAGCTCGATGTGGCCAAAATGACCTGGGCATTGATACGAATTGAGGTGACATGTCGAGCAGATGTCATTGGGGCGCATAGGGCCGAGGGCTGGGTCGTAGAGACCGCCAGCATTTGGGTGGTTGGTGGTGTCGAGCAGCACCGGATTGATGATCTGCTTAACAGAGATGCTGCGGATGTCCTCGGCGGTGAGGAAGGAGAAGGACGCCGAGGAGATGGTGGAAGTGATGGGCTTCTTGATGTCCATCGTGGGCTAAGATCCAAGGGTTGGCCCCCTGGAGCTCCTCAAGAAATGCGTTTCAACCTCGCGAGGTACGATGCCGAGCAGCGTCACGACGACGGGGCGGGTGACGGACGGCTCTGTTGCTTCTGGAGCGACAGGCAATGTCAGAACGAGGGTGTCGAAGGTGACGTGCGGAAGGGACGAGGCTAGGTGAGGGTGATGGTGAGCTGGGTGGAATGGCAAACGAGCGACCCTGAATGTCCAGGATGGCTGAGCATGGTCACTTTTGAAATTTTTCTCTCTCGCCTCTGCGCTGCGCTTCCAAAATCCACTTCTTCCAAATTTCTTTCGCATTTCGCAGCTTCAAAAAATCCACCTTAGTGCATGACAAAGCATTGCTTAAGCTGCGCGGCTCAATCATCATAGGATGGCAGTCTAACACCTTGAAATCATTTTCCCGCCATTGGCGCTGATGGTGTTGCTCCCATCCAAGCTGCGACCTCGACGGCCTTGGACGACGGCCTAGACTACAACTGTTTCGACTTATCGGGCTAGCTTGTACGCTGCGAGTGTTCACGGAAAAGGCTGAAAGATCCCGCACAGGTCCGTAGCTCGACACAAGAACAGGTCACAGACGCGATAGTTGTACAAGGTTAGATCAAATTGAAGATGCATGCTCATACATCGTCGTACGGTAGAGGAGGAAGAGACTGGGTATGGTGGGACCGAAGCTGGAGTAAGGTGAAAGAGAAAGACTGAGCAATCCCGGCAACGAGCACGATCGTCCGAGTTTGACATGAAAGAGGCATGAAAGAGGGATCGTGGAGATGCCGTGCTCGCGTCTAGGGACCAGCGACTCGACCGTGCGATCAAGTCGACATCGGGTCAGACGAAGCCGACCGGTGACTCTGTTGGCAGTGCACTCTCCGGGAGAGCTTACTGGGTAGCGTGCTGCATCTGAGTGGCAGGAGCGGCGTCAAAGTGGTTGGCACCGGTGGTGGCAGTACCGGGAGCAGCCGTGCCGGTGGTGGTGGTGCCGTTGACACCCTGGCCAGCAACACCAGCCTCGGCTTGCTTGTCGCTCATGCCGCGGTAGTGAGCACCAGAGAGGTCCTCGTAGTCGGAGAACTTGCCGCTCTTGAGGTGGAGCGACGAGTAGTTGCATCGTCGGAGCGAGTAGAGATGGAACAGAGCAAAGACGGGCTTGGCAAGCAAGTCAAGAACACCGTAAAAGACCATTTCCCCGTCAGGCGAGATCGTGTTGCTACCATCTGCCAAGGCCCAGGCAATCTATGGGGGTGGAATTGAAGCAGAGATCGATGGAAAGTGGTGTAAAAGACAAGAAGAGTCAGTGGTCGGACCAAAGAAAAAATATGATCGATCGTGATGGCGGCCGCGATTTTCTTTTGGAACGCGAATGAATACTTACGGGGTACAGCGTCCAGAGGATGGTAAGAACGAGAGACGAGTAGAGGTAAGCCTTCTTGAAGTCTGCGCCGAGGTGGGCAGCGGACTTGAGACCGGGGCCGTAGATGACCCAGAAGACGTAGAACATGGCAACGCAGCCCATAGTGTAGTAACCCCACTTGTAGGTAGACTCGACCAGAGCACCAATGAGACCAGTGATGATCATGACCAGGTCGAAGAAGATGGTGATAAAGACGGTGGAGAGGGGGAGTCCCGAAACGAGGAGAATCTCGAGGAGAAGGAGGGGCGTGGTGACAGTCCAGTCAATGTAACGGGCGTACCAGATGGAGCGGGTGGGAAGAGCACCGTTGACCTCCTGGGGGCCGTAGTTGGTGAACTCGACACGGATGGGGGTGGCACCGAGATCGGAAGCCATGGAGAAGTAGGCGACCGAGGCAGTGGCCAGGATAGCGGCCGAGAGGTAGTGGAAGGCACGCTCACCACGCGAAACCTTGAGCGACCAGACCATGGTGCCGAGGCCGGTAGCGGCCATGACAGAGAAGACCGCCCATAGGAAGTCAGATCCGTGAGTGGTGATGTCGATGTCGGCGACGGTGGGGTTTGACTGCAAAGCGGTGTTCATGATGGCGAGCTCGAGTTGTCGAGGTTAGGGATGGAAGAAGGAACAGAACGAACGTGTGATGGAGGGAAAAAAGCGACAAGTGCGTTTGCCGGTCGATCTTATATGGTTTGCAAAGCGACTGCAGTCTGTCAGGGACAGGAGCGGTACGGATAAGCACGGAGAGGAGGGGCAGGGCGGCCGAACCTTGGGACTGCATCACGACGTAATTTGGAAGGCAGGGAGGAGAGAGATCTTGGTCATGCTACCCGGCGGACGACGGGGCTGGAAGGGCGGCACATGTGGTCTGGTTCGATGACAAAAGCTTTGCGGCATCAGACCTCGAGGGACCGCGCTCGGTATTGCCGCGGAAAGAGCAGTAGAGCGGATTGGAGGCAGTCACGTAGTGACCAGGCGCACCGATTCGGACATACACGACGGAACGGACGGGCAAAAGCAATCTGAGGAATGTGTGCATGGGGCCGACGGCGTCATCAAGACAGCGGCAAGACGAGACACAAGCACAACGGGGAAGAGAGCTCACAGACGATCGGTCACTGAAATCGAGGAGAATAGCACCATGTGCAAACGTCATCTCATTGAAAGGCGGGCAGAATCGCGGCGAAAGGTGTCGACGAGAGCAAGGGTCCTCCCTAGCCTCTGGATCGAGCCTAGGCAGAGATGATGATGGATGAACGACCCTACAGACGAGGCGAAACGGGTTCAGCCTCGCTGAGATCCTGGGATCGCTTCAGTCTGTACGACCCGAGAGCAGCGTCATCGCCTCGCAAAAGAACGAGAAACCCTGACGTGAGCCCTGAAGCCCGCGAGCCCCCTCGATCCCTTGGACTCGGCAGGGGCGCTGCTGTCCACCATCGCGCGCCCGCCTCTACTGTATTTTTGTTTTAGAATTATTCTGGCACTTCCGCAAAATTCTACGCAAACATCCGTAAATTCGCCGATCCTCAGCTCAGCTCACCCTGGCTCACCGCTTCGGTCCAGCCAGGCGGGTAGGCATGTACGATGGCAGTTCAATAGCAGCGTCTCGACTTACGAGGACGCCAGTGGCACAGGCTATCTCGTCAAGCTTGAAGAATGGACGAGATTGATTGGGTGTGCTTGGAGACGATGGCATTACGAATGAGGAGGCTGGTCACGCGTGGAACCATCGGCTTGGAACAGGGACGCTATGGTATCGAAGAGTTCGATGATGACCGGCAAGAGACTTCCGAAGCAGAAGAGACACAGTAGCTTCAATGAGATCGTGAAGAGCTCTTCGTGTTTGCCGCGAGGATCGAGATCGAACGGCGGTTGAAGATGGGCTCCGGCTAGCAGCTATAGGTCGCCATCCCGAGTCTCGTCCTGAGGTCATCGCCCAGCAGCATGATTTCGCAGTCCGCTCCCTTGTTTCGCTACCGTAAAATTCGGGCATGCAGAGCTGACAGAGATTCCGATTTAGAGCTCTTTGAGTGAGACTGACCATGACATGACTGCAGCAAGATCCTCGTTCCCGACGGTATCGTCCACCGGATCTGCTCATGTCGATCCTTGTGCAGCAAGCCTTAGCTCGCACATGGTCAAAGAATTGCAAGCGTCAGCCGAGCGAGTTCCTTGCACGTATGATTCGCTCCCATCGGTCTGAGTGCTCCGAAATGCCTGGCAGGTGGCCTGGGGACTCGCAGATGGATCGTGTGGAGCGTCATAAGAAGTCAGACGCGTTGAGGTAAGCTCCTTGCTGCGAACTCATGCGGAGTTCGAAGACGAACGAACGAGCAGCGCGCTGTGGATTTGCCGCCTCTACCATCGGCACCATCAGGTGCACAAGTAATCCCGCAGGCTCGAAAGCTATCTTACGGATCGGAACCAGCTGTGAATTGAGATTGTGTTGTCATAAACGGCGAGATAAGAGCAGCACCCCGACATCGTTACTCGATTGTTGCCCTCATCTGAAAAGCCTCACATATAACACAAGAGCTCGTCGCACTCGCGTATGGGGAACAACAAAGAAGACCCGCTTTGCAGCGTCCCAGACTCGGCAAAGGCGACTTTTCATGATGTGGGAGCACTTTGCAGCCCGTAAGCGAGCGGAGAAGACAATGCGAGCATTCCCGATCAAAAGCGAAAAGAAGCTAGCCCGGCAGCTGGGTGCATATCTCTCCGGATGCGCGACGACGTCATCCATCATATCGCGTTGGGTTTTTTCTCCGTACGCAGAGCGCCGCCTTTTTCTCAGACCGTCGGGACCCTGAGCTCACCCTGCTTGCAGCTGTCTTTCGATCCGCAACGCTGTTGTCACGAGCAGTCTACGCGACGGCACGACGGCATCTTGATCGTGTCGTACGACGTACGGCGGCGTCGGTCAATCCGGCAAGGTTCCAACGGAAGAGCCGCTCGGCGGAAGAAGCAAGATGCAAAGTGTTAGGTCGCACTTGGCTTTGTCTTGCCGGCAACTGACCGCCGTGCTTCGCAAGTACCTTGCCAGCTCTCGAAACATCAACCGAAACAAGCGCATCGCCGGCCTTCAAATTCTTTTGCACACAACTGATGCTACACGTCTAATGCTACAGGACATAAACGACGGTTGATGGGCAAAGCACTCGAGGAAGACCTTCTCGATGCATCACTGAGAGTGTCCTCGAGAGAGACCATATCAGAAACCGCCTTGGCTTGTGAGATGAGACGCCGAGTGAGCTGATGAACATCTGTCAAACCGCGGCAGACGGAAAACAGTGGACTCCTTGTATACCGAGGCGATTCCAAGTCCCCAGCTTGAAGCTCGCATGTGAATGCTGTTGAGAACCATGATTAGGTCTCCGGGCCTCAGGACAGGACAAGGCGCTCCGATATCGTGGTGAGAGCCTGGTCCTGGGTGGAGAATCACGGTGATTGTGTTTGGGTCTTCAGTGCGGGAGTCTCCGAGGATGACATCCCACCGCTTGTAACCGCTGGGACTCCTGAGGGGAGAGATCGATCTGATCCGGCCAAAAAAGTTGACGTTGAACTGTTCACCCGTGCTGGCAGCCAGGTCCTTGATCTTGACGAAGTGGATCAGGCCATCAGGCACACGGAATGGCTGGTCTTCACGATCGGTCCGCTCGATGATCTGCTCCCATCCTTTTCCACAATCGTGTTGAAAGGTCGGCAGGCCTCCAAACTTGCCAGCAGCGATGCCTGCAGGATGCCGCGCGCGAGTAATGAGCTCGAATGCGACTGAACCCTCGCGGACATCAACATCTGCGGCCTGAGGAGCATTGCGCATGACCGCAACATTGACGAGATTCTTCGACAACGACCTCTCGCCGGCCAGATTGTCCGACTCCTTGACGCCTTGATCGTTGCCAGTGGCTCGGCCGTTTGTTGTGTCCGCAACAGCCTCAAGATTGTTCGTGCGGACAGGTGCAGACGCAGGCTCATCAATGACTGCCTCGGCTACGGGAACCTGTGCAGCAATATTGATGGCCGGCACGGGGTCATCGACGGGGGCAGCAACAGCTGCACCATCGTCGACCACACCAGCCGCTTCCTGTTTAGCCTTGTCATTCTGCTTGCAGGTGGCTTGACCCTTAGCTGCGGGGACATTTGGAGGTTCTGCAGCAAGATTGTTGATACTATCGATGTAAAAGCCGGGACGATCAAGAAGTGCTACCATGCGACTGATCGCGCTGGTGGCCAAATCTTCGGGGCAGCGGAAGGTGAAAGTGACGTTGCGGTTTGTCTTGCTACCGAACCGAACGGCAGCTGGAGTGAGGCTGTCTGGCAAGATGCCACCGGACGAGCAAGACAGCTCGACAGATGTACCGTCGTCGTTGCGAGTCGTCATCTTGATGTTGTTCTATCAAACGAGCCGGCAGCGAGAGGTTCTTGTCGACGTGAGCGGATGAGCAACTGGCAACCTATTGTGCGACGAGGACGGATTCGCGAACGTGCGAATGACCTTCTTGAGAGCTCGGACCGAAATGGGACAAGGGTCGTTCTGTGAGCGCTATCATCCTAACGTTTCACCAACGGTCTAACGTTCGACGTTCGATGGAGAGTACTTACAAGAAGGGGCCGGAGCGACGTTGTCTCTAGCGCCACCGGCTGGTGCGAGGTTGCTGCGACTCGTTTCGCTCCGCTCGTGACCGCTGGAATTTGTGAGTCTGAGTGTTGCGATCAAATCCGGCTCGTTTGATAGAACGAAAGGAGTGCGGACTTGTTTGAGACACTGAAAACGGCGAGGAGAGAAGACAGGAGGAAGACTTGATGGATGGATCCGAGGGCGCAAATCGTCTCACTGGTCAGCTCAGACGTACACGCGGTGCGCAAGTACACTTCGAAACGCGAACGCGCCATGATCAGACATTTGACACGGACAAGTTGACAGCGAGGAGGTCGTACACGTGCTCTTTGTCTGATTGGCTGCTAGAAATGCCGACTTATGAAAGGCGGAAAGAGAATGCGACAGAGCAGACTGGTTGCCATCGGTCAAAGTTTGTAAATGAAACGACGGCGCAGCAACTTCCATGTGCGCGGGCATGTTCTCATTACGACCATGCGAATCAAATGGAAGCGCAGGAGCCGAGCATGCGGGACGAGGAAACGAGCCTCGAGTCCGGATCAAGAAGCTGCGCAGGAAACAATGTGTGGCGATATAGCAATCCGCAGCTCCCTCATATCAGTCGGCGCTAGTCGACCCAACTCCGCGTCCTTCCACATCCAACGTACCCATCTTCACTCGTGCTCTTACGCTCTCTTACGCTCTGTAACGCTTTCTAACGCTCTCATTCGCTCAACATGGCATCCACCGACGGTACGAGCATGCTTTTCGCCCAGTACTGGGTCCCGGAAACCCGCTTCCCAGCCTTCCAGATGGCCGCGCTCGAATCCGAACACTTCTATGCGATCGAACGCGGATGCTACGCGCTCGATGGCTACACGGGCAACGTCATTGTGACCTTTGTCTTCTCGGAAGCCATGGTCGACTACATGCTGCCCTGGGCTCGACGCCTGCCTGGTTTCCAGTCGTACTCGTTCCATCCCAACGCTATCAGGAGGGAGTACTTCTAAGCTGACACGCGGGTTGAGTGGGATGCTTTGTGTCATGCGACTCTATTGCTAGCATTATGGTCCTGGCAGCCGCAAATCCACATGCAACTGCGCAACGATCTGCCGATACCCCGCCTCTTTATCCGCCGTGATATGCCCGTGTCGTATCAAAAAGTCCAGAATCACCAGCACGCAGTTGGCCTTGAACCGCCCCTCTCTCATCTTCTCATACACCTCTTCCAATGTCATCAATTCGAAATGATCCACCTCTCCGTCCTTCGGCTGCAGCGTGACGTCTGAGGGCAAAGGCAGGTCGTAGACGTACTCCACCTCGGGTTGGATCCATCCCTGTTTGGCGGTTTTGTAGCAGTAGCTGAGGACGCCCGTTTGCTTGATGTGCTTTTCGACGAGGTCAGAGTCGAGATTGGCTTCCTCTTCGCACTCACGGACCATGCTCTCCATCTGCAGATCGCCAGCGACGATACCGCCTGCGACCGAGTTGTCGAGGTACCCAGGCCAGGTCGATTTGGTGCTGCTGCGTTGTGGGACCCACACTTTGAGCTCGCCAGTGTTGGGGTCGGTTATGTAGGCTGTGAGGTGGACGCCGAAGGTGGCAAAACCGAAGAGGGCGCAGGCCGCACGCTCGAGCTTGAAGGCGATAGGGTTGCGAGTGCCAGGTCGAGGGTTGAGCCCGTAGATGGCGTACAGCTCGTCTCGCCAGCCATCAAGAGGGTCGGGGAAGATGCGAGCTTCGCGCCACCTCTGCGCCACCGCATTGAGACCAGTCGTCCTCGCTTCTGGTGTCGCAAAGCCGGCGGTGAAGGTGATCGCTTCGCAAGTGCGCGAAGACGTGGTGGGAGGCAGGATCTCGCGGTGAGTCATGACGAAGCGGACCTTGCGCAGGACAGGTGGAGCGCCGGCGCGAACCTGACGGGCGGAATCACCGACGCAGGCCTTGACGACTCTGGCGGGAAGGAAACCGATCTGAACGCCATCCAGAACGAAGGGCGTGAGGCTTGTGTCGAGCCATGGGTCGTGGTTGTGGCAGTGGTGAACGAGATCCAAGAGCGAGGGTGTCTCTCCCTTGGCGACAGCATAGTCGAGACGTCGCTCCGGATCCGCTACTTCGTGGACCACATCCAGCTCTTCTGCTTCGAGAATTCCCGAAGAGGTGGCCGAGAAGATGACTTCATTGTCGGACGACTGCGTCCTCGCATCAGCTCCAAGCACAAGGTTTGCTATGGAGTCGGACATGGCTTTGGCGATGCCCCGATCTCGAACGCGCTTGGATTCCGAGGGGATGGCGGAATGCTGTAGATTTTCGTGACGGGACCTTCTCGTAGCTATGTCGCGTCGGTTGCCGCTTGAGTTGTGCCTGGTCGAGCGCAGGGTATCAGTGTTGTTGTCTGGAGAAAGCAGATGCGAAGATCGCAGAATCGAGTCAGGCAGCTGCGAGCGGGGGCCAAGAGCTGTGAGCCTGTCGACAGCCGGGTCTGGCCTTGATGATGCTCTGGAAGAAGGAGAGAAGAATTGCGTGGCTGCGGCAAGAAGCGATGTGTCCGAGGACGAGCCTTGAAGACGAGGACGAGGTCAAGATGGTTGTGGGAAAGAAGTGACCCAAAATATTCAGTCTCGGGAAACGGATAGGACCCTTTCTTCGCGGTGCTCAGACCACGTGTTTTGAGCCGGTTGACGCTGCGCCTTCACGGTGTGACTTACTCGAGATGCTCGTGCTGTCTTCTGTTCGCTCGTTCACTTGCAATTCCAACAGAGCTCTGGTTGCGTCCTGCAATGTATGGCAAGAGATCACTAGCGCCTTCAGCCTGGAAGTAAGCCCGTCCTCCCGCTGAGATGCAGGGACAAGTAGCGCTTGACAGATCAGAAGCAGATTGCTTGCTTCGAGGCGTACCGCAGGGACCGATGCACTCTCGATCAGCTTTGGCAGAAAGGATTGCAGCGTCTCGAGCCCCGTCACGAGTGGTTCAGATGGTCGTGCTGGCCCGTCAGACTGAGCTGCGAGCGATAGGGTCCGAGCAAGAGTACCGAGGATTGTCTCCAGTGCAGCAATCGCATCCCGCCCGTCACTTGACGGTCGGGGAAGGAGGCAGGCCAAGCTGTGCGAGCTTAGGAACCCCGTCCCAACCCATTGCACGAAGCTTTGTGCAGCAGCTGGCGATCCCTCCAAATCGGCGATACGAAGATCGAGTAGCAGGCAGCAGCAAAGATAGAGGCCGTCCGAGGATCGAGGTCCTGAGTTCAACACGCGACCCAGAAGACGCCGCAGTAGATGCAGCCTGCACGCTATCGGCAACGTCGCGATGCCGATCAGCACAGACGATAGCCAGCCGTGTCGTTCGCTGGATGCGCTGTCCGTGAAATTGCCAAATAGGTCCAGCGCCACTCCGCTGGTCAGAGCCACTTCCAGATCTGCCAAGGCATCGTTTGGTACTTGTTCTTGGCTTGAAGCTGCGTCGATCTGGGAGGCCACAGCAAAGAGAGCGACCTCGACAAGACGTTGTGCTGTAGCGATGAGCGCACCATCGGTCTTGTCGGAAGTCAGACCGGCTGCCGAATTCGTCTTGACAGACATTGCGTAGTCCACAGCGGCCTGCAGCTGTGAACGCAGGAGACCGATGAGGTTCGAGTCGACCCGATGCAGCAATGCCAATGCTCTCTTCCGGATCGAGGCGTCCGAATCAGCGAGGAGTGTCATCAATTGACCCATGTCTGCCTCTTCGATGTTCAGCGGCGATCTCGCCTCGATTTGGCCAGCGTCCGTCACGCTGTTGGCGCGAGCCCAACCAACAGGGAGCAGTGCGTCCAAAAGACGGATCGCAGCCGTCTTCCTGTTTGGATTGCTGCTGTGCAGTTGAGACTTCACGTGCGCTGACAGCATCGCCCACAGCGCTTCCACTTCTGCGTCGTAATCGCCGGCAGAAGCGGAAGAGGCGGATGTCTCTGGACGTGACTTGTCGAAGGCCGTAACGTGGAGAGCGCCAATACATCGCGCAGCGGAAACGCACAGAGCCAGCGCTGCAGCCCTTCCTTGAGAGGCCGTGTGATAGATGAGAAGCACGGTCCTGAGCAGTTTTGTTCTTGCCGTAGGACGGAGCATTGAAGACGTTTGCTTGGACATGCTCTCTATGGAAGAGGTGCAAAGCGAGAGACAAGCATCCACCAGCCAGGGAGCGTACGAGCCATAATAATCGTGTTCAGTCTGCAGAGAGGACCTTTGCCGCGCGGCTGTACGCGCACGAATTCCCCTAGTGCGATCCGCAACCGTTGAGGCGAGGTTCTGCTGTTCAATAAGGGGTATATCGAGGTGCATAGGCGCCCATCCAGCCGCTTGAAGTGCTTCGAGAGCATGATTTGCCGCCTCGGCGTCTGTGATCAGGCCGACGGCACGGCAATGGTGGACGATCCTGATGCAGGCTCGAAGCACGTTAGGATTGGAGTCGGCGCGCCTTTCCATTTCGGCCATAATCATTCCATGTTGCTCTTCCGTGTCGGCGCCAGCTGAGAAGGCATACGTCGACGCGAGAGTGAGATGTACGATAGTCAAGGCCGCCTCGAGCATCTCTGATCGGCTTTCAAGGTCGACAGACTCTCCTGGGGGGACCTTTGCACATGAGAGCATCGCATTGAGCGTCATGCACCGTAATGAGGAGTCTGGATGTCGAGTAAGAGCGACCAGCGTGGAAGCAAGAGACGACAGCACAGCAGGCCCCTGTGGGGTGCCGGTGATGAGCGACTTGAGAGATAGCAAAGCTTTGAAGCCGACCCAATCAAAGTCATCTGTCGACGTGCTTTCCCCACGCTTTGTTCGAGTACTGCGATCAGAATGCTGGGATGGTGCGACCTGCTGCGCTTGATCTGAAGCGGCGGAGAGATTGATTCGGAAGGTGTTGAGAAGAAGCAGAGCCGACGAGTCGTCTTCCGTTGTCGAAGCACGTCGGGATGTGGTGGCGTTGGGCAAAGGAGGCGACCCTTTCTCATCTCGAGATTGCCATTCCTCGTTACGCGGCAGGAGGAATGGTAGAAGCTGGTACGCTACCAGAAGCTGCTTCCAACTTGTGGCGAGACTGAGGAGCTGCAGTGTCGGCAGAAGAGCGAAACTGATATCGATGGTTGCTGGGCCATCTGAGACGGATGCAGCTGAGCAGGGATAGTGTTGGACGCAGTGGAGCAGGGTAAGCAGTGCGGATGCGAGCTTGCCGACATCGCTGGAGAAGGAGCGCGAAGCAAGTTGTTTGCCGATGGGAGTCACCGTCGCGAGGATGATAGTATCGTGATGACGAGACGTACTGGCCTCCTCGAGCTCTTTGACGAGCTTGAAGTGAAGGCGTGAGGTCCCGCTCTCCAGCAAAGCGTACCACTCAGCGGACCGCGGCATGGTTGCGACTCGACCTCCGTCGAACGAGGCAGTAAGCCGAGTGGTTGAGCCGCGTGTCCTCAAGCACGATTCGTGTTGCGAGCCCGACAAAGTGATGGATGGCTGGTGTTTGTTGTGTGGAACGAGAGCACGGATGCAAGGTTCAGGGTCCAGTCAACCGCACCCACCGGCTATCTGGCTGCACATGCGGGACGAGCTTGTGCACCCTTGAGTTGTATTACTAATCAATTGTCATTGGTCTACTCCGCCTTGGTAAGCGCACGGATTCAAGGTTCAAGGCGAGTTCTTCCAGGCCATGACCTTTCTTCTGGTCATCTCGACTCCATCTCGGGCACACTTCACACGCTTCCGTTCAATCCTAGCCAAAGGCATAGGTATGCGTACTAGCCTACGTATCTTTGTCGCCTCATCGTTCCATCCACTGCCAACAAGAGCTTTCACGAAGAACGCTCCCGCATCATCGGTCTCTCGCCTGCAGCTCGGTCCTATCAATAAAGCCTTCAGCACGACCGCCTTCAAGAGCGCTGCAAAGATGGTGCCAGACACTGACTTCTCCTTGGCCCTCACCAAGCCTCTAGATGTTGTCCAGCAGATCTACAATGATGCACAGGACAAGACGCAAACCAACATCACCAAGTCGGTGGAGACGCACTTTCGCCAGCTATTTTCTTCTCCCGACGCAAGCGCAAAGATCCCTTCCCTATCACCCGACAACATCAGCACGCTCCTCCCGAAGCCCGATTCAAATCCGTCGAGCACCCATCGGCTGGTCCGCTTCCGCGCCATGATCCAGGATACCGGTCTTGGCACCGAGGTGTTCCTCGCAAAGCACCAGCACGACGGCCGCACCTTCACGGGGTTGTACGGCGGCGAGGCGAGCATTGCGAGCTCTCAAGATACGGCGGACCACTCGGAACATGACGAGCTCGATCATCAGAACCTCGCTGAAAGGACCGTCATGTATGCCGTCTCTGTGCCTGGTCAGCCTGCATGGGCAGCAGAAGCCCACCGCGAGGCAGCCGCGGCACAAAGCTCTCACTCCGACGTCGACCAGCTTGCCAGCGCTACTTCGGCAGTGACGCTGGACGAGCCACAATCTCCCCAGAAAGTGCAAGAGGTCCGCGAGCGCATTCGCAAAGCCGCACAGAAGGGCAAAGAGATTGGCTCGGCAGGCAAGGAGCCCCGATTGGTAGCTATCTCGAAGCTGCACCCACCGTCTGCCATCCTTGCAGCTCACAAGAAGGCAGATCAGCTTCACTTTGGCGAGAACTACGTACAAGAGATGGTGGACAAGGCCAAGGTGCTTCCTCGAGAGATTCGATGGCACTTTGTCGGTGGACTGCAGAGCAACAAGGGCAAGCTGCTGGCTTCCATCCCGAACTTGTACCTTCTCGAGACGCTCGACTCGGTCAAGGCTGCCAACGTCCTGCAAAAGGCCCTTTCGTCGCCTGATGCAGCGAAAAGAGACGAGCCGCTGCGGGTCTACCTCCAGGTCAACACCAGTGGTGAAGACGCCAAGAGTGGCTTGCCGCCCATTTCATCGGAAGACGCCGAGCAAGCCAAGGACAGCGAGTTGCTACAGCTGGCGATTCATGTCATCACGAAGTGCCCTGAACTTCGTCTGCGAGGTGTCATGACCATCGGTGCAGCCGACAACAGCTCGAGCGCCAGTGCTGAGTCTGCCAAGAGCGTCGACGAGATCATCTCCGCCAACCCGGATTTCGAAAGGCTCATCCAGACCCGTACGAACCTCGTTCAGCTTCTACGCAATTCCAATGATGTTCAGAAAGCAGACGAGCCGCACATCAAGGAGGCTTATGCGGATCTGCTGGAGGGCACTGACGCGACTGGCGGTCTGGAGCTCAGCATGGGCATGTCAGCCGACATGGACGTTGCGACGATGGCTGGTAGCGACAATGTCCGCGTAGGTACCGACTGCTTCGGCCGTCGTCCCGGCACTAGGGAGGAAGCGACGAACGGCATGAAGCGCGAGCTCGAGGTGGGCCCAGAGGCTGCGGCTGAGGAGCTGCGAAGTCAGCAGACTCCGTCAACGTCATCCAACTCCGCTTCCTCCTCCGAGCCCAACAAGACCAGCCTGCCCCGCGCGTACCTTGCCAAGTCTCCACTTCCTGAGGTGCCTCACGTCGGCGGGCTGATCAAGCTATACGATCTCGACGCAGCAGAGAAGTTCAAGACAACCGAGCTGATCGAGGTGGTCGGCATCCTGGACACTGCTGGACTTCCACAAGCTGAATGGCAAGAGACCGGATCTGCTGCCGGATCGTCGTCTGAGCCTGCGCAGGTGCCCTGCGTGCACGCGTTGTATGCTTCCTCGGTAGACCTCGACTCCCTTGCAGTCGAAGCGTCGAGTTCGAGCGTCCTGTCGCAATCATCAGAGCGAGAGGCTTTGGTGGACTACCTCGCCGGCGCGCTTGGTGGGGACAAGGTTGCCGCTGAGCTCGTTCTGCTCGCTACAATTGCGCGCATTCACGTCCGTCGCGCAAACCTTTGCCTCGGCGCGCTCACGCTGAACGTGTCCAACTTTGGCGCGCCTGCATCAGCCAAGACAGCACAGACCGAGCTCTCGCGTCGACTCACCCAGCTGCTGCCCGCAGTGGTGGATGTCTCGATGGACCTGTCGACGCTCAACGACGACAAGAAGCCGCTGTACCCACGAAGCGCTGGCGAAGGGACCGGTCTCGAAGCTGGGCGACTGCAGCTGGTCAACGGAACCACGGTTGTCGTCAACGAAGGCACGATGGGCGAGGGGCAACTCAAAGACACGGGCATCCGCAACATCAAGGCGCTCTCGTCGGTGTTGGAGTCGCATAAGCTCCCATACGCCTTCCCGTACTCCGAGTTCGAATTCGACGCGGACCTCAACGCTATCATCCTCAGTCAGGGGAAGAGCTTCTTGCCATTCGACATTCAGTGTCCCCTGCAACCCGGCAACGCCGACTTGTACGCGGACTCGGCTGCTCAGGTGGACGAGTCGAAACTGCGGGAATGGAGGAAGGCGCTTGCGCACGCCCGAAGCGTGGCAACCGCCAAAGCGTTCGAGATCCCGGAAAGCGTCAGCGAGCATATCCAGCAGGAGTTTGTGGCGGAGCGAAAGAAGGAGCAGGAGGAAGCGAAGGATTCGCATGGTGGTGCTAGCAGCCAGGAGGGTGCGCTGGGTCAGGAGGATCTGCTGCGCAGGATGGCCATCGTCCGCTTGCTCGCTCTGTCGCATGGCGAGAAGAGTCTGTCGACCGACATGTGGAAGAAGGCGGTCGAGCTGGACAAGACCTTGGCACAGCGCGTAGCGGCCACGCAGCAAGGCCAACAGCGACAGCAGCCCTCTGCTTCCACCAACGTTTCCCGATGAACGAGGTCCCTTTACACGTCACCTAGAGCAAATCTGGAAGCAGTCATAGCTAGAACGAAAGTCGATGCGCGAAAGATTGCAGTACGAGTGATATACATCATGTGGACGAGTTGAACTTGGCGTTGGAAAAGTCGATGTTGGGGTTGGCCTTTGCGAGCTTTGCCAGCATCTCCTGCTGCTGAATCTGATCCGAGGTCGGCTTGTTCATGGCCTTCTGCCTGTTGTCGAACATCATCTTCTCGACCATTGCCCTTGTCTCTGGATCCAAATCGCTCAACTTGGAGTTCTCCGGTACGATCTTGGTGGTGTCCACCTTGGGGTGGTGAGTGACGACGTTGGGCCACCACTCGTTCTTGTTCATCTTCTCAAGTTGGATCTCGACCGAGTTGCCGTCTTCGATGGTCCACGTGCTGTCCTCCTCCTTGATGTCCTTGGCCAGCTCGCCTTCGAAGATGGACTCCTTGCCCTTGAGCGAGACCTTGATCTTGCGCTTCTTGAGCTCGACGATGAGGTCGCGCCCCTTGGTGCCTTGCGGAACGGGGACCGAGATTTCGACAATGTCGAGCTGCTGCTTCCACTTATAGGGGAGAGCGGCCTGCTCGGAGGCTTCGCGAGCGCGCTCCGACTCGTCATGCGCCTTTTGCTGCTCGGGCGAGAGCGCTTCGTATTCTTCTGGTGTCATGATGGGCGATGATGTGTCTGAAGATGAGGTGCAGGAGAGGCAGAATGAGCAGCAAGAAGAAAGCTCCTCAGCTCCACCTTCAACTTTTTTGTCAGGCTTCCGTGTTCCGTCCAGCAGCGATTTCTGCAAATTTGTTAGGTCGGTTGGATGGGACTTGTCGGTGGGAAATTTCGGCCCTCAATTTCCCGACGAGCCAACGCACGGACAGCAGCTGAGGCAGGAAGCACCTTTCAGATGGCCGCGTACAGCTCTGCCTATCTCGCTCATCTCCGGCCCGGCCTGGCTCCGTGACCCTTGCCTTGCCCCCGCAACACGAACGTCAAATCAGCTGGGCTGTCCCACCACTACTTTCCTTCCTGACTTCATCCAGAACATTCATCATAAGCATCGAATCGCCGGTACATTCAGTTCCGAAGCACATCAAGAGTACCGCTCGGGTTCTTATCTTAGACGGGCCTCGCACACCTACGAAAGAATCGATCGGCTGATCCGATACCTGCACAGTCATCAGTCACACGACAACACATCAATCCGCTCAAAAGTCACACCTGCTTCGCACCTATATAGCCATTCATCATGTCGCAAAACCCAGTAGACATCCCGCCCAATTCCTCCAGCGGCGATGGTGCCGACCAATCCGCCATCGACTCCTCAGGCTCGTCGCCCGTGATGCCACACGCCATCATGCACCATCGTCATCTCAGCGGCGGTCCCGGCGTTGGTCCCGGCACCGCCTCCCCCGGTCGCTACAGCGTGACACAAGCCCAACAGCTCGCTTCACGCATGGCCGAGCAGGCGCAGAAAGAAACCACCTCATCGTCCAAACAGCAAGACCTCTCGCGCTCTTCCTCCGTCCGAGCCTCGCGCAAGCTGTCCGGAGGCACGCCCGGGTTCTCGACCGCCTCGCCGAGGCACTTCTCGCAGTCCAGACCGGCGCCGTTCCCGCAAGCGAACCAGAGGGAGGCGTTCGATGTGGCGGTTGCGAGCTCCAATCTGGCCAGCTCGTCGGATGGGTTGCAGGCGTTGTTGCGCGATCATCCGGAGTTGGTATCGAGCAGTCTGGCTGCTGCTGCGGGGCCGAATCTGGCTATGACGGGGACGTATAGTACGAGGTCTGGCAGTCATGCGGGGAGCAAGTCGAACAGTGTTCCCGGTACGCCGTTTGAGGGACCGGACCAGGCTAATCAGCAGGGACCCATGCTTGCTATGGGCGGTTCGCTGTCTAACTCGTTCCATCAGAGCCAGGCGCAGCAGCATCACGGCGTCACCTCGCCTCAGCATGATAATGGTCGAGGACGCATCCTCAAAGATGCACCCGAGGTGGGCGAAGGCGGTCCCTCCGGCAGCCACAGCGGCCTCGGAACCGCTCTCGGTCTGGGCCATGGCATGCGTACCGGCGTTACCACGCCCAACCTCGGCGCTGCTGGTGCGCGACCCGACTACTCGGGCGCCAAGATCGTCGTCTGCATGGTCGGCCTCCCCGCGCGTGGCAAGAGCTACGTCGCCAACCGCGTGCTCAAGTACCTCCGTTGGCTCGAGTACGATGTCAAAGTGTTCAACGTCGGACAGCTGCGACGTGCGCTGGCCCGTGCCAAGTTCAACTCGTCCGGTGTCAAGGAGGATCACGGTGCCAACTTTTTCGATCCCTCCAATCCGTCTGCCTACAAGCTTCGGAGCCAGATGGCGGAGGAGTGTCTCGAGCAGCTCATCGGCTGGCTCAAGCGCGGCGGCAACGTCGGTATCCACGATGCGACCAACTCGACTCAGGCGCGTCGCAAGGAGATCGCGGATCGAATTGCCAAAGAGCCGGATCTGAAGCTGGTCTTCCTCGAATCGATCTGTACGGATCCGAACGTGATCGACAAGAACATTGCGGTCAAGGTGAGCAGTGGTGATCCGGACTATGCTGGGATGACGCCTGAGGCGGCGAAGGCGGATTTTTTGGAACGCATTCGACACTACGAGGAGACCTACGAGCCGGTCAACGGCGATGGAAGTGAGGCGCACTACAGCTACGTCAAGGTGACCGACATTGGCAAGAGCGTCACCATCAATCGCATTCAGGGCTACCTCGAGTCGCGCATCGCCTTCTACCTGATGAACCTGCACTTGACGCCGCGCAACATCTTCTTCTCGCGTCACGGCGAGTCGCAGTACAACGTCGAGGGCAAGATCGGTGGTGATTCGGATTTGTCCCCTCGTGGCTGGATGTATGCCAAGGCGCTGCCGCAGTTGATCAAGGACAACATCGGTGATGCGCCGTTGACTGTCTGGCACAGCACACTGCGACGTACCGGTCAGACCGCGAGCGAACTGCCCTACCCGAAGCTGGCGTGGAAGAGCCTGGACGAGCTCGACGCCGGTGTCTGCGACGCAATGACGTACGAAGAGATCGAAAAGTATTACCCCGAGGACTACGCCAATCGCGACGATGACAAGTTCAACTACCGTTACCGCGGTGGCGAGTCGTACCGCGACGTTGTGGTGCGGCTGGAGCCTATCATCATGGAGCTGGAACGCCAGGAGAACATCCTCATCATCGGTCATCAGGCCATCATCCGATGTCTATACGCCTACTTCCACGCGCTCTCGCAGGAAGATCTGCCGTACATCAAGATCCCTCTGCACACAGTGATTCAGCTGACTCCCAAGGCGTACGGATGTGACGAGAAGAGGTTCCAGCTGCCCATCGAGGCGGTGGACACGCACAGGCCGAAGCCGCTGAGGAGTGACTTGGACGATCATCCCCCGACACCACCGATGGATCCGTTGGAGGAGGCTGCCACCAGTGCGCCGCCCAGTCAGGTCAAGCCTAATGTCGAGGTCGCATAGAAAGTTTTCAATTCGTAGGATAGCAACACCTCTCTGATTCAAACACCATTCTTACGCATACGATCTGGTTTTGTGACGGTCTATGAGTTCCGTGAAAAACAAGGTATACAGATCCACTTTTGTTGTGTCAAAACATTCCAGGATGCTACGCAGATCCATCTTTGTGGTGGGAGTGGTCCGGATGCGGTGGGGAGGAGAGAGTTAGGGTTGTCGCGGGGTGAACGTTGGTGCAGCAGCCGAGAGGTTCGGGTTGAAAGCTGAAGATGCTGCTGGCTTAGTCGGCAAGCCGTGCGGCGTGGAAGGAGTGTTGGGCTTTGTACCATCAGCGCCGCTAGCTTTGCTGCCGCCATTCTCCTTGCCTTGAGGCGAAGGCTTGTTGCCGCCTTCCGCTGCATCGGCACGTTGCTTCTTGCCATTCTTATTCGGCGTGCCATCTGCATTCGCTGGTGCACCATTTGCTTGCTTGTTGGCGGGCTTGTTTGCACCACCCTTCTTGCCTCCTTCATGCGGCTTGCTGCCCTTCGGCTTCGGCCCGCTTCCGTTCGCCGACCCGGAAGCAGCCGCGTCCTGGCCGGCCTTCGACTGTTGCTGCTGCGCTGCCAGTTTGCCCGCCTTCTTCTGACTCTTTCCTTTGACGCCACCTGCAGCGCCCTTGTTTGCCTTCTGCTCCTTTTGTAAGCGCTTCGACTCTTCCGCGAACCATCTCTCGAACTCCTCCGCCTGCTTCTGCTCTTCCCTGCGACGCTCGTCGGCCAGACGCTCCTCCTCTTGGATGTCAAGGAAGCTTCGTCTCGCAGCAGCTGCTTGGCGGATCGTCTCTTGCTCTGCTTCGATCGCCAGCCGCTGCTGTTCTTGGATCTGAGCAAACGTCAGGCCTGCTGACGAAGAAGGCGTGATCGGCGGGTCGTTGCGAGATGCACTCGAAGACGGCGGTGCTGGCGTCTTGATGTCAGCGCTCAACAGAGAGCGTGACAGGTTCGATGACGGCGCTCGCTGAGCTTCGGGTCGGGTGACACGCGGCGTCGGCGAAGTACCGAAGCTGCCGAGCGAAGGAGCGACAGCCGGCATAGCCCAGGCTGGCTCGTTGCTGCTCATTCGCTTGGGCATCGTCTTGGATCCCATGCGCGTCGGGGTGAACGTCGGACCCATGCTGTTCGCAGGCGAAGGACTAGCGTCCGAGATGGAAGGCCGAGGACCCTGTCCACTCGAGCCACACTGCAGGGGTGCTGCTGAAGGACGTCGGCCATTCGGCGTGGTCGACAGAGGCGGCGTGCCCTCGTGAGATGCGCCGAGTGCCATTGCTGTACTACCTGCGGCTTTCATGCTCCATGGTGAGCCTGCGGCAGCCTTGTCGGATGGAGAGGAGCCTGGCGCGGACATCTTCCAAGGCGACGAGACACTTCCACTGCTGCGTACAGGAGTTGGCTGAGCCGCTGCCGCAGCAGCTGCGAGACCAGCTTCCTGCTGCTGCCTCTTCCGTTCTTTCTGCGACAAGCGTGTATTGGCGAGCGGCGCGGGCGAGAGCTCGAAGGCCGGCACAACTGACTTGGGAATGGGCGTCGATGTTCCTGAGCCGCTCGGCGTTGTCGCAGAAGAGGCCAGAAACGCTGCTGATTGCTGCTGCTGGCGCTGCTGCTCCTTAGCCATGATGCTGCGAAGATCATTGGGGGTGTCTGCCGGCCGGAACGCTGGCGAAGCCGGTGCGTCTACCACCGCTAGCTTCCTTTCGGCCTCAACGGTGCGCGACTTCCAGGGTCTTGATGGTGAGCTCTTGTCTCCGGCATCGTCAAGGCTGAGATGAGCGACCTGAGGCAGCACAGCCCACGGCGAGCCCTGCGTGCGAACGTTTGCTTCCTTCCTTGGCGTCGCGAGATCTTCGTCGTCCATCGAGAAGACTTCTGAAGTGTCGTCGGCTATCGCTCGCTGCGAGACGCCAGCACCTATGGGTCGCAATGCATCAGGACTGGTAGGAGATGACACACCAAGTCGAGCGCTAGATTGGCGTCGGTAAGAGCCTTGAGCCAGAAGAGGAGGCGACTTGATGCCAGCTGGTCTTGATCCCTTCTTGGGCCGAACCTTGTTGACAACGAGATGCAAGCTAGGCGGTGGAACATCCAGATCATCGAAGAACTCTCGATGCTTCTCGACAAGAGCAGCCAGGCGATCCTCTGCAAAGGTACGATGCAACTTGTCGTCCTGCTTCTGCCGAACGTAAACCGTCAGTGCGCGGATCATGCCTTGATCCAGCTCGTTCAGTCGACCGCCCTCGAGCAACGCTTCCATGCTCTTGGTGCAATAGTCCATCGTAATGTCCTTGAGTTGACCAGCTTTGTAAAAGTCGGCTTCGGTCATCACGGCGCCAACCGTGTGGGCAAGAACGCGCTTTCGCAGCAAAGAGCTAGCTACGAGCTTGAGCTTGTCAAGCAGCAGCTCGTTTGCAGCGGCCATCACTTCGACCAAAAAGTCCATGTACTGCTCCAAAGATCGGTCGACATCGCATCCGGTGAAGAGAGTCTCGCCATTGTCAGTGTAGAGATGCATGAGCACGATGCGAGCCACTTCCCAGCGCAGATGGGTCATGTTGAGGGTGATGACGTTGTCGTTGTCCCAACGGGCTGCTGTCCAGTGTGGCTGGAACAGAGCGGCGAAGAAGGGCGATCTGCGGAGGATGACAGAGTGGCCGGGCACTGTGCGATCCTGGAACCGGAGCACGACATCATTGAAGCGCTTGCTGTCCGACATGTTCTCGATGTCCACATCGACGTGCGAGCTGAACAGGATGGCCATGTTTGCTCGCAATGTCGGCTCAGGCGGACGTGGCATGCTCGCTTTTACGCTGGTGGCCAGGGCAGAAAGTCCCAGATGGTCTGCAACGACGCGCAGCTCATCTTGAATCCGTACTCGGTCGATCTTGGCGGCTTTGAGCTCCTTGTCGATAATGAGACCAACACTTGCAACCCAGATGGGCGGCAGATCGTCCGAGTAGATATAGTGCAGCAGGAAGAGAGCAGATACGAAGCTGCAATTCGACAGCGTCAGGATGGAGACTCGCTTGTCCGTGCCAGCTGTGGAGATCTTGACACCTGAGGGCAAGTTCTGTTTATCAGCAGAATCCTGCAGAGCGTTTTGCAACAGGGGTATCCGAGCACCGAGCACAATCTTGTGTACGGGCAGATAGTGCCCATCGGCGATCAGAAAAGCGTCGCAGCCGAATGGTGGCTTGAGATTGTGAGGCCCGTAAAAGGCCTGCCTCCGCCCTGTATTGGATGAAGGCTGTGCTTGGGCAGCTGAAGCATCCCCGGTGACGCCAGCTTCACCCGAGCTCAGCTCTGACTGCATTCGACCAGCGACCCAACGCTTTGCAGCCTCCACGATGAGCAGCGCCATCCTGACGTACTTTCCTGTGTCAGACCTGGCAGCAGGTGCGTCTGCGCGCTCGTCGTCTGACTCGCTGTCGGATCCCATCTCGCTGCGAACATCCGAGATCTCGACGACCTTGGAAGCGATTCCCATCTGCTTTTGCCCATCCTCGCTGAGGGTCTGCACCTTGAGATGCGGCAGCAGGTCACGGAGCGCCTCCTCGACGGATCTGCCCTTGACGCGGACGTCAGGCAAGCTTGGATCTGCCTTGATGGCAGCGAGGGCACCGCTCTCGCTTGTGGCGACCTTGACCACGCGTTGGAGGTAGGGGATCTGCTGAAACTTGAAGTTCTTGCCTCCTCCTCCCTTGCCGCCTGCGTCACTCCTGCGTGGACGAACGAAGCAGTGTCCGCTCTCAGTGCAGAGAATGACGGACCCGTCGGCGCCGATGGCCACGTCTCGCACGGCGGTAAACTTCTTTCGGACGGACCAGAGAAGCTGCGGCTTGGGCGCTGACTGTGCTGCGGATGACTTGGTCGCAGACGCAGATGACACAGCGGCTCTGCCGGACGTGCCGGCATGGCCGTATTCGGAGGGATGCTCGAGGTTGAACGTAAAGAGGTCGCCCATGTCGCTGAGGGCAGAGAAGGTGTTGCCGCTGCTGGACAGCTTGGAGATGAGCGTCTTTGGCTGCACCTGCCTCGGCCTGAAGACGGAGATGCTGCTGGAGAAGCGAGCCAAGGGAAAGTTGATGCGGAAGTGGGTGTCGTTGTGCCAAACAAAGACGTCGCCGCCTTCCATCAAGCAGGCCGTGCCGAAATCAGACGCCGCGATCTGCTGAATGCCCGCCCCTGCCGCAAGCGCTGTGACCTTGCGTGGCTGCACTTGGACCGCTGTCCCGCTTCTGTCGTAGCCGAGCTGACCGGTGTTAGTTCCCCACGTGTACAAGCCTTCTGACGTGAAAACTGCCGAATGAAGCTTGCTGCAGGCAGCACCTAGCACCTCTTCCTTCTTGAGTGAGCCTGCGATGCGGCGTGGCGAGATCTGGATGTCTAGCTCGACGTTTTGGGCTGATGCGGCAGGCTGACCGAATGTGACACCGGCACCGCCGAGCTTGCCTGTAGTTGAGCCCACTGTACCGAGACCCTGTTCTATTGTGTAGCCTAGCTGAGCGAATCGATTGAGGCCGAACGAATAGACTGCACCCGTGGATGTGATGATGAGGGTATGATCCTGAGCGACGGCAACGGAGTGAGCTGTCTCGTGGAAGTCCTTGAGCGGTTCGAAGGATGTTTGTGTCTGTGGCGATCTACCGAGGCGCCCGTTACTGCCTAGACCGCAGACCCACACATTGGAGACCTTTTCGTCCGTCAAGATGACCGTATGGAGGCGGCTCATGGCAACGTCTCTGATCCCGATGCGGTCGAACTTCTTTCCTGCGGGTAGTGAGGCCCTGAATGCATCTTCGGTAGACTGAGTGTTGGTGGCTGTTGTGCGGAGCGAGATCTTGTCTGGTAAGGCTCGATCGTCTCCGTCGCCCAGACCGAGGTTGTAGTTGCGATTGGATCCCCATGTGAACAGCTGCGTCAAGGTGCGAGAATGGTGCTGGCGGGAAGGGTCGAATGACAAAGCATCTGCGGGTGGATTTGTGCCATTGACAGTCGAGTTGTAGAGATCGAAAGCGGTGAGACCCTCAAAATCTTTGACTCGGAGGTCGAGGTCATGGCGACGCAGCAAGATGATGGCAGTCCGCAGGTTGGCGACGTACAGGGCTCGATGTAAGGGTGTATATCCACTCTCTCCATCTTGCAAGTTGATGTTGACGCTTGGATGCGCCAGGATGCTGTTGAGATAACTGACGCTCCAAGGTTCTGTACTCGATGCGATATGATGCAGCACGGTACGGCCTAGGTGGTCACGTCGGTTGACTTCAGCAGGCGGACATGGCCCTGCGTTCTCCTTGTAGCTGTGCGGCGATTTGGAGAAGGCGGCACTTCCGGCGCCATTGGCGCTGACCTGGTTGGCATTGTTCTTGTCCAGCGGGCTGCCTTTGAGTACGGCGCGAAATCTTTGGAGATCGCGCACATGCCAGCAGTCAAGAAGGGTGGGAGCAACCATGCAACGAGGGAGAGCGATACCCTCGGATCAGGGTATCACTCGCTTGCAAGTCGAGGAAGTACTCGCCAATCGCGCGAGGCCTTCGTCGGCTTACAAGGGGGCGAACTCTCTCAGTCACTCAAGTTGTGACTGACGAGAGTCGTGGGAAAGCTGCGGAAGGGATCCGAAGCAATTGCGAGGGCTGGGCTGAGCTGCGATGCTGACTCTTGCACTTCTGACGGAGTGTCCGAATGGCTGCGGGAAGCGTGAAAAAGCGCGAAGATGGCGTCGGCTAGGGATGAACGTAAGTAAATACCGACGTCACGAGTTCGCAAAAGTCGGTGCTCTGGTGGTATTCCGTTGCTGGACGGAGCTTTCCTTTCGTCTCGTTGTGGAAGCTGTGGTGGTGAGCCGCGGCGAAGGATGTGCCGGTGTATATACAGCCGCTGGGATGGAAGGCTGGCTTCGTGTCTGTCCAGCAATTGCAGCCGGTGCCGGAAGGTTGCGCAGGTTGACAAAGTGAGATGGAAGAAAGGTGAAGATCAAAGTCACACGGAATCTTGTCGACGCAGGTCCGGTCGAAGCGAAGCTGCAGGCAGCCAAGTGGAGTCGGAAGCCCGCCTCTTCCGCAGCTGACGGCAATCTTGGCTCAGCCACCGACGCTCAGCCGCGCGAATTTTGACTGGCCGTTTGCTGCAGCCGGATTGGCCGAACACGTTGTGAGCTGGACCCTGAGCCTGCTGGTCCGTGTTCCATCGGTCACGCCGACGCCGCTGTACCACAGAGCCATCGAGCCTGAGCGGTGACGGACGAGGTGACGGTGGTTCGGGTCAGCCTACGCCCAAGGCTCGTGATGATGCTGCATTGTGATGGAGCCGCCGGCATTGGGGCCTTTCCGTGCCCACCAGGACTCGCGTAAAGAACCGCGTCGCTCACCGCTTCTCACGAGAAGGTGACGATACCGAAAGAGCTCAACAGCTCAACAGACTTCGTTCAGCTTGGCCAAAGTCAGCAAGGACCGTCACATGGAAGCAAGAGCGGACGACCTTTGCGCAAGTAAGGGCAGGCCGTGATTGGAGCGTTCAGGCGCTGGGCGCGGTTGTGTGACAGTGAAACACGCGCTTAAGTGAGTTCTAAAAGCACCTCGGACCCTGAGTGATGCCAAGCGTGTGCATCTGCGTTGGCTGCTTCCCACCACATTCTATCCTCGCCCTCCCAGACCATCGTCGTCTCAAAGTCAGTGCTAAGGTTCATCGCTACCTCCTCCCTCGTCACTCTTCTCGACATCTTCGATGCGGCTTCCCTCAGCCATCCCATAGACAACGGCCGCATTAGCCTAAGATGACCACAGCCGCCTCCTCCTCGACGTATGGCGAGTCCATCCTCTCGCCATCCACCACGACCTCCTTCGCCTCCTCCTCCGCCTACCCCATCTCCTCCGCCACCCTCAGCGGCGCAGACCACCTCCGCGACCTATTTCACCGTCGCATACGCAGTCTCGTCCACCTCAAGCGCTCACTCCAGGGCCAGCGCACGTGGCACTCCACGGTTCAGCTGCAACCTCCCGACCTCGCGACCGCCTTTGACAATGACCGTATGCACCGCCGCACCCTGCGCTATTCCCTTCTCGGTTTCAGCCTCTCCAGCATCCTCGACATCTCCAACCCTGCCGATATGGCTCGCGCCATCATATCGCTCATCAACGAGCTCGACAGCTATACGGACGACAACATCATCGCGCTCACCAGCGGTACGGGCGCGGCCAACTTCGGCACCCAGAGACCAAAGATGCGCAATCTGTTCAAGAGCGGCAAGCAGGCGCTAAAACGCTCCGCGGCCGCTCAAGCGATCAGCGAGTTCGGCACGGACTCGAACGTAGGGTCGACTTCGGCCGGTGCCAACAGCGAACAGGCCTCCTACCTCATGGCGCCCAACATTCCGTTCCAGCTCGACTTCTTTCAGACGTTCTTCACGCTGTGCGATCTGTTGACGGAGGTGTACTACAAGATGATCTCCTTCTTGCCCAGGGACGCGGCCACAGACGGGGCGGGAGAGGCGAGGACCTCGTCCCCACCAACGTCGGCGGGACCCGCAGGGCAGGATCAAGATAAGCCAGGCATGCCCAACCTGGCGTTGTCGGACTTGTACGGCGAGTCAGCTGTCGGTACCGGGATCGGGATTAGTGTCATGACGATGGATCTGTTGCTGAAGGCAGATGCCAAGATCAAAAAGACCATCAGTGTCCAGGTCAAGGATGTCGACGGTCTAGCGCGGCAGACGATCAAGGACGAGCTTGCCTCGCTCGATCCCTTGATGAAGGATCTCGGGATCGATACTGGCGCTGTCAATGCTGCATTTCAATCGTCTTCGAACAGCGGAAATGCATCAACGAGCGCCGGTCTACCCTCCTCATCAGCATCCGCACTGCCATTCAGCCTCTCAAACCAACCCTCAACCTCATCGACCACATCCCCAACACCAGCCAGCACACACTCGAAACTATCCACCTTCATACCAGCCTCCAGCCTACCCTCGCACTTTCGTCGTGGCACCGTCAAGCCCGACCCACGCACCTCGTCGCACGACGCAAGTGCTGGGCATCATCATCTCAACCTCACTTCCCTCGCCAGCAGCGGTGGTGCTAGCGTAAACGGAAACGGTTCGACCGACAGCGGATCGTTGATCCGCTCGCAATCGGGTCGGATCAGGAGGATGATGAGTGGAGAACGGGCGGAGGATACGAGTGTACCAGTCTATCCGGCGGCTGCTGTGAGCCCGATCAAGGACGCATAGTCTTTCACGACGAAATGCTGGACAGCTTCACAGTTCGCCCTTAACCACGCGAGTCATTGAGCACACGACGCATCAGGCAGTGTCAAAAGAGCATATCATTCAGGCTACCCACTCTTGACCTTCTTACTCGACCCGCCGTTCGCGGGTGTGACGGACAACTTCCTCTTCCCTGGCGTCGTTGCTCCACCCCCACCAGCTGCGCTACCACCACTGATGCCAGCCTGCTGTTTCGCATGTCCAAACTCGCGCTTGTAGTACGTCTCGAACGCTTTGGCGATCTCCATGATGCCCGGGTCGAGCGCATTGAACGTGTAGCAGTTCTTGAGCATGAGCTTGACGTCCGCATCGAAGCTCGCAAACGAATCGTACTTGTCGCCCTTCAACTTCCCCTCGATGAGACTGAGATCCCTCGCGTCCTTTTTGGGGATGACATCGAAGTACGTCGGAATGCCTAGAGCCACAGGGTCGACGGGTTCGCGGAACAACAGCGACGACTGGTGCGTCTTCAACCGGTTGATCAAGCCGACCAGCGCGCGCTTCTCATTCGCCTCGAGCTTGGGCGTCACCGTCTTGGCCCACTCCTTGCGCCAGAGCTTCTCCAGCTCGTCCGCGTGCTGACACGGTTCCGTGCCCGGCGGGTTGAACTGGCGACAGTTGGCAAAGATCAGCTCGACGTCCGCGGCGAACGACGACATGGTGGTGTACGAGGCTTGGTTGAGCTTCTTCTCCATCGTGCTCAGGTCCATCGGGTGCTTGATCTCGTCGAGGTAGGTGGGCAGGCCGTCGCGAATCGGGTCGACCGGGTAGCGGAAGAAGACCGAGAAGGGCGACTTTTTGAGGATCTGCAGCAAGACTTTGCACTTTTTGCCGTTCATGGGCATATTGGCTGTCGCACCGACGGGATCCGTCTCGGCCCACTTGGCAATGTCCGAAGACGGTGTGCCGGACGAGGATGAGCTCTTGGTCATGCCATTCGAGACGGGAGTGACCGGAACAGGTGAGTGCGCAGGCTTGCTCTTCTTGCTGCTAGGTGATACGCTTGTTGGGGGCGCAGGCGAGGGAGAAGCAGCGGCCTTGGTCGGTGGCTTCTTCGACTTGACTTTGCTCGCCTTGGGCACGCTCTCTCCTAAGGCTTCCAAGATGTCGTCGTCTACGCTCTGCGGTGGAGCATCTGGCGTCGCGCTGGGCGGTCTCGGTGATGGGGTCGCCGGCACTGCAGCTTCGCTGTCGTTGCCGCGTTTGAGCTTGATAAGTGGCTTCTTCAACTTGAGCGTCGAAGAGGGTGTGCTAGCGGGCTCAAGGTTGAACGTCTTCGGCTTCGGTGTTGGTGTGCTGACCGGAGCCGGCGAGTCCTCGCCTCCCAGTTTCGACTTGAGCTTGAACTTGAGCGAGAGCTTCGGGACTGCGGAGCTGGGAGTCGAAGCCTCCCTGACGTCTCCGTTGCTGGCAGACGCGGGCCCGGCAGCAGGCGAGGCGTCTGGCTTGCTTGGCGAGAAGCGTTCTGGCGAGTCTGGCAAGGCTGCGCTCTGCTCGTTAGCAAGCACAGCATCCTGTGCTGCCTTCTGACGGGCAGCCGACTGCTCGAGCGTCTTTTCCATCCGGTTCCACAAGGGATGAAACACCTTCTCGAGCCCCGCCGCCTGCTTGTGTGCCCACGCCTTTTCGTCAGGCGTGTATGCCTTTGCGTTGCGGAGCATGAGCTCAAAGTCTGCGCGCAGCTCGTGTCGATCCTTGTACTGCCCGCTGTCGAGCTTGTTGAGGATCGACCCAAGATCCATAGGCTCCTTGATGACGTCGAAGTAGTCGGTGGCCTGGTCTCGCACAGGATCGACCGGGTTCAAGAAGATCGAAGCGAACTTGTTCTGCATGAGCTTCTTGAGTGTGTTTCTGCACGCTGTGAGATCCGCAAACGACATGCCCGATGCCTGTCCGGGCGCAAGGGGCTTGATCTTCTTGGGCTTGATCTTCTTTCTGTCCGGTGCTTCCGCCGCTGGCTTCTCGGGAGTTTCGAAAGCGACACGCGGTCCGTTGGTGGCAGCGGCGGAGGACGGAGTCTTGGGCACCGTCTCGTCACCGGCAGCGGCAGTGGACTGACGGATGAGTTTGATCTTGGAGATGGACGGAGACTCCAGGGCGCCAGCATCAATTGTGTTCTGAGCGCTGGGCATCCTGACCCGAAGCTGCACCTTGTGCTGCAAAGGCAGGTCCTTCTCCTCTGCAGGTCGGAAGAGAAGCTCGGCTACTTTCAACAATGCCCAGCGCGCTTCCGCATCGATGTTCGGTGCCAGCAGAGCCGACATGAAGCCTTCACGAACACCCGCTGACCGTCCAATCTCCTTCTTGAGCGTCTTGAGCATCGCTTCTAGTTGCGCATCTCGCGCCTTCTCGGCTGCATTGACATGCCCACTGTCCTCTTCGATCAGCAATGCCTCGGGGCCGCGCAAGCCTCCGCCGCCAAAGACACCGGTGCTCATGCCGACGGCAAGGCCCTCGCACAAGGCTCTTGCCAGAGCCCGCTTGACCGTTCGATTCTCGTCGAGTCGAAGGAGCGCGAAGCAATAGCGAGCGATGATGCGATGGTCCAAGTTGCCAACGAGCAACAGGCAGTTGAGCGCGGCGATGCGGACGGGCGTGAAGTTGCCCTGGCGCGTGTAGGTGAAGAACAGCTGCAAATCCCTGGCTTTGAGATTGGCCAGCATCATGGCAACCTGAAAGTCAAGCGAGGCCAGCGTGATGACGTTGTGGTACGACGGGACCAACCGATCTAGCTCTTGCAGGCGCTCGACCTCGGCGATAGCATGCGACAGCAGGAAGCTTTCCTCGTTGGCAGCAGCAGTGTCCTGCGTGCCCGCCAATGATGACTCGACCGGGATGAAGGCGCTGGCAAGAGCGTTGATGGCGCCAGCTAGGTAGAAGTCATCGACAAAGTGATTCGTCGAGTTGTCGTTATACCGAAGCAAGTTGATCAGGAATCGCTTCACCTGCGGCGGGGTGCGCCCATCTGGATTGCGCACGCGACTGATGGCATGGATCAATGCTCGCTGCAGGAAGTAGTCTGCCGCGTCGCTGAAATCATTGGCCCGCGGGATGCACGGCACATCGAGCGGGTTCTCGATGGAGGCTTCGTCCGGCGAGTCGTGGCAGAACGACGTGCGGAAGAGCTTGAGGAGGTGGAAAAGCCCCAGGTTGTCGAGCTGCGGAATGGCACAGTGCACCAATGCGTGTACGGCTTCCGAACGTACGCGGTAGAAGTACTTGTTGACGAGGACTGTGCGCGTCAGCATGCTGCAAGTGACCAGAGAAGGCATCTGAGCCAAAGCATGCACCGCGGACACCTGTGCAACCACGTCTCGATCTCGTTGCAGTTGAGAGACCCACATGTAGTCCGGCTGCTCGAAGTGGATGCTTGCAAGCCACTCGAAGTCGGCGTCCATGCGGATCCACTCGTAAGGCGCAGATGACATCTTCTCTTCGTCCTCTTCGGTCCAGTCAGCGACCTTCCACTCCTCTCGAGCCTTTTCGTCCTCCCACATGCCGAGACCGAAGCCCAAGTCGATGAGTCCAATCGCTTCCTGCGCTTCCTGGTCACCTTGAGCTGCTGCAGCAGCTGCGGCCTGACGAGCCTGGAAGCGCTTCGTATTTCGGCGGACACGCTTGTACTTGGTGTTGAACGGGACTTCGTAGCGCTTGGCCGGCCCCTTGATCTCCAGCACGTGCTCGTACGGCGTGCCATCTGCTTCGTGGATTCGCACCGTCATCTGACCTTCAAAGAGAGGCACGGCGTTGGCGGCCAGAGCATCGCTGGGTCTCGCTGCAGCAAATTGAGCAGCAGGCACCTCCTGACGAATGTGCATCTCGATGAGAAGCTTCTTGCGGTTGAAGTTGGCACTGCAAATGAAGCGTGGACAACCGCTTCCGCGGATCCAGTGCTCGGTGAAAAGACGCAGGTCGGCACCACTGACCTTGCGACAGGTTCGGAGGAAATGCTGTGTGCTGAGCATGTTGTTGGTCATCTCGCCCGTCATGGCCTGAAGGAAGACCTTGGGAATGACACGACCCAGACCGACGGACGCACCCATCTTTCGCAGTCTCCGGTCCAGAATGTGGAGCACAAGCGGTGCCTTGAGGTTGACGAATGGCAGAGTCGCCGGATCAGGGGGCTCAAACGAACCAGCTTCGTAGAGAGGCGGCATGCCGATGTCCCAAGCGCAGAGTCGGTCAAGATCCTTCTTGAGTCGGAATCGATACTCGTTGTTGCCCATGAGCCTGCGCAGGAAGAGACCGTTCATGTACAAGCTGAGACCGTTGACCAGCCAGGTGTCTGCCCAGGTGGCTTGGATGATGTTGATGCCGACCCACTGGAATGCGATGGCGTGGCTCAGCACTTGGCGATTCTCGATAGCTTGGTCGATGACGGAAGTCGGATGAAGCAAGTCGTTGGAGCAGATGGCCATCATGGACTGTGTCGTACAATCCTGCGGTGGCTCGTCTACAAAGACCATGCGAAAGGCGCCGAAGGGGTAAGAGCCGTACTGTTGCGAGAAGAAGTCGAGCGCGTGCCGTGTAAAGCTGACAGAAGTCCGCAGCTCATCTTCGCGGCCGGGCAAGCAGAAAGCGAGAATCTCGGGTTGGCCTGAGTCGTCCACGACGGCAGGCGCGCCAGCTGTGACATCCGAGACAACCCCATTCGGAGCCTGGACACCCTTGTGATTGCCAGCTTCTATGCGCATGATGTGGAAGGGTCCCGCAGCAAAGGCAATGTGTTGTACCGAGGTCGGCACGGCTTGCGTGTAACAGAAGACTGTTTTCGAGGGATTGTTCGGATGCGTGACCTGCTCCATCAAGTCACCTGTGCAGACGACGACGACTTCTGAGTCTGGATCCGAAGTGTCGACTCCCGTCGTGGCTGCCTGCTCGAGCGCAGATGTACCTGCTCGACCGTTTGCTGCCTCTTCGTCTTCGTCTGCTGTGCTGAGCGACTTTGGCACGATAAGCTCGAACTCCCATGTGCACCTTTCCCACAAGCTGTCTACACATGGCACCCAACAACGTGCTGCGTCCGGCGACGAGGCGATGGTGAAAAGGTGGGGCACGCGGTAAGGCGAATCTGCGGTCGGACGCATGAACTGGAGGCCATCTGTTGGATCTTTGATGAAGTAGTCCACGCGAACCATGATAGGCGTGAGCTCAGTGGAGGCAGAGCCGCCTGGTGTCGGTGCGTCGTCCGGGGCCATGCTAACGGCTCTGCTGCCTGCTCGTGAGGACTGTACCGAGACATCTGGAGGGATGAGGATGCTGAGCTCGCCGTTGACACCGTCAGAAGCGGCCGCGTACACCCTTCGTTTGAGCTCTGGATACCGGTGAACATCGCGAGTATCTGTGATGGTTGCGCCTGTGACATGATCAGCATACGAAAACTCAGCAGGGTGACTGTTGATCGACGCTGATTGTACAGAAGCTTGTCGACAGTTGAGATGGATGGTCCGGAGGCTGCGATGCGTGGGAAGGATGGTGATCTCTGTGAAGCCGACGACAGTGCCGCTGAAGCTGAGATCGAGCACGACTCGTTGATGGCTGACAGTGAAGCCACGGTAGGCGGCAGTGCCTCGTTGCTTCGACATATTGCCGAGTCTGTGTCGTCGAGGATGCAGTGGACACGACCGTCGCGCTCAAGAAAGAAGCTGATCGGAAGAGTTGGTGGACAGTGCACCTTGTAGTCCGCTAGGCAGGCTAATGCGGTGATTGCAGCATGTATGCGCTTGTGAGAGACTTGCACGGAAAGAGGGAACTGTCAAAGCTGAAGAGACGTGTGATGGAAGTACAGAACGTAGTTGCCCCTGCCGCTGCTGCCGTATTAGATGATTCGGACGGCCAGGCAATAGTGGAGCGAAAGGAGGGTCCGGGTTGGGTGTGCGTCCTTGATTACAGAGTCGGGCTAGCTGGTTTCCGTGAAGAGGGTCGAAGCGTAAAAGAGCGTGAATGCAGAAAGGCTGCGAGGCTGAGCAAGTCGCCGTGCACGATTGCCTGGAGACGTTTTGCTGACTTGAGCCTTTGAGGAGGTCGATGGATATGATGGTGGAGCTGTTGTGTGAGGGTGTGTGTCTTAGGCAGACGATGGCTGAGCCATGCTTGTGACTGTGTGGGGATGATGAGTGAGTGTCAGATGGTCAGTCCTTCACAGTCGCGTCAAGCGGGAATCGGAATTTGTCGTCGAGCAGAGCGCAGATCGGGCTGAGCATTACGACACGGAGACTTGATCGGCTGTTCATCTCGTTGGCCGCTCAGATTCCGACATTTTTGAGGGTTCGCAGGCTGAGCAGCATCGCGACCTCGATTGGAGTTCGCGATCTTCCTCACCTCCCTTTCATCACCCTCACTTCAGCCTCTCGGTCAGCAAACATATCCAGGATGGCGACAACACTGCAAAGCGTGCTGCCCGCTCCAAAGTACGCGGCCGCCGTGTCAGCCCGCGACGAGGACGAGGACGACGTCTACGACAATGCCGAAGCAGGACCCTCGACCTCCGCTTCTTCGTCAAGCACGTCCAGCATCCCTCCCTATGGCCAACGAGCATCATGGCGACCACGCACACAAGCCGACTTCGGCAACGGAGGAAGCTATCCGGAATGCCACATCGCACAATATCCGCTCGACATGGGTCGAAACAGATCTGCAGGCACGAGCAACAAGCTCGCCATGCGCGTAGACGGCGAGGGCAACAAACGATACGATGCGATCGTTAAACAGGGCTTGCGCCAAGGCCAGACCGTACAATCAGGCTTCAAAGATTTGGTGCCGCTCTCGCAGCGCACCGATCTCAAGGAGAAGGACCGTGCATCTGGCTTCGAGCGGCCCTCGCAGGAAGAGGTCATGAGCAACACCGAACGAACTCGCCTCGCTCTCGAAGCTGTCGCCAAGGGAAAGACCAGGTCCGCTCTTCCAAAAGCCGCTACTGGTCCTGACGGCAAGCAATTAGCGCAATTCATCCGCTACACTCCGGGCCAACAAGGTGCAGGAAACGGCACACAACGCATCATCAAGATGACCGAAGCGCAGCGGGATCCGCTCGAACCGCCTCGTCATCGCCTCCGTAAAGCTGCTGCAGGTCCACCTTCCCCGCCGCCTCCCGTCCTTCGCTCGCCACCACGCAAAGTGACCGCACAGGAGCAAAAAGACTGGATGATCCCACCCGCCATCTCCAACTGGAAGAACAACAAGGGCTACACCATCCCGCTCGACAAGCGACTCGCCGCCGACGGCAGCGGCATCAAGGACGTGGTCATCAACGACAACTTTGCGCAGTTTGCCGAGGCGCTCCATCTCGCCGACCGACATGCGCGAGAGGAGGTGCGTCAGCGAAGTATCATGCAGCAGAAGCTGGCGGCTAAGGAGAAGGCGGCCAAGGAGGAGCATTTGCGAAATCTTGCGCAGCGTGCGCGAGAAGAGAGGGCTGGGTTTTCGTCTGCTACGCCGTCGGTGTCTGGACGTGGGGATGACGACGATGTCGCTTCGCGGCTGGACGACTCGGATGCGCCGGCAAGTTCGAGAGCTGCGCCGCCGGGTGGAGGCATGTCGGCAATGCTCGCAGGCTACGGCTCCGACTCGGACTCGGCATCCGGTTCCGACCGATCCGCTGCGAGTGACGACGAGGACGAAGGTGCCCGGGAACGCGATCGCATTCGAGAAGAACGTCGTCGAGAACGAGAGCGCGAGCTGCGCATGTCCAATATGGGCACCGAACAGCGGGCCAAGCAGATGATGCGCGAGCAAAACCGTGACATCTCCGAAAAGGTGGCACTAGGACTTGCCAAGCCAACGGCTTCGAAAGAGTCGATGACCGACAGTCGCCTGTTCAATCAGGAAAGTCTCTCGGCGGGCTACGGCGACGAAGACTCGTACAATCTGTACGACAAACCGCTGTTCTCGGGCAGTTCCGCCGCGGCTGCTATCTATCGTCGCCCTGCTGGCCGTGGTGGCGCAGATGACATCTACAACGGAGCAGGAGACGATGGTGCGCTCGAGGAGGAGCTGGAGAACAACGACCGCTTCGGACTGGGCCAGAGCAAATTCAAGGGAGCAGAGGCAGATGGTGAGGGTGCAGCGCCCGGTGGTGGTGGAACAAGGTCTGGTCCAGTTCAGTTCGAGAAGGATGCAAGCGATCCTTTCGCCATCAATCAGTTCTTGGAAGAAGCCAAAAGGGGCATCAAACGGTCATCTGGGCTGGAGACGGCCGAGTCTCGAAAGAAGCACAGGGACGAGGACGATTCGTAGCTTTCCCTTCATTCGTTCGAATCGTCATCCGCAGCGCATCGTGTTCAATCCTCCGTCAGCTACACAATACCATTGCTGCATGGTGTCTAGGGCCCCGTACAACGCGAATGCTGGCCCGTTGCATGTGACGGTGTCATTGGTCTGTTTGCCAGGCGCGTTCGCAGCCTTTTGCTCCCCCGGGCCCGAATGCTTGAAGAAATCTCCGTGGTAGCGCTCTGCGAAGAGGCGTGGCAGAGCTGGCCGCTGTCAGACCACAACCTACTACGCGGTCCTCAAGCTCTGCTCGATTGTGTCCACCGCTCGGACTCTTGGCCTCCTCGCTGTCGCTGTCGTCGCGGACGTGGCAACGCGCGCGCAGATTACACAGTTTCCCTCGCGGCAGACTCATGAAACGACAGTTAAACGGAGGATGACGCGGCTCTTTGCCGCCCACTCTTTTAGGTAATCCTTCGTCGACGATGTAGCGATAGCTCCTTGCAGCGACGGAAGTTGGTTTGGGCTGCACGCTCCTTGAGACCAATGATGGGATTGACAGTATAGACGCCATCTCTGTTGATGATAGAGCGCAGGACTGGGATGTCTCGCTTCTCTTCTTGCATCGTCAGACTGATGCTCTCTCCGACCTTGGCAAAGTCCATACGAAGGTTCTCAAAGTTAGGCAAGAGGGGCGCCTCCACTGCATCGTTTTCGAGCGTCAACGCGACAAGCAGATCGAGGGGATCAAGAACACTAGGCATTGACATTTCGCGCCACAAAACAACGTCACGACTGTTGAATGTGAATGTGAGAAGGGAATTGTCAGACCATGTTCATGGAATCAATCGGACACTGCTTTCTTCCTTGATCACGTACTCGTCTGCGCTGTTCTTTGCTCCCTTGCAAAATTGCAGTGTCAACAAACACAGGAGTCGAAGCTGGTGCTTGTTTGTGTGCGTGCTGACAGTATCAGTCTTGAGGATCTTGAAGATGACGTCCTGCCAGCACACACAGAAAGGTTTGTCCCCGTAGCCTTCCGAAATTGTGATGTCACCTGGACGGCCAGTGGTAGTAGCCATAAGAACCAGCAGCGTCGCCAGCTGGAGTCGCTCCCGAGGATGCGTGAAATGAGGTGAGGCTTGACCATAGACGTGGTCCTTGACAAATGTGGCGACGTCCGTGGACATGTGCGAGCATGTACAGTTGACGCGTGAACTTCACCGTCGGGTGCAGGTCACACCAGTCCTCATCATCTCGCACAATCAGCGCTCCAATCGGGATGCCTGACCTTTGCCCATCTTCCATTTCAAGACCAGTACCGGTGAGGTACTGCATTGAACATGTTCTCAACACTACATACTCTTCGGTGCCGCTGTGTCCTTGTCTGATTCACGATTTACATTTCAGTGTGGTAAAAGTCGAATGAGCGTTCTCCGTTCCAACATGTTTGACCCTCTATACGGTCGCAATGATCTCGCTGGCCGTCTCGAGCGCCGAGATCATCTTGACGCACTCCTTCCTCCTCGCTACGACGTGATCCGACTCCTTCATCAGCTCCTCGAGCACGTCTGGCCTGTAGATCTCCTGCAAGAGCTCCTTCTGCATCTGCTCCTTGGACTGGGTGACGAGGTTGAGCATGATGCACTTGGGCACCATCGAGATGGTCTCGACCTTGACCACGTTGAAGTAGCTCTGGATGAGCAGCTTGACGACTTCGGTCTCGAGCTGTTCACGCTGGCTGAATTGACCAGATGCCTTGAGCGACGGCGGAGGAGCCTCCATGAGCGCCCTCTTGGCCTTGGCGGCCTGCTGGTTCTGGGGACCCTTTTGGAAGAAGCTGCCAAAGAAGCCCTGCTCGTTCTTGAGGTTGACGTCAAGGTCCTTGTCGTTGTTGATGGCGTGAGGGTTGGGCTTCTTGGGGTCGTGTGCAGGCTGCGGTGGGTTGAGACGCTCGTTGACAATCTCCATCGCCTTGTGACCGCTGATGAAGTCTGGGTGGCCTGTGTTGAGGTAGACGGCCTGTGCAGCGACAAAGTCCGAGACGAGCTTGGTGGTAGGGGTCATACACTTCTTGAAGAAGTGGATGACGACTGTGTTGAAACGCTCGCGCAGAGCTGGGAAGCGACGGAAGCTGGCGTTCTTGGTGAGAAGCTGAGCGAGAATGCGGACCAGTTCGTCGTACACAAGCGAGCAGCAACGCAGCGCGGGATCCTCGAGACGCTTAATCTGCTGCTTGACAATGACTTCAAATGCTGTGGTGCCGACAAAGAGTGCGGGCGAAGAACCGGACGAGTTGTAAAGAATGGTGCGGATGTCGGCATCCTTGACCATGTCAAAGGGATCGATGGCTTTGACACCATTGCTGTAGAGTTCGTGGAAGACGAAGCTGATACGCGCACCACCTGCGAGCTCGTTGATGGTCAAGTCGTTCGAGTTACCGTCAATGACGGTGCGGAACTCGTTGGCGAACTCTGTGATGATCTGCAGCACGACGCCAGCCGAGTTGGATTCGCCCATCGCTCCACCCAAGGATGCGAGCTCGGCCTGGAACTTGGCGAGCTGAGAGCCGATCTTGTTCTTGATGTCGGGCAGCGTGTTGCGGATGTGGTGCATGAGGATGGTGTTGAGCTTGCGGGCGAGGAAGGGGGTACCACAGTATTGCGCCTTGCTGCGGTAGCTTGGGTGGTTCTCGAAGAAGTCCTTTTCAGCGTTGAGAGCAGCACTGACGAGCTTTTTCTGGTCGATGTCACGCTGACCACGGTTGACGACAGGAACGTAGCCGAGACGGAGGGGAATGACGCGGCCGGCGAGGATGTCGACGACGTCGGTACCTGCATCCATGAGATCGACCTTGGTCAGCACACCGACGGTACGCGTTCCCTCTGGGTCCACCTCGCGGGCAAGCTTGAGACCATCCGAGTTGGCCAAATCAGTGTTGGCGGCAGTGACGGCAAGGATGACGGCGTTGGGTTTCGAGATGAACTTGAGCACCATGTCTCGGATCTGTCGCTCGATGTCTCTAGGCTGGTCACCGACGGGCACCTTTGTGAGACCGGGAAGATCGACGAGAGTGAGGGTGAGCACATTGGGACTGTAGATGCGGAGATTGATAGGCTGAGGCGAGATACCGGCGTTCTTGCCAGTCTTAAGCTCGGTATCGCGAACGATCTCTTCGCGGATCTTTTCAAAGTCGTAGATCTTCTCGCCAGGAAGGTGGAGGAACTCTCCCCACTCGTCTGGGTTGTTGGCGCCCTTGTCGGATCCAGGTGGAGCTGCTTCGCCGTTGGCTCTGGGCACAGCAGGACGGTTGATGAGCTGAAGGACGAGCGGACGGCGGGTCACGATACCGGTGCCGCGGGGGAGGAAGTCACGTCCGACAATGTTCTCGAGCACACTCGACTTTCCGGAGGACTGCGAGCCGAGCACGGTGATCTGAGGCAGGTCGATGGGGTTCTGGATGCCGACATTGTTGAATGCGTCCTGCAGCTTGTTGACGAGCTTGATGAGCGATTGGTCCATCGCCATGTTGATAAGGTATTGCGCTGCTTCAGCTAGCAGCGGAGCGTGGGGCGACTACTGTGGCTATCTACGGCCTGAAACGGATGGATGCGCGTGGCACTTGTGGGATGGAGTCGTTGCGTCGTTATCGTGTGCGTGAAAGTGCGATGGTGGTGGTGATGACGGCGAGCTGCACGAGGTGGAGTGGATGCTACGAGAAGGCTGAGCTTCAAAGGTGTTGGCGTGTGATTTGTTGCGTGCAGTCCGAGCGCTTGTTGGCTGCAGCCGAGTCTCAGGTGGTTGAGAGAGGTGTTGGTTCAAACACGCAGTCACACCTCTCAGAGTGGAGAAAGCTTGGACATTTCCTGAATCGCAGCTCAGCAGCTCCGATCGACACAGCCTCTGAGCAGCCTTAAATTTGGCCGGATTCGCATTGTTAGCTCACCATCTTGCACAATTTGACACCAATACACGGCCGATAAGAAGAACCAAAGTCTAAATTGCATAGGTTCCACGTCAAGCCCTGCGAATCTTCCAGAAGTGAGCTGCCGCGAGCCTGCCTGTCCAGGGTCCTTTGTCTCGGCATCATGCTCAATGGCCCATGCATTGGCATCACTCGCAGCTTGCACGCTATCCCAGCGATCGACTCGGCCTGTGTTGATGGTCGCTAGTTTTGAAGAAGCAGACCCCTGAAGGGCTGAAGCGAAAGGAGAAGGAAGCATGAGATCTCTTTGACCGCTGAACTCGGCACGGCGACAACGTGCTAGCGAGGTCGTCTTGCGTGGCGGGAATTTGAGCGTTTGATGCTTCCAGCTCACCAGGCGTCGGAGTTCACGAGCGTCTTCTGAGCTTCGCCTTCAATTACCGCCCAGCGAAAGCACGGTCCGCCTACATATTCCAACACACCCTCACCCCCCTTCTCACCCCCACTGCCTCGTCAACCTCTACCCTCATCTGGCCAATTGCCTCAACACACCACGCTCCTTCCATTCGCAACTACCTCAAGATCACGGTTGCGACACGGACGTCACTCTCATCACCCCGAAGCCACCCACCATCTCCCTGCTAAGAATATCACAATGAAGCCCGCTGTCGCCGCTGCGTTGGCCGCCTTCGCGCTCGCAGAGGTCGTCTCTGCTGACGTTGCCCGTCCCCAATTCACACCCACCTCGATCCAGGCTCCCTTCATCGAGCAGTTCACTTCCGACTGGTCCGAACGATGGGCAACATCCCAGGCCTCCAAGTTCCAGAAGGAGGACGACACCGAGGCGTTCAAGTACGATGGCGTCTGGTCCGTAGAGGAGCCAGAAGTGCTCCCCGGTCTGGTCGGTGACACTGGTCTCGTTCTCAAGTCCAAGGCCAAGCAGCACGCCATCTCGCACCTCTTCGACCGGCCCATCGACCCCAAGGGCAAGCCCCTCGTCGTTCAGTACGAGGTCAAGCTCCAGAAGGGTCTCGGCTGCGGTGGTGCCTACATCAAGCTCCTCTCCGCCACCGAGGCCGGTGTCACCCCCGAGGAGTTTTCCGACAAGACTCCCTACACCATCATGTTCGGTCCCGACAAGTGTGGTCAGACCAACAAGGTGCACTTCATCTTCCGCCACAAGAACCCCACCTCGGGCGAGTTCGAGGAGAAGCACGTCAAGTACCCCGCCTACCCCAAGCTCGCCAAGACCTCGACGCTCTACACGCTCGTCGTCAACCCGGACCAGACTTTCGAGATCTTTATCAACAACGAGTCCAAGAAGAAGGGTTCGCTGCTCGAGGACTTTGAACCTCCCGTCAATCCGGCGGCTGAGATCGACGATCCGGAGGACAAGAAGCCCGCCGACTGGGTCGAGCTTGCCAAGATCCCTGATCCCAAAGCTACCAAGCCCGCCGACTGGGACGAGGATGCACTGCCGGAGATCCCCGACGAGGACGCTGTCAAGCCCGAGGGTTGGCTCGAGGACGAGCCGCTGACCATCCCCGACCCGGACGCGCAGAAGCCCGAGGAGTGGGACGACGAAGAAGACGGAGAGTGGTTCGCACCCAGCATCCCCAACCCCAAATGCGAGGCTGCCGCCGGTTGTGGCGAGTGGGTCCGTCCCGTGATCCGCAACCCCGCCTACAAAGGCAAGTGGTCCGCACCGCTCATCGACAACCCGGACTACAAGGGGGTCTGGGAACCGCGCAAGATCGCCAACCCCAACTACTACGAGGACAAGTCGCCTGCCGACTTCACCCCCATCGGCGGTGTCGGCTTCGAGCTGTGGACCATGGACGAGGATATCCTGTTCGACAACATCTACATCGGTCACGACCCGGCGCAGGCCAAGGCGTTTTCGGCCGAGACGTTTGAGCAGAAGATCAAGATCGAGCAGGGTCAGGAGGATGCCGAGAAGGAGACGGCGGCCAAGGCTGCTGAAGAGGCTGCGAGCGCCGTTGCGGGCTTTGTCGGTCAGGTTCGGGGTCATGTCAACACGTTCATCGCCCGCGCGCGCCAGGATCCTGTGGAGGCGATCAAGGAGATGCCCCAGGTGGCAGGTGGTCTCGGCGCCGCTTTCGCCGGTCTCTTGGGTCTTGTCGGATTGGTCGGCGGTGTTCTCGGCGGCAGCAAGGTCAAGGTCACCACCAAGGATGGGAAGAAGGTCGACGCTCCCACCGCTGCCAAGGGCAAGGCGAAGGAGGTGACCGAGAAGGCCAAGGCGACCGGTGTCCAGGCCAAGGACGCGGTCAAGAAGCGTGCCAACGCTGTCGCTGCCAAGGTCGACGACGCTGCTGATGACGAGTAGGGTGTCATTACTTTCCAAAAAGGCTCAAGGAGCTCCTGTCATTCTCCGCAGATTTGAATGTCCATACTTGCACCAGAGCATGCGTTTGCAAGAACTGTGTGTGTGCTTTTGAGAAACGCGGAGAAAACCAACACGGAAAAGCAAGGTCACGAAAACCCCTCTGCGTGCAGCGAGCCGCACGGGTCGTGATCGAGTCCCCAAAGGCTCCACTCTAACACCCTTTGCCCCGAAAATCTCGAGGTGTCCTGTGCGGGCATCGGCAAAAAAGTGTTGCTCTTCGCCTCTAACCATCTTCTCTCCACCACATCATCCAATCACCTCGACAAGGACGTTGCCCACCATGGAGCAGATCGCACAGCAGTTCACCGACTTTTACTACTCGACGTTCGACGCTGATCGTAATCAGCTGGTCAACCTTTACGTATGTTTCTCGCCGAGAGGATGTTGGAGGAGGGGATGTCGGGGAAGCCGGCTAAGGGGAGGGATGGAAGCTCGTGATGAGCTGTGATGGCGTGGGGACGATGCCTTGTTTGGCAGTGGAAGATGATGGGTGGTTTTGGGGGGTAGACAGATGCGGACGATGGTTAGATGCTGACGTTTAACTTTGCTCCCTCTTTCCATCGCAATAACGGGATCCTCTGACGGCAACGTACGATCTCTCGACCCACTCGCAGCGCGGCAACTCGATGCTGACCTTCGAAGGCTCGCAAGTGCAGGGTGCGCAAGCCATCGTCGAGAAGCTCACGGTACGTTCGCCCTCCCTCCCTTCCTCCCTTTCCTCCGTTTGCTCTTGACTTACTCTCTCTTCTCTCACTCGTAACCGGAACGCCATGAAACGTTGGGCAATTGTAGGGACTGCCGTTCCAAAAGGTGCAACACAAGGTCGAGACGCGCGACGCCCAACCCACGGGCGACGGCAACAGCCTCGTCGTCCTCGTCACCGGCACGCTCGCCGTCGACGACGGCCCTCAACCGCTCAAGTTCTCCCAGACCTTCACGTTGAACCCCGAAAACGGCTCTTTCTACGTCTTCAACGATATCTTCCGGTAAGCAGCGGCCTCAGTGAGGCAGGACTTTCAGGAGACTGGGACAAGTTGCTGACAGTTCTGTGTGTTCCCTGTGTGCTTTCGAACAGCCTCAACTACGGTTAAGCGAAAGTAGAGGTGTAGATCCAATACCACTCTTTTGAACAATCGCTTGCAGAGCCGAGTCTGTGACGTGGGTCTGTGGTCCAATTGTTGCTTCGCAACTCAGCTCCACACGATGATCCATAGCGAGCTCACTCAGACATCCACACGCCAAACGCTGACAAAAGGGCCAATGAGCTTCACATTCCCCCACACCCTGCCTCACGTGCCGAAAATGTGCTCGACCTCATCGATCCCTCCCGCCTTCCTATGCTGCAGCGGCAGCGGCGCCTCTCCTTCCTCCTCTTCCTCCTCCTGGTTCTCCTGCTCCCTCCTCGCCTCTGCCTGCGCTAGCATGTCGAGCGAGTCGAGTTCGTCGTCGTTCTTCCAGTCCGTCAGCACTGGACGGAGGGGGCTGCTTTCCGAGTTGCTCCTGCTGTTGCGTCTGCTGCCCGGTCTGCTGCCTCCGCCTGTGGATGCGACGCCGCTGATGGTGAACGGTCGGATGGGCGACCCGGGAGAGGTGTCGAGCGCCGACCCACCCGAAGGCGACATCAACGGCGACTGCAGCGGCGAAGGCTGCTTGCCCCCGTGCAACGGGATCGGCGATGGCGACGAAGGCGAGAGAACGCCCGAAGTCAAATACCGCATCTCTTTCGGCGACAGGTGCTCCCAATCGTTGCGATTCTCATCCCGCCCTTCTTCGCCTTCGTCATCGGTGACCGAGCTCGAGACCGAGCCGGGACCGGAGCGAGAGTCGATACTCGAGGCGTCTGAGTCGGTGACCGTCTCGCCGAGGATCTCGCCCAGACGAGCCCAGGCGGTGGAGGATCCCTGTTGAGTCAACCCCCACTTGCCAGAGCTCCAGCCCGAACCGGGCGCGTTGACGTCGCCATCCTCGTGCATGGTGGGACCATCGCCAGAGGAGGTCTCGTTCTCGGACGGGTAAAAGACGTTCTCGCCAAACACCTCGCCGAGCACATCCTCGTACGTGTCGAGGTAGCCGTCGACCACGTCGTCGGGTATGTATCCGCCTGGCGCCGAGGTCTGGTGCGATCTGCGCAGTGGCGGCAGCACATCGCTCTCGAAGAACGAGGGACCGTTGTGATTGCGTGTTGGCGAAAGCATGGCTGGGTTCGATGAAGGCTCGTTGCTACCATCGCCGTTCGCTGCTCGCTGCTGTGAGGCGTCTTGCGGTGTCTGCCCTGGTTGAGACGGCGGGCCTGGCTGCTGCTGGCCTGGCTGCTGCTGCTGGCCTGGTTGCTGCTGGTGAATGACCGACTGGGTCGCCTGCTCCTGCTGATGTCGATCGACGCTAGTGCTGATAGTTCGCTTGTGAGCGTGGCCCTCGCCGTGAGTGTGGCTCGCTCTAGGGGGCGGTCCAAATCGCGTGTTGTTGTAGAACTTGACCAGCGATCGGAGCGCTTGCTCCTGCGGCAACGAGTCCTCGACATCCGCCTCGACGTCCGAGCCGCTCAGCCACTCGTCTCGGAGATCGGGCCTGCAGTTGAGGTAGATGCTGGTGATGACGCGCATGTTGCTCTGACGCCATTTCCTGCCGCAGAATGGGATCTGACTCTTGATCACCTTCAAGACGTATAGCTCCAGTCCCTGGTGCGGCACCTTCAACGATCGCTTGAGGATCGCCGAACTCTTGTACTGCACCAGCAGCAAGATCCTGTGCACCTTGCGCTTGGTGAGCTTCTGCAGGATCCGGGTGAAGTTGATGCTCGAGAAAAAGTTGCGCCACGAGTAGTCGCTGACTACTTCGATTTCGGTTCCATCCGGCATGGTCGTCACCTTTCCTGGCGGCGGCGAGGTGGTTCCGGGGTTGATGGCGACAGGCCCGATGATGTTGTGCCGAGACATGAGCGAGTCTTCCGCTCGGGAACCGCGTGCTTCGCGACCACCGTTGAGGTAGCAGTAGTTGAAGAATCGGAAATTCTCTGCTTCGTTCTTGGTCTTGACACCGTGTGCGATCTCTTGCAGACCAAAGATCTTGAGGATGAGGAGGAGAACGTTGCTGTCGACCAGTACCTGAGACAGATAGTTGAACTTCATGACGTGGCTTGCCTTGAACCACTTGAGACACAACAGCAGAATGGCCGAGACGGCTTTCGTCAAGATCTCGCGATGGCGTGCAACGTCGACATCTTCGAGCGTCGGAGGCGGCGCTTCGTCAATAGCAGCGCCCTCGGCAATGGCGGCAGCGTGTGCTGAGTTGGTGTTGATCGAGGTGACGGTCGCCAGCAAGAGCTTAAGGAGGACGATGACCGAAGACTGGAGCTGCGGAAGCACGGCGCGGTAGAGCTGGTCGACACGCTGCAAGCGACGTACGTCGGCTCGCTTCTGCGCTAGCTGATCGATCAGCTCTGTGTAACGAGGGTTGTCGAGCGCTGCCAACATGTGGTCCCCCTCGACCGCACGCAATTCCGCCTCGATGTCTTCTTCGATCTCGACGAGGTGCTCGTACGTGGCTTCGCCCTTGACTTTGAAGGTGCGCTCCGATGCGCCCCTGGAAGGGAATGCTTCGGAGCTGACGGGGCTGCGACTGCCTTGCGAAGAGGAAGCAGCATCGGTGCGGTTGACGTATGCCTTGGACGCAGCCTGCTTCACCCCAAGGCCAATACGCGTACCATCGGCTGCGCTTCCTACGCCGCTCTCTTCCTGGATGCATTGCTCGCGTACGCGCCATGTCTGCCACAACTCCAGACTGACGTGCATGTGCTCGGAGTACAGCTTGGAGGCTTCATCGATGCTGCGCGGCACGAGTCGACCCGGTCCGTGCACCTGCCGACTGTAGGGAAAGATGAAGGGTCGCGTCTGGTCCGTCTGGTACTTGGCCTTGTTCGGTTTGGGCGATGGTGGTGGAGATGGCGCGGGGGTGCCGGGCAGCATGCCGTTGGGTCCCTGCTGAGGACCGCCGGGATACCCGCCGCCGGAGCCGTCAATGTTGTTGCTGAAAGGCTTGCGGGCCGGAATGGGATGGATCGCGCTGGCTAGCTTGTCGAGGGGAAGGTCGTTGTCCTGACGCTTTGGCGGCTCGAATGTTGGATATTTGACCGAGATCTCGTGCTGGAAATCTTGAAAGTCGAGAGGATCCGACTTGAGCACGTTCCGTTTTGCCGATCTGTCGATGGGTCCCAATCCTTCGATCTCACGAGCGAGGAGCTTGCAGCGCTCAACCTCCTTCATACCGCCGAAGCACGAAAGCAGCGACTTCCATAGCAGAAGCAAGAGCTTCTTGACGGGGTAGCCCTTGGCACTCTTCTCGCGCAGAGAAGCGACCAAGCCAAAGAGGAAGATGGGAAGAGGAGGATCGAGACTCATGAGCTCGTCGCCCCATTCGTCTTCGCCTCTGGAGCTCTCGAGAAGCGAGTAGAGCTGTGCAAAGTGAAGGGCAAGCTCGAGATTGATCTCGTCGAGGTACTCGAGCTTGGCCTCTGGTGTGAGAAGGGGAGCGTTGGCGGGACCGTGATGACCTGCTTGGCTGGGCTCGTGGGATGGAATGTGATCAGGAAGCGAACTGAGGTAGTCGTGTTTCCAGCTTGCCAGCTTGACAGCCGAGTAGATTTCGCCGAGACCGCCGAGGGACCGAACGGTGCGTGCGTTTTCGAGGAGCCAGTGCAATTGATGTTCTGGCCCTGCAGTATCGGCAAAGGCGCCCTGGAGCAGATAGAGAAGGGCACGCGAAGCGCGGAAGCGTGCTTCGGGATCGCGAACTTCGAGCGTGGAAAGCAAGGATTGGAGGATGCGCCGACGGGTAGCGCTACCGAGAGTCGTCCATTCGCCCAGCAGAGGCTCAGTCAAGCTGGGTCTCCTGTCCGTCCTGACTGAGCTGGTGCCTGCATCGTTCAAGTTAAGGCCTAAGCCGAGTGATTCCATGTCTTCTGTCGCTGAATCGGGGCCTGCGGACGAATAGCTGGCGTTTCGCCGATGCGCAGGCAGCGCACACCATTCTTCCCAAGCGGCGCGGTTCTCGGCGGTCTGAGGAACTTCGACGTAGGAGTAGAACTCGTCGATCTCATTCTGCATGGCGTCGGCGTCGGCGTTGATGGGAAAGTCATACTGTCGAGACTTGGGTTTGTCGATGACAATGAGATTGCGAAGCTGGCCGAGAGTGACCGAGTCGAGGGGGCCTCCTGCTTGAGATTGCGCTTGTTGGCCGGCTTGGCCTTGTGGCTGATTCGATGGAGTCGTCATGGCTGGCGTATCTTGCAGCTGGGCCTGACTTCGCTCGAGGTGTTGACGGAAGGACAAGCTGCCTGCAAAGGGTTGGGCACGCGGATTCGATTGCGTTTCGGTCTGCGATGCGGGTCCGCCCTCGGCAACGGCAGCAGTATCGGCAGCACCGCCAGCGTTCTGGGAAGAAGTGTGCTCGCCGATTGCTGAGCTCCCACCGGACTGGATCGAAGCCGGTGCTGAAGTTGAAAGCGAGCTTGCACTGGCAGCAGCAGCAGCAGCGGCAGCGAGATCCGACGACTGTGTGGAGCCTAGCCGGAAGAGGACTTTGCGCAGGGCAGGATTCTGGCCTGTGCTGACAATGTCGTCGACAAGCGAGCTTCTGACAGCTGACGGCGGTGGATAGCTGCTGCTGCTGGCGGCGTCGACACCGGAGGAGGTGAAGGAGGAAGCGCTTTGACTTCTGCTATGCGATGGCTGATTCGAGTTGGCGGGAGTGAAGGAGGAGAGGTTGATGCGACAATTGAGCGCGTCTTGCAGGTTGGCGCTTTGCGTTCTGCGACGACGAGTGGGGATGTTGAGCGGGTTGGAAGGAGGAGGATGAATGATGCACGGCGATGGCTCTGGCGCTCGTTGAAGGCAGCGCACCAGAGAGGGGACGAAGGTCGTTAAGGAAAGCTTGGTGAGAGGTGGGAGTGAATTCGAAGCGTGCCTGACAGTTGGGAGGCTGAGCTAAAGAGTCTTCGAGGGTATCAGCTGAGCAAAACTACTGTAGTCTGTTGGAGAGGTCAGGAGCAGCCAGCATGCAAGCAAAGGGTGATGCTAGCGTAGTTGTGCAGCATGTTGCTTGTCCACTTCTCAGAGATCACAATTCTCATGCTTTCGTGTGTGTCTGTGCTTCTCAAGCTGTCACATCCCTGAACGCGTCGACCCGATAGCTGTGTGTGCACATTCCCAGATCGGGAGATTCGATCCGCATCGTCGGAAGCTCGGCAAAATTGCACGCGGTGGATGGTGCACCTCCCTCATACCACTATTGAACGTCGCGTTGTTGGCTCGGCCAAGTCCGCACCTTGACGACGGATGATCCGGTCTTGACGGTCAATGCAGCCAGAAAGCGCGGGCTCGGACATGCGGATGAAGAGGATTCACAGTGTGTGTCACCTTGTCCCCCCAGGCGTAGTCAATCACGAGCATAGTTCGGCTGGATTTCAATTGGGCGGGCGGGCAGTTGTCCGACATGGTACAAGGCGGCTGAGCACACCCTTGCCGAAGAACCGTCCATACAGTGCTGAGAATCGGCCTTGTTTCTTCTTGCGGTACCAGTTGCACAGACGCAAGCTTTGAGACGGGCTGAGTATAAGTAGCATACCAACCCTTCTTGGATCTTCCTGAATCTTGACAACATCCTCTTCGCTCTACCTTGCCTCTGTCGCACATCGTCAATGACCATCCTCCCTTGATTCTCCATCTTTTAGTCAAGCTCGAAGCTTCATCGACATCTGCTGCTCCATCTTGGCACCTTACCTCAACTAGCTTCGCCTTGGGCTCCCGCCGGCGAAAATCACGGCTTTTGCGAAATCGTGAATTTTTGCATACCCTTTTGGTAGCCGCGAGTTCCTTTCGTCATCCACTGGGTTTGCAAATCACCGGCGCTACGACACAGAGTGCCTTCCTAAACCGGTCTGCCTTCAACACTTTCTTTTGTCGCTCCTCTTGCCGAGGTGCTCCTTGGTGCTAACTTTTCGGCAACGTCCAACGATCCGTTGCCGCGGTCCCCTTACGCTGTTTAGCTTGCGTTCCTACTGGGTAGACGGGGAGCTGGTCTCCTCCAACTTTGCTCGCCACCACCATCATCTTTGCCCAGTCGAATCCTCCGACGGCGCCCTTGATCGCGATGGACACATCAGCGATACATTCGCAACGCACCAGCATGTCGGAAACTGGAACCGCAACGGCTCGTGCCAGCACCAGCTCGCGGGCTGCCTCTCCTTCTCGTTCTGGCGCCTCACCAAACAAGTCCCAGGCAAGCGCATCAAAGCTGGAACAGGGAGACAACAAAGAGGGGCACAACAGTCATGACTCGCCTCAGAACAAGGATGCTGCCCAAGAGAAGCGCGATCCCAACCTCGTCACGTGGACAGACGACGATCCCGATAACCCTCTCAACTGGACCTATCCTCGCAAGGTCATGCTGCTGTTCGTAGTGACGGCGTGCGCTTTCTGCGTCACCAACACCTCTTCCATCATCAGCAATGCCTATCAGGGCATCCAGGACGAGTTCCACGTTTCGCGCGTCGTCGCCATTCTCGGTCTCTCCCTTTTTGTCATTGGTCTCGGCATCGGACCCATGCTGCTCGGACCTCTTTCCGAGTTCTACGGACGACGTCCCGTCTACATCGTCTCCTACACAGCATTCACCCTGCTCGGCCTGCCCGTCTCGTTCGCCAACAACCTGGCCGTCTTCCTCATCTTCCGCTTTCTTACCGGTTTTTGCGGATCTGCCTTCCTTAGCGTGGCAGGAGGGTCCGTCTCGGACATCTTCCTGGCGAGCGACATCTTTGTACCCATGTCCATCTACACCAACGGTCCCTTCCTTGGTCCCGTCTTTGGTCCTCTGCTGAGTGGCTTCATCAACCAGCACACAAACTGGAGGTGGACCTTTTGGACCATCAACATCTGGTCTTCTGTCATGCTCGCCATCCTCTTCTTCTTTGGTCCTGAAACCTACGCGCCCGCCCTGCTCACCTCCCGAGCCAAGCGGCTGCGCAAGGAAACCGGCAACCAAGAGCTGTATGCGGAACACGAGCATGTCATTGCGGGCAAGTCGCTCGTCAAGACCATTGTCACCTCGACCACTCGACCTTTCGAGCTGCTCGTCAAAGAAGTCATGCTTCTGTTGCTGTGTCTCTGGTCAGCATTGTTGCTCGGCATCCTTTACCTCTTCTTCGTCGCTTTTCCGATTGTATTCGAGAGGCACGGCTTCAACCTGCAAGAGGTCGGTTTGTCGTTCCTCGGCATTGGCATCGGCATGATCATCGCCGTCCTCTGCATGCCCTTTTGGGCACGGCATTATACACGACTCGTCGAGACGAAAGGCAACGGCGTCGCTGAACCCGAGTTCAGGCTACCCGTTGCGATGGTGGGAGCCATCTGCCTCCCCATCGGCATGTTCTGGTTCGCCTTCACCACCTACCCGTCCATCCACTGGATCGTGCCCATCCTCGGCACCGTCGTCTTTGGCTTCGGCATCAGCAACATCTTCACTTCCGTGTTCACCTACACAACGCATGCCTATCGACCCGTCGCAGCAAGCGCCATGGCCGCCAATTCGTTCTGCAGAAGCTCGTGGGCGGCGGCATTTCCTTTGTTCGCAAAACAGATGTACGACGGCATGACACCAGCGGGAGCATCGGCGTTCTTGGCAGGGCTCAACGTGCTCATGATCCCAGTACCATTCGTGTTCTACAAGTACGGAAAGAAGATCCGAGCCAACAGCCAGTTCACCCACGTATGATCTCAGCATAGAATCCTGCAATCATCTTGTACTTTTAGTCACTTCAATCGATCTCGATAGACACACCACAGCACGTCTGACTCGAAGAGACGACCGATTGACAGGACCCGTTCTGCAACTCGTGTGCGAAATGTTGCCCGCGACTGTGTGACTTCTGTTCCGCTCGACCGGACCGCAGCGACGAGGCGAGTCACCTCAATCTGACATCCACACAAAAATTCCTTCGGTTCGCACGGACGATGCTGCATTGCCGATCCACGGTTTGCATAATCTTCTCAAGAGAGTTGACCGAGTTCACCGAAGCCTTCCTCTCCCTACCTCCCACCTCTCAACATCAACAATGACGAGCAAGCCAGCCATCGACTACTCGGTCTACCTCGTTACAGGGCGGGAGCTCCTCCCACCGGGTGTCGACTACTACGCCTCTCTCGAGCTCTGCCTCTCCCAGGGCAACGTGACCGTCGTCCAAATCCGAGAGAAAGACACCGAAACATCCGACTTCCTCACGATCGCCCAAAAGTCACTTGCCATCTGCGACCGCTACAACGTACCGATGCTGATCAACGACAACCTGTCCGTGTGCCTGTCCCTCCCGGAACGAGTAGGGCTGCACATTGGGCAGGAGGATATCCCCGTCTCGGTCGCTCGACGCATTCTCGGACCCAACCGGCTGCTGGGTATCTCGGTCAAGACGATCGACCAGGCGCGGATCGCACGCGAAGAGGGGCACGCAGACTATGCGGGTGTCGGCCCGTGCTATGGGACGCAGAGCAAGGCGGGCATCACAGAGGACAAGGTGATTGGTTGTTCGGGGGCACAGCGCATCGTAGCGGAACTGAAGAAGGAGGGTAGGCGGTTGCCATGCGTCCTGATCGGCGGTTTGAACCAGAGGACGGCAGCTAGGACGTTGTTTGGTGCGACAAGTGAGAGCAATGCTCCGGATGGGATTGCTGTGATAAGCGCCATCGTCGGTCGTACCGACTCGGACGTTGCGGCGGCGGAGCTGGGCGATATCGTGCGCTCCTTCAAAACAGGCCTCTCCTCGTCTGCGTCCAACGGCGGGGTCGCATCCGCCTTCGCCCTCCCTTCCCACCCCATCAGGGATGCAGAGTGGTACAAGACCTCGGCAGCGGAGCTGCTCACCTTCCACCGAACCTCCATCCACGGACCACCGCTGATTCAGACCATCACCTCGCACGTCTCCTCCACCATGTCGGCCAATCTCGCGCTCGCCTTCTCCTCCTCGCCCATCATGTCGCACGAAGCGTCCGAGGCGGCGGATCTCTCCCTCGCGGTGGGCGCTTTGGTGTTGAATATCGGTACGATTTCTCCGGCGAGTCGCGAGGGCATGCTTGTTGCGGGTAGGAGTGCGAATGCGAATCGCAAGCCGGTGGTGCTCGATCCGGTCGGTGGGGGTGCGACGCAATTTAGGAAGGATGTGGTGAGGGGGCTGTTGAACGCTACGCAAGTGACGTTGTTGAAGGGAAACGCGGCGGAGTTGGCCAGTATCGCGGGCAAGGGGGATGAGGTGAGGAGTCGAGGGGTCGATTCGGGGAGTGGACAGCTTAAGGATCCGGTAGGACTGGTGTTGGGGCTTGCGAAGAGGGAGAGGTGTTTGGTGCTGCTGAGTGGGAAGAAGGATTATTTGACGGATGGACAGACGGTCATCACCAGCGACAATGGACACCCGTTGTTGGGAGCTATCACGGGGTCGGGCTGCGCGCTAGGTGTCACCGTTGGGGCAGGCCTCGCAGCCGCATGCAACTTGGCCAAGTCCAAGAACGAGGACGTGACGTCGCTGGGCAACACCCTAGTCGCACACGGCAACGTGGATCTGCTCGTCGGCGCCCTGACAGGTTTGTTGGCCATGACAATCGCAAGCGAAAAGGCGGCCGTCAGAGACGACGTTCGCGGACCGGGAACGTTCATCCCAGCTCTGCAGGACGAACTCGCCGCCGTGTCCGCAGAAGACATCCTCAAGTATGCCAAAATCGAGGTCGTCTCGTCCTGAGCATCACTTCCCCACTCGTGAAACATATGCCATCTCAATTACTGCATTACTGCATTCTGCGCGAAGTCTACTGAATCTCGCCTTTCTCCCTGGCCTCGAGGAACTCCTTATGCAGCTTGGTCTGCTTCTCGTAGTCCTTGTCGAGGTTCTTCCTTCTCTTCTTGGCGAGTTCTGCGCCCTCCTTGTCCTTGACGGGCAAACCGCGCTCGTCCCACTCGCTGTACTCCTCGGTCCTGAACATCTGTTCCGGTGCCGTTCTGCCCTTTTCCAGGTTCTCCAGCCTTTTGAGTCTCGCCTGTTCGGCGGCCTGTGCTTTGCGTGCCGCCTTCTCCGCTGCAGCAGCCTCCTTTTCCCTTCGCGCAGCCTGAAGCTGGGCGGCGGGGACGAGCTTGACCAGCGCCTTGCCGTCCTCGGTGTCTTCGAGCGAGATGCCGAGGTCCACCAGATCGTTGTCCCGCAACGCGTCCGAGAGCTTCAGATACTCGGAGGCGGGAGCGGAGCTGCGGGCTAGGTTGCGCACCGCATCGCGGAAGTTGCTCAGCGCTTGAAGGTACGGCATGAGCAGCTCCTCCTTGTTGGCAGCTCCAGCTCCATCCATAGACTCGTCCGCTGTGCCCCAGCCGATCTCCTGGCTCGCAGACAGCGCACCTCCTTCGCCCAGACCAAGCATCTTGAGCATATCCCCGACGTATCGAGCGACGGCGGTGAGAACACCAATGTTGACGTCCGACCTCTTCTCGTGGCTCTTCTCGTAGATGTTGGCTTTGCTCACCAAATCCAACAGAATCTCCATACCTTTTGGTGTGTCAAACGAATCGCACATGGCCTCCCTAAACGCATGCTGACTCGTCTCCAGCGTGGCCATCAACCCCCTCTCCCCTTCGCCATAATGATGATGACCATCGGACCACGCCTCACCCAACGCCTTCGCTTGAGCAACCTTCGCCTTCACGCCCACGAAAAAGTTGTTGAACGCACTCTCGGCATTCTTGACCTCGCCCAAGGCGGACTGCTTGAAATCCATCCGACCCGCCCACGGCTGCAGCAGGAACGACATGCGCAGCTGCCTCGCCGTAAACCTTTCGAGCGCTTCGTCGATCGAGATAAAGTTCTTGAGCGACTTGGACATCTTGAGGCCCTCAATGTGAAGATGGCCCGTGTGGAGGAAGTAGTTGACCCACTGGCGGCAACCGTGATGCGCCTCGGACTGGGCGATCTCGTTGTCGTGGTGCGGGAACATGAGGTCGACGCCGCCGGAGTGGATGTCCATGGTTTCGCCGAGGACGGCGGAGCCCATGACCGAGCACTCGATGTGCCAGCCGGGACGACCGGGACCCCAAGGGGATGGCCAGGCTGGCTCGCCCGGCTTGGAGGACTTCCACAGTGCAAAGTCGGATGCGGCGCGCTTGCCGGCGGTGGCAGCGGTCGAGGTGGACAGCGAGCCCTCGCCTTCCTCGAGCAGCTCCCGGTTTCCCTTGGACCAAGGCTGAAGTTTTGCATACGAGTGCTCGAAGCTGCCGTCCGAAGCTTTGGCACCATCGAAGGCGCGCGTGTCGAACCAGACGTTCTTCTTGTCTTGGTCAAGACCTTCGGCGTATGCGTAGCCGCGGTCGATGATCTGTTGAACGAAGGTCACGATCTCCGGCACGTATTCGCTGACGCGGGTGAGCGTGGTGGGAGGCTCGACGTGGAGTCGCTTCATGTCGTTGAAGTATTCGGCTTCCCAATAGGCAGCGGTATCGCGGAAGACGCTTGGGTCGGTCACGGTGCTACCGAACTGCTTGTCAAGGTGAGCGGCAAGGACGTCTTCGGACGCATCTATGAGGTTGGACGCGGCTTCGCTCGATGTATCTGCGGCGGCAAGCGACATGGCAGCGGCAACCTGAGCCTGACGCGACTTGTCGAGGGCAGCGAACCACATGCTGAACTTGGGCTCCTTCTCGGAGGCGGCTTTGAGCCAAGCAGCGTCTTGACGCAGTCGAGACACCTCTTCGAAGCCCGCTTCGCCGGCTCGCGCCTTGTTCGCTTCGTCAACGAGTCCATCCTTCTGCTCTTGAGGTGGAACCGGAGGCGCGAAACGCTCGAGATTCTTGGCAAAGTAGGCCGACCACGCGTCTTGAACGGTAGCAAGGAGCGGCTTGGTGAGCTGGGGGTGCTGCGATCGGAACTGCTTGATGAGGTAGGAGTGACGCGCCTTGATGATGATCTTGTCGTCGACGTCGGTGATGTTCATGACAAAATGGACGTCGTAGCCGAGGTAGTCGCGCAGGATACGACGGATGATGTCTTGTGTGACATAGTTACGGGCGTGACCCATGTGACTTGCATCATAGACGGTAGGACCGCAGTTGTACCAGGTGACGGTGCGGCCTTTCTTGGGGACGAAGGGTGTCTTGGTGCGAGTGAGCGAGTTGTACATTTTGAGCTCAGGCTCAGGCACCTGCTTTTGAGGGAGCTGCCATTCTGGCTGCGAGATCTTGGTTGCGGAGGCAGCACCGGACGACGATGTCTCAGGTTGTGTGGCCGCCATGATGCGGTTGGACTTGCTGGCGCAGCTGAGCTGGCGCACTGATACGGAGAGACGGAAAGGGTTGCTTGGAAGCGATGTGGGCGCCAGAGAAATGGTCTTGTGGTGTGCAAAAGGAGCGGCAAGAGAAGAGAAGGATCGGAGGCGTTGCAAGCTGGACCTGTATATCGACATGCGGTGTCGTCGTGATAGGACCGAGGACCGAGCTTGACCTGCTAATGATGAGGGTTTGTGTGGGAAGGCAAGAAAGAGGTGTTGGTCTGGTCCAGCGAATCTTCCTTTCTGCGCTGTGTGCTTCTGCGCAGTGACTCGGGAGTCGGTCAATTTTGATCGACCAGCAACAACAACGATCTGACAGTCTGAAAATTCTAGCCAACGCACAAACCGCTTTGTCGACGAACGTTGGTCCTCATCCATGATTGGTTGACGACATCCTCCCTTTGACCAATCACACGCGCCAAGTCGCAGGGGCTCTGGCAAAGCTCTTCTCTACCGCAAACACCCATCGAGTGGGCAAACCTCGCTGCTGATCCAGCTTCACCTCTTGCCTGAAGCTCGTCGACCTCCTCCCGCCCACAAGACGAACTTCTGGATCAGGTTGCGGCATCAGCACATTAGGAGCAAAGCAAGCGGGAGGAGGTCGTGACAGAAGACATTCCGCATCAAGTATCTCGTCGAGATGGCTTCAGCAGCGACTGCCACACGCCAGGCTGGCCCTGGCCCAGCATCGGGTGCAGCAAGCACATCCTCGCGCTCCAACTCTGCTGCTGGTCCTTCTGTAGACACGGCGCAGCCAATACCAGAACCATGGGACGGACTCGACACCCGTATTCTCACCGACTTGGCACGTCGCGGTCTCATGTCAACACTCGACACCATCAAAGAGGCCAAGACGCTCATGCTCGATCCTTCGCTTGCCGGTCCTCTCGGCCTCGTCGCCGATGTATCCAGTCTCAAGCAGCACGGCGTCGAAAAGATGTTCTGGCTCGAGCCGGCATCGGCTGCCTTCGTCACGAAGACCGACGCCAGCCATTCGCAATCGCAAACGAAAGCAGGCCTCAAAAGCGTCAACGCTCCCACAAAGTCGGTCGTCTACATCTGCCGTCCAGAGATCAAGTGGATGAAAGCCATTGCTGGTATGTTCTCGCCCTCAATCCCTTCCCTTCCCCTTTCCCCTGTCTGGACTAAATTAGCCGAGCCTACTAGATCTCTCCAACGATAGGCATACGGTCAGTCAATGTCCAAAGAACGAGGAGATCTTCCTGACAAGGATGCTCCCAACGAAGCCCCTTCCTTATACAACCCCGCTCTGCTATTGCTTCCACAGATGCGGGGTTGTGCCGGGAGGCGACATTTCCCTTCTTTCTTCCCATTCTTCTCTCATCGCGGGAACCATCGAGCTGACATCGATACGATCTCACCTTGGCTTTCTTCGCACGGCACCGCCCAGAACACCTTCGTGCCGATCGAAGCGTCCGGCCCACGTCGCCCCTGCAGCACACATATACCATCTCGTTCGTGCCCCATCGAACCGAGCCGTGTCTGCAATTCCTCGACCAGGAAGCCGTGCTGTCCGACGTCTCGCTCCTCGACTTCGGACTCGAGTTCGTTCCGCTCGACAACGACCTTATCAGCCTCGAAGATGACGCAGCCTGGAAGAAGATCTACTGCGATGGCGATCACACTCCCATCTTCCGCTCCGCACAGGCATTGATGACGCTCCAGCATGCTTACGGGCTCTTCCCTCGCATTCTTGGGAAAGGCGCTCTAGCACGTCGGTTAGCGGATCTGTTGATACGTCAAAGACGGGAACACTTGGCATCGGATCCGTCCAGTCCAGCCCTCACTACGCCGAGTCAGCTCATCGATAGCCTGATCATCATCGACCGAGCCGTGGACTATGCCACACCGCTGTGCACCCAGCTCACCTACGAAGGCCTTCTCGACGAAGTCGTCGGCATCAGCAACGGTCACGTCGAGGTGGATCCCGCCTTGCTCACTGGTCAATCGCAGACACCCGGTGTCGGCGGTCATCCTCACGCCTCCGGCAGCGGCACCCCTCTCCAAATGACCTCAACGCCCAAGAAGCGCAAGCACCGGCTCGATCCGCAAACCGACCTACTCTTCGCCGAGATCCGCAATCTCAACTTCGCCGTCGTGGGCGACCGTCTGCACAAAGCAGCCAAGCGCCTCAACCAAGACTACGAAGGACGACACGCGGCCAAGACGGTCTCCCAAATCCGTGCCTTCGTAGGCAAACTCGGCGGGCTTCAATCCGAACACGCCTCCCTACGTCTTCATACTGGCCTTACGGAGAAGATCATGGAGTGGACCGCCCGCGAAGAGTTCAACCGCATGCTCGAGATCCAACAGAACTCGGTGGCGGGTCTCGACTTGACATCGCAGTACGCGGCGATCGAGGACATGATCAATGAGGAGCGCGAGTTGGTGGGCGTGCTGAGGTTGTTGTGCCTCACCAGCGTTGTTGGGCTCGGCAGTGTCGCGGGGGGGATCAAGGCGAAGAATTTGGAGTATGTGAAAAGGGAGATTTTGCAGACGTATGGGTATCAGCATTTGCCGTTGTTGTTGGCGCTGCAGAAGGTGGGGTTGTTGACGCGGGCTGCTGCTGGACCTGCTGTGGGTGGGACCGGTGGTGGGTTGCTATCAAGCGTCGTCGGTGGTTCCACCGCGGGTGCTGCCGATGCGGATACGCGCGGGACGGCCGAAGAGGGTGGAAGGGGAGGCTTTGCTTCGGTTCGCAAGAGTCTGCGTCTCATCAACGACGACGTCGACGAACGGGCTCCCGCAGACATCTCGTACGTCTACTCTGGCTATGCGCCGCTCTCGGTGCGACTGGTGCAAGCGGTAGCGCAGAAGGAAGCGTTGCTCGACATCACACGCGATCCGAGACCGACGAAAAACGTCAAGCCGCGCGCACACCCCATTGTCGGATGGCGCGGCTTTGAGGATGCAGTTCACCAGCTACCCGGTGCGACCGTAGACGAGATTCAGCGTCCCAATGCATCCACCGAGGGAGGTCCAGCGCTGATGCCACCAACGGATCCAGATGCGGTGACCACCACCCTCGTGTTCTTCCTCGGCGGCGCCACGTATACCGAACTCGCCGCGCTGAGGTACATGAACGCCCAAACGCGCAACAGACGCTTCGTCGTCGCTACTACCAACACTATTAACGGAAACAAGATGATTCGCGATCTCGCCGAGACACCCATCTAGCCACATTCACTCGTATACCCATCTCTACGCGTTTCGCATCAAAATTGTATTTGTATCGTCCATCGTGTGGTCTACTTGGGCAGATATCGGATGCCCTGTGTGGGACATCGGTTGTTGCCCCTCAGCGGATCGCTCAGTACGAAGGCGTCTGCAGTGGTGCTTCTGCCTTGGGTGTGAAAGTACACCCAAGCCTCGTTCAGTGCGCCGTTTCGGCATTTGAAGCTGGCCTCTTTGCCCCACTTGGCCCGTGTTGCCTGATGCAGCTGTTCGAGGGTGTAGCGCTTGTTGTAGCTTGGAGTGATACCCGCTTCCTCTAGAGCTTGGAACACGTTGTACTGATGAAAGAGGTCGACGGTGGTGGTGAAAAAGTCGACGACGTCTTCGCCCTGCGTGTACGCCTGGGAAGAGGGCGAGTAGCACGAGGGGGCGAGGGTGGAGACGCACGTACCGTGCTTGTTCCACTCGTGCGACCAGAGTTGGGCATCGTTGCCATTGAGTGCGAGCCAGTACTGGTTCATCGTATCCAGCGTCGACGCCGCTTTGGGGTGGGAGGAGGAGCGCAGGATCGAGGCGATGTTGTTGGTGTTGCGCGAGGGATCGCAGTCGGAATCGTAGCCGCCCGAACAGGTGTCCGGCCACAAACCGTGGATCGTCCACGAGTCAGAGGGGCCGATCGCGGGAGAATAGTCCCAGAACTGGGTGAGGAGCAGCAGGCCACCAGGCGTGTTGGTGAGACACGGATCGAGGGGGCAGCTGGGAGAGGTGGCGCACGAAAGACAGGTGTCCAGGGAGCTGTTCGAGGAGACGGTGAAGGGCGTTTGCGGGAGCGTGGCTGCAGTTGCTAGTGTCAAGAGGCTAGTGGCCACGCTGAGGGACGTCAGGATATGCATCGTGGGCGAGTGGGTGAAGATGATACGCAGATGAAGGAGTGGTGGTCGGATGACAGGTGAGAGTCAGGCAACCGGACTGATTAGGGTACAATAGCATCAGCCCCTGCCTGGCGCAGCACTTTCAGGGTCCAACACACAAGCTATGAACCCGCATCCGTGCGCAGAAACGCGTCCACCGGGTCTAGCACGCACGCACTCTCTCTGAAAGCCTCAATCATACGGGCGGTCTCGGACGGCATTGGGTCTGGTCTCAACCTCATCGCGATTACGTTTCACAATTCAGATGCTTCCTTCAGCTTTGCGAGCAAGTATCACCTATAGGAGGAATGTCGAACGCGAGTCTTGTCATGATGTACTGTGCGCGGCGGAGTTAGCCGATGAGCTCGTCGTCCTTTTCTATAGTTTCGTACCTTCCACCACGTCCTCCTAGCTTTACATGTCAGCAAAGCGACATTCAGAGCTTAGCGCTGTCCTGGGCGCGAATGTCAAAGTTGATCCTTGGGAACGTCGCAAGCAATGACTTGCCGCCCTCGGTCTTGACCTTGATGGTGACGCTGGCGCCGTCCAACCCGACCAGCTGGCCGACCTGGGGTACTCGGCCCGTGTCGACCGGCGTAACGCTGACCGTCTGACCCTTCTCGCCGCTGAACCAGCCGGCCTTGACGAGCGCGTCATCCTTGCTGATGCTGAGCGCGCTCTCCGCCTGCTGACTGCCCTGCTCGGCCTGCTTGAGGATCACCTCTGCGCCTTGCTCGGCGGTCAGCTTGACGGGCTTGATCTTGTGCTGCGCCAGGTACTCCCGCACGGCTGCCATCCAGGTGAGCGTTCGTGGGAAGGGGTACTTGCTCCAGTCCTGGGTCGGGTTCTTGGCGCTCACGGTAGGCAGGAGGTCCTCGCCCGTTCGTAGCTGCGTCTGCACCCAGTTCATCGGCGTGTACAGACTGACGTCCAGGTACTGGATCGAATCGCCGAACAAGAACTTGCCATTTTGCTCCTTGAGATGGCTCTCGATGGCTTCCAAGTTGGCGGTCAGCTGAGACCTCACAAAGGGCACCTTGGCCTTCATCGATTCCGAGTCAAAGGAGCTGCCGGGCATGAAAGACTTGCGGTCCTTGACAAAAGTCTCGTTGAGCGGCGCGTTGTAGAGGTGACCGGCGCCGAGGCGGAACATGCTGCTCTCCGCCCAGTTGACCGCGAGCTGCATTTGCAGCGCCGGGAACTGACGGAGGAGCGACTTGTTGGTCGATGCGCCACCGAAGGCTCGTTCCAGGGCAAGAGACGCAGCCGTCGTGTCGATGTACGCTTGACCGTCGATGAAGACCACAGGAATACGACGGTAGGTGATGCCCAGCAGCTTGGACAGCATGGGTCGCGGCATCACAGGTGGCACATCGACGAGGGTCCATTCGACACCATAGTGGTCCAGCAGAAAGGTGATCTTCTGGTAGAAGGGCGAGGCGGCGTAGCCGTAGACGATGACGCGGTTGTTGGGCTGGGCGGTCGCCATTTTGTCAGTGGTTCGTGGGGTCGATGTGTTCAAGTGTGAAGGAGGATGGAAGGATGGAAGGAGCACCGAAAGGAAGAAGATGTGGGGACGGCCGGCAAGCAGAAGTCAGGGTGAGCTGAGAGCCGGTCAGAAGCTACCCGGCGAGTCGGTTACTCGTTCGACCCCGCGTAAGGCAAACAAAAGAGGGTTCTTCTGAATAGCCGAGAAGCACCAAACGCCGCTTGACCTTGGCCTGCGCGGGAATTTGGAAGCAAATCGGCGATTCGGAAGCTTCGCCGTGGTCGCTTCAACATGCTATGCTGTGGTCAGCCTCTCAAAAGGCGCTCCGAGATATGGAGCGTATGCAGGAAGAACCATGCCTTGGTACGATCCAATGAGGATCCGACAGAACCGAAGGACGCGGTGCTGCATGTGGGTTGGTGGGGCGAATCGACGCGATTGCGGATGGAAAGATACAATTACAATGGGGTTGCAATGAGTGCGTGGCCGGAAAGGACCTTAAGAGAGGGGGACAGTCGTGTGTTGGCACGATTGAACCATGGCCGCAGCTTTTCCGCCAGCTGCTAGGTGTGCGAGAAGCAACATGCCTTGATCAAGTACTGGCTGTTGGCGATGGTGGCGGCATCATTGGCGGATCATGCAGTCGACCGTGGTTCATATGGCATGGATGCAGAAGCGAAACTCCATCTTCATGCCTCATCGACGATATTGTGAAGTGCCTTGAGGTCGGCCAGCTCAGCCTCTCTCCTTGCGAGGTCGGCCTTTGCGGCCAAGCGTGCGGGCATGTGGTACAGCACGACGATGTAGCGTTCGTTGAGATGAAATCCGTTGAGGTTGTCGAGTGCGCGCTTTGCATCGGCCATCTCCTCGTAGACGACGTAGGCTGTGCCCTTCGTGCCTGTCCCATCTCCGAGTCGTACTTGACGAATGGCTCCGTATCGACCAAAGACCTGATACAAGTCGGCACCGGTGGTGTTGTAGTTGAGGTTCTTGACAAAGAGAATGCGACTGTGCTGTCGCGCAGCACCGGCGGAAGAGTGGCTAGCCATGCCGTGTCGCCATCGATCGAATCCGTCGGCGCTCTTTGATGAGCAGTGAGGTGGATCGAGGAGCTATGTGAAGATGACAGGATGAACACTGAAATGAAGAGTGAGTGAGCTCGAAGATGCGCAGCAGCGCAAAGTCGAAATCCGACTTCCGCAAAAACCAGCGCAACATCGATGACCGCCGAGCAAAATCGGAATCAACCGACGGGCCTTCCGTTGTGCTCAGCAGCTTTTCGATGAGGCAATGAGAAGCTGCATTTGTCTTGACGCATGTGGTCTGAATGCTCTGCGCGAAGCTATAGTCACCGTCTGCGAATCGGCGGGAGCAGGTAGGATGTTGACGGAGACCCTTGGAGTGCTTGACAGGTTGGGCGCTAAGCGAAGCCAGACCTTCCCTCGAGATAGCGATTGCGAAGCTTTTTCTTATCAAGATTCAATTTTTTTTCTTCGCGAAGTCACAGTTTTAGGTTTTCTGAGGCCCTTCGAGGTGAAGCTTGGAGCAACTCCTACTCTTGCTACTCTCATCCAGTGACCACGCATTGCCCACCATTCCGTCTCCTCATCCGATTCGAGCCGGCCTAGCCTCCTCGTCACGAGCAGCAGCAGCAGCTTCGGTGAAACCAAGATCACCTTTCGTCGAAACAGGTAAGTGGAAGAAGCGCCATGGCGACATACCTGACTTGCTCGCGGTCCAGCAGCAGAGTGGACGAGGCGGTCCAATGGTCCCGGCTGAGCTTATCGGTCGAAGCTCTCGAAACACGAGCATCGGTCCCATTCCGGGTAACGTTCCGACGGCCTTGGCAGCAGCAGCATCGGCCATAGTCATCATGGCCTCCAAGGTCACACTGCCTCCTCGACACTGCTCCCACATGAAGGCGCCCTCTTTTCACGTCAACAGGCTCTCGCCCATCAGCCTCGACGTGACGAGCGGCCTCTCTGGTCTCCCAGTCATCACTTCGGCTTCACAGACAATACTTCGCGTCACTCGCACGTCAGCTCAGCACCCGAAATCGGCAGCACTGCGCTTTCGCCGCCTCGGTCAACACGCTTGCACTGCTTTGGCAAGCATCGCATCCTTTGCGTCTTCCACGTCGCTAGCTCGACCCGATCTGCTGCTGCCAACACTGCTTTGGACAGCCCTCTTTGTCTGCAATGCTGCTCGCTGCTCACGCTTCACGCCGCACGATCACTGACATGGTCCTCTCATCCACTGCATCTTTCTCTGCACCTGTTTCCGTGCCCTTGTCAGTTCGCGGCAGTCTACCTAGACGCAACGCAGCTTTCCACTGCTCTGGTCGACTCAGCGCCAAGTCAGATCCTGAACCGCTCGACCTCTCTCGCCTCAATTCATTGCTCGACAAGCTAGCTCGCCCTCCGTCGCTCCGATCGGCATCTTCGTCCGAAAGCTTCTCGTCTTTCACCGCCTCGAGCTCGGCTTCTTCCTCCGTCTCGGCACTGCCTCTGACCCCTCGGCTCCGAAGCAACAACGCCTTCCGTGAGCCCTCACACGTCCGCTCCCATCGCAAAGCGCAATTCAACGCTCTGCTCGACACCTTCCATCGCGCAACCATTTGCGACTTCGAGAACAGCTACCAGCTTTCCGCCTCGGATCTCGCTCACGCTTTTGATCGTCAAGCCACCTCGTTCCGTCCCATACATCCCAACGACGTCCTTCGCGGTGTGGCAAGCAGCATGTCCGAGCCCGTCGTCCAGCACACCTCGCAGTCCGGCTCCACGCCTTCCGCCGAGAACCCCGGAAAGCTCGTCCAGGCATCCGGCATCGCTGCTCCTTTCCAGGATGCCATCAAGGAGGCCATCCAGGCACGTGTTGACCAGGGCAAGTCCAGGCCCAAGCTTGTCGGTATTCTCCCCACGCCCAGTCCTCCTAGCGTAGCCTACTCGGAATGGACGCGCAAAGCGTGCGAGGCCGTCGGCATCGAGTTCGAGATCTGGAAGACTTGGGACGACTCGGTCGAGGTCAAGGAGGAGGACCACAAGGGCACCGCGCCCGACTTTGACCTCGAGGCCGACGTGGAAGACCTCATCATTGCTGCCAATGCAGACGAGAGCGTGCACGGCATCATGGTGTACTACCCCATCTTCTTTGGTCGCCAAGACACTTACCTCCAGCAAATTGTGGACCCACGCAAGGATGTAGAAGGTCTGCACTTCAGCTACTGCTGGAACATGTACCACAATGTGCGATGGATCTCGCCCTCAAAGCTCGGCAACGCCCCTGGCACGACACGCGAGCTTCCTGAAGAGCGCGCTACTCGTGAGGCGCTCGATGCCGAGCAGGTGCCACCCGGCATGGCCAAGTCGATCTTGCCATGCACACCCTTGGCCATGGTCAAGTGTCTCGAAGCTGTGGGCGTCTACGACCGCGAATTGCCCTACGGCGACCGACTGTTCGGCAAAACCATCACGGTGGTCAACAGGTCCGAGGTCGTCGGCCGTCCTCTCGCCGCGCTGCTCTCCAACGACGGTGCCAAAGTCTACTCGGTCGACATTGACTCGATCCAAGAGTTTAACAAGCGTGCCGTCGAGCCCTCCTCCGAACCTCAGGGCCGCGCACGATCCGAGATTGTCAAGAAGGCGCACGCTCAGAACACTGCCTCGCAGCTTCGACCACACCACGTGGTGCGCAACTGCAACATGACGGCGGAAGAGTGCATCCGTGCCTCGGACGTCGTCATCTCGGGTGTGCCTTCGGCCAACTACAAGATCGAGACCGACTGGATCAAGCCCGGTGCGGTGTGCGTCAACTTTTCCAGCGAGAAGAATTTCAAGCCAGATGTAAGGACGCGTGCGTCGATGTACTTGCCAGCCATCGGCAAGACGACGATTGCCATGCTCCAGAGGAATCTGCTCCGTCTGGTAGAGTACCGGGAGCTGTCTGAAGGTCCCTCCAAGTAGAGGTGCCGCGAACGTTTGCTCCTTGTCGCAGTCATCATCAACACCATCAATACAACGACGTGTCTAATGATTTGCCAATCTGTGCCCACCTGTAGGAGACATGAAGCGATTGCACAAACAAAGGAAAGTGAAAGGGGATCAGCATGGGAGGAGGCATCAGCACACCAGAGCAGAAGCTTTCGTCCGGAATGGAGCGGACGCCTGCCGACAGGTGGCCATCGCGTCGTCTCCGCTCAGGCTAGGCAGTGTGAGATTCGACTCACGCTCATCGAGGAGCTGACCGTGTTCATGAGCCCGAGAAGGGCAGCAGCAAGACGCGTTCGCGATCCAGAAATTTCAGGCGGACACGGCCGGGAAGAATTTCTGTGCCCTAAGTGACGTTTGGACTGAGGCTCTTGATGCTCTCCTGCTCTTGGAGCCTTGTGCGCTGCAGCAGCAAGAAGATCCGAGACAAGGCCCTCCTCATCGCGCGTTGTCTCTCTGCGCGTATTCATTTCAGAACTTGCAGCTGAGCTGAGCATAAGCATCTTATCTCTTCTTCTTCTCACACCATCACTCTCTTCTCCATCACCTCGACCCACCTTCCTTCTTTCTCACCTTTCATTCTTTACGTAGCGGCCCACGCACACGACCGTGTCCAAGCACCAAACCGCAGTACCCTCTGGCGCTCCCCACCATTCTTTCGTTGCCTCCTCTTCTGCTCAGCCCTCCACTCGTTTCAGCGCACTAACGCTCTCGGACTACATCGACAAAAGCCCCGGTCGTCATCTCGCGTGCTGCTCCTACCAACGTCGTGGCAGCTTGAGCAAGTTGGGACTGTCTACCGCCTGCGTACTCGCGTATACGTAGCGCTCTTTCTCGAACATCTCCTGACAGCCCGTTTCGCCCATCATGACAGACGCTTCCAACGGCACCAACGGCCACCTCAAGCCGTCGGCCCTCCCACCCGCGATGCGCGATGCCAAGAACTGGGAAGACCAGGACAAGCTCTCGGACTACATCCCCGTCTCGGCTGACCTCAGTCGTGCGCCCACAGCCTCCGCTTCCGTCTCTCGAGCCCAGACACCCCCCAACAAGCGTGCCGTCGACTCGGACGACGAAGACGCTGACCAGCTCGACGATGACGGTGACGTCTCCATGTCTTCGCCCTCCAAGACGCCTCGCCAGCTCGAAAAGGAGCGCGAAAAGAATGAGCGTGCTGCGGCACGCAAGCAGGAACGAGCCGTCAAGGCGGCGCAGAACGAGACGCTCGACAGCAAGCGCGAGGAGATGGCCAAGTCCAAGCTCGCCGACAGCATGAAGCGATTCTCGTACTTGCTCGGCCAGACGGAGCTCTTCCAGCACTTTATCGACATCAAGAAGGAGCGCGATGAAGAATTTGCCAAGATGCTTGAGGAGTCGCAGCAGGCGAGCTCGAAGAAGTCCAAGAAGGGCGGGGACAACCGTCGCAGAAAGACGGAGAAGGAGGAGGACGAGGAGCTGCTCAAGGATGGAGACGAGGAGGAGAGCTTCGTGTTCAACGAGTCGCCGGCGTACGTCAAGGGCGGCAAGATGCGCGACTACCAGGTGCAGGGTCTCAACTGGATGATCTCGTTGTACCACAATGGTATCAACGGTATCCTTGCCGATGAGATGGGGCTGGGCAAGACGCTGCAGACCATCTCGTTCCTCGGCTACCTCCGCGACTTCCGCGACACCCCCGGTTTCCATCTCGTCGTAGTACCCAAGTCGACGCTCGACAACTGGTACCGCGAGTTCCAGCGCTGGGTGCCCGGCTTCAACGTCGTCACCCTCAAGGGCTCGAAGGAGGAACGCGAGAACGTCATCCAGAACCACCTCCTCCCGCAAGACTTTGACGTGCTCATCACGACCTACGAGATGTGCCTTCGCGAGAAGAGCGCGCTCAAGAAGCTCTCGTGGGAGTACATTGTCATCGACGAGGCGCACCGTATCAAGAACGTCGACTCGATGCTCTCGCAGATCGTCCGCGCATTCAATTCGCGCTCGCGTCTGCTCATCACCGGCACGCCGCTGCAGAACAACCTGATGGAGCTGTGGTCGTTGCTCAACTTCCTGCTTCCCGACGTGTTCAGCAACTCGGAGGACTTCGAGTCGTGGTTCAAGGGCAAAGGCGACGAGAACCAGGACCAGGTGGTGCAGCAGCTGCACAAGGTGCTTCGACCCTTCCTGCTGCGTCGCGTCAAGGCGGATGTGGAAAAGTCGCTTCTGCCCAAGAAGGAGATCAACCTCTTCGTCGGCTTGACCGAGATGCAGCGCAAGTGGTACAAGAGCATCCTCGAGAAGGACATTGACGCGGTCAACGGCGGTGCGGGCAAGAAGGAGGGCAAGACGCGGCTGCTCAACATTGTCATGCAGCTGCGCAAGTGCTGTAATCACCCGTACCTGTTCGACGGTGCCGAGCCAGGACCGCCTTTCACCACGGACGAGCATCTCGTCGACAACGCGGGCAAGATGCTGGTCTTGGACAAGATGTTGCGCAAGATGAAGGAGAAGGGCTCTCGAGTCCTGATTTTCAGTCAAATGAGTCGAATGCTCGACATCCTCGAAGACTACTGTCTTTTCCGCGAGTACAAGTACTGTCGAATCGACGGTGGTACCGCGCACGAGGACCGGATCGCCGCCATCGACGAGTACAACAAGCCGGGCAGCGAAAAGTTCATCTTCCTGCTCACCACGCGCGCCGGTGGACTCGGTATCAACCTCACCACGGCCGACATTGTCGTCCTGTTCGATTCGGACTGGAACCCGCAGGCCGATCTGCAGGCGATGGACCGCGCGCACCGCATCGGTCAAACCAAGCAGGTGTACGTCTTCCGGTTCGTCACTGAGCATGCGATCGAGGAGCGCATCCTCGACCGTGCCGCTCAAAAGCTTCGTCTCGACCAGCTGGTCATCCAGCAGGGCCGGGCCCAGCAAGCCGCCAAAGCCGCCCAGTCCAAGGATGACCTGGTGGATATGATCCAGCACGGCGCCGAAAAGATCATCTCGGCCAAAGAGGACATGTCGATCAACGACGACATTGACGACATCATCTCGCGCGGTGAAGAACGCACCCAAGCCATCCAGGCCAAGTACCAAGGTCTCAATCTCGACGATCTGAACAACTTCAAATCCGACACAGTGTACAACTGGGAGGGGAACGACTTTTCAGAGCGGAAACCCATTGGTCAGCTGTGGATCGAGCCGAGCAAGCGTGAGCGCAAGGCGAACTACAGTATCGATAATTATTATCGCGATGCGATGCGGGTTGGACCGAAGCCTGCGGCGCCCAAGGCACCGAGGGCGCCCAAGCAGATTAACATCAACGATTTCCAGTTCTACCCGGCCCGGTTGGCGGAGCTGCAGGAGCGCGAGACGGCGGCGTACCAGCGGTCGATTGGCTACCGCGTCCCTGCCAACCCGTCTGACGGGCAGACGGCGGACGAGGCCGAGGAGGAGCGCAAACGCGAGCAGGAGCTCATCGACACCGCCGAGGCTCTGACCGAGGAGGAGGTCGAGGAGAAAGAGCAGCTAGCCAGCGAGGGTTTCGGCAACTGGAATCGACGCGAGTTCCAAATCTTCGTCCGTGGATGCGAGCGCTACGGTCGCAAAGCCTTCGCTCTCATCGCCGCCGACATGCCGGACCTGTCGAAGACCGAAAAGGAAGTGCGGGAGTACTCGCGCGTGTTCTGGGATCGAATCGACGAGCTGACCGACTCGGCCAAGCTGGTAGCCCGGATCGAGGAGGGCGAATCCAAACTCGCCAAGCAGCAACACCAGGAGAGCGTGCTCAAACGCAAAGTGGATATGTACCGTCAACCGCTGCTGCAGCTCAAGATGCACTACGGCCAGAACAAGGGCAAGAGCTACAGTGAGGAGGAGGATCGATTCCTGCTAGTCAAGCTGGCCGAGTACGGGTTGGGTGAGGGGGATACGTACGATCGGATCAAGAAGGATGTGATGCTCTGGCATGGGTTCAGGTTTGATTGGTTTATCAAGAGTAGGACGCCGCAGGAGCTGCAGAGGAGGTGCAATACGTTGTTGTTGTTGGTGCTCAAGGAGATGGAGGAGGAAGATAGTAAGGGTGGGGGGAAGAAGAGGAAGGCGTTGGATACGGGTAGCAATGCCGGGAGCAGCAGGGCGGGTACGCCGACTGTGGGAGCGAGTAAGAAGAAGAAGAAGTGAGTCCGAGGCCGGAGGGTAGGGGTGCTTTGTGGTCTTTCCGTGCAATCTCAGTCAATTTTCAGTCCAGGCGCTTGATCGTGTGAATGCAGAAGTGGCATTGCGTGCGTTGGATGAGGTCGTCCAGCGTGGATGCAGCACCGACACTCTGAACTCGGGCCGGATGGCGCTCAACGGGAGGCTAGGCAGGCACAAACCCAACCAACTCCCTCACCCACCCCTCCCTCACCTCGTCCAGCCTATCCATGAGGAGCAGCACACTCGCCGCTCTGGCCGCAATCTTCCCTGCCATCCCTGTGGGCGCCTGCGCTTGCACATCGGCAAACACCTCCCGCGTCCAGCTCATCAGTTGCTGCAGGTGGGACACGCTGTGTCGGTCCTGTAGGAGGCGCTGTGGGTCACCTTGGAGGGTGCGATCGAGGGTGATGGCTAGGAGGGTGAGGAGGGAGTTTGTGAGCGGGCCTGTGGGGGTGAGTGTTGGTGAGAGGGAGGTGCTGAGCAGGTCGAGGACGGATGTTGTGACGGAAGGGATGAGGGTGGTGGGTGCGAGGGAGAGGAGGACGCTGATCGTGTCGTGAAACAGTGCGGTCGTTGTTGTGTCAAACCCTCCCGCACCGCGTTGTGCGTATGCCTGGTAGGCGAGGAACCGGTTGATGAGGGGGAAGAGGTAGACTGGGCCCGCTAGCTGTGCCCACTCGTCCTTGCCACCCGTCACCAGCGCTGATGGGGCTGATGGATCGTGCAACTGGACCATCTTGCCCCGACCGGCGCTCGTCTGTTGAGACACCATCAGCCCGCGCTGCCTCTTGATCTGGGGCACCTTCGACTCGCCCACCGCCCGCGCACCTTTCACCACCCCTTCCATCACCCGTTCCACCCTCCCCCCCTCTTCCTCATCCCCATCTCCCGCTGCATCGCCCTTGGCCAACACCACTGCGCTCTCGACCACCGCCCACCAAACACCCCTCCTCTGCGCTTCACTATACTGTCCGCCCATCCCTTGCTCCACCAACACGGGCACCACCACGCCCGGCTCTGCGATCGCTAACGCCTTCACCGCCGCCCGCCGCATCTGCTCGAACCGCTTGATCCCATAATTGTCGTGCAGCGCAATGAGCGTCAGCACCAGGTCCACCGCATTCTCCCGCACTTCCGCGCCAAAAGCGGGGTTCGACTTGCGCGCGATGAGCGAGGAGGCGTGGTGCAAGCCCTGACGGATGCTGCTGCGGTCTGAGGCGCGGAGGAGGGGCGAGAGTTGGGAGATGTAGATCGGAGGTGGCGGGGTGCGGGTGAAGCTGGGTGCGTGGGCGTCGGTGTTAGCGTCCAGGTCGGTAATTTTTCCGCCCGAGCGAGGGTTGGTGTTGAGCAGGGTGTTGGTTTCAGACGTGGATAGGCCGGTGAGGGAGGCTGCGAGGCGGTGGACGGATTCTGGGTCGTCCGGCGCAATGTCGCTATCCGACCCCTCCGAGCTGGAGTCTGACGCGTCTGAAGCGCGAGTGGGGCGGGAGGAAAACATCGTGAGCGGCGACTCTTGCGGTGGGAGTTCCTGCTCGTTGTCAGGCTCGATCATCGTGATGAGCGGTCTTGTCTTCGCTCCAACAGCGGGTCGGACCGGCGCTACTCGCTCCGGCAACCTCCTCGTCCTCACCTTCCCCCTCTTCTCCTTGCTAATCGACTCGATCCTCTCCACCATCCGTTCCTCCTCTTCAACCCCGACCACCCGCACGGCCTCCCCAACCCCCTTCCATCCCTCCCTTACCCTGTCCACACATTTCACATGGTGTGACCAGGCATCGCCCAACGCCCTCACCACCCGCGCCTCCTCCCTCCCCTCCCCCGTCCCGTTCCATGCGCCTTTACCGAAGTTCAGCGCTTTCCCTTCCCCGGCAGTCTTGGCGCTGAGCAGTTCGGCGATCAGCATGCCCATCCGTCGGATGGTCGGATCGGGCTGCTCGAGGTGCGACGAGACGCCGGTAATTACCGCGCTCGAGCGAGCGACTGCGGCTAGCCCCGGGAGGGTGGACGGTATCGCAGCGAGAAGGCATGCGATGAGGGTGCTGAGGAAGAGGGTGGGGGTGAGCAGGGCTAGTCGGATGCGCGAGGGGTCGGACCACTGTTCGAGGGACGATTCGAGGCAGATGAGCAGGGATGCAGGCGGCAGTGTGTGCGCGAGATGGTGCGCCCAGGCCCAGGCGAGGAGGGGGGAGTGGTGGGGCGAGGAGAGGGCGAGGAGGCGGAAATCGGCGATGAGGCGCGATTCAGCGTCGTCGTCATCGTCCGAGTCGGAGGCGGACGTCGTGGAATAGTCCGAAGACGAGGGACGGAGTAGGGTGTCGAAGATGTGAGTGAGGGCAGCAACCATCTCCTGCGACGACTTGCCAAGGAACGCTGTCCCCTCCGTCCCTGGCCTCGCCTTCTCGGCGCTCGTCACCAACACACTGGCTACGCCTTTTCTTGTCATCCAGTACTGCAACGTCTCCACCAGCCCACAATCCAATCTACCCCTCAAACTCCTCCCCAACCTACTCCGCAACCTCGCGCAGTTCCGCGCAGCACCCTCATCCCCTTGTATCCTGCGCAGAAGCGTCACCCAAAAACCACGCCCTTCGGCATCCACCGCTCTGCTCAGGTATCCCATCCTGTCGAGCCGCGTTAGCACGTCTTTGAGGTGTTTTGTCGGCACCCTCTCTCCCTCTTTCGCTGTGGAGAGACACTGCGCAATCCCGCCGACGAGCACCCTCCCGATCCATGTTGTCTGCGAGAAGCCAGCGGGAAGCTTCCCCTGTGTCGCATTCGCCAGTCGATCGGGGAGGGAGCAGGCCAAGCGTAGTGTCTCGCTCCACGCCACGTCTGCGCGAGCTGCATTGGGTTCCGCTTGCACGCTTGACACCAGTGCGGGAAGCGACAGTCGATCCAACGCTTCAATGCAGAGCCTCTCGAGCGCGGCGAGCGTGAGCGGATGAAGGTTGGGAGAAGGGAGAACCCGGCAGAGGGTGCGTAGTGCGCATTGCTGTACCGCACCTTTTTGGGCTGCTTGGAGGGAGGGCGCGAATGACCAGAGCTCGAGCAGGTCACGAAGCTGAGTAGAAGATGGGAGATCGATCACGATGCGCACAAGGAGGGCTTCTTGGATCGTCTCGATGAGCAGGACGTCGAGTGGGGCGCGCTGCGGTGCGCTGGTCGAGGCAGAGGGTCCGATGGCGGGCCTGAGGCTCGGTGGAAGAGCATCGGGGCCAAAGAGACGGATGAAGGGGGCAGTGAATGTTGCAATGACTTCGGAAGGCGAGCCGAATCGTTTAGTTCCGTCCTTGATCGCTGCAAAGTCTCGTCTGAGCTGCCGAGAGTCGACAGTGTGGGAGGGGCCTGCCGACATGGTTGGCGCTGCCTGCATCACTTCTGCAAGCGACATCGCGATCACCTTTGCTTTAAGTTCAGGCGTAGATCATCGTTCTACTGCTGCGTGACCGTGACGTGACCTCAGCGGGAGTGCTTGATTGTGTTGCTCGAGATGAGGAAGAAAGGAAGATTGCTGGGAGTAGTTGCGGAAAGTGTTACTTTCTCTCCACGCCAAAAAGTTCAGGGTCCTTCTGTCCGACTTCCGCGCTCTCGACAGTTCGAGGCCTTTCTTGTCAGCTCATTGCACACACCCTATCACTCATACGAGCTCCCAGACACACGGAACACAAACGAGGTCACTGAAGATGCTAACGATACTCGAATTGATGCATGAAACAAGACTGCGAGAAAGCTGACTGCCACAAATGGCCATGAAAGAAGTCATAGAAAATGCGAATGCTAACAAAGGTACTGTGCGACCGCTCACGCCCAATCGAGCACATCATCCAAATCCAGCCCGATGCCCAGTCCCATAGGCACCTCGGTCGACACCTGGCGATGCTTGGCGCCGCTGCTGCTGTTCGACCTATTGCCGTCCCTGCCAGCGGTACCCAGCGCCTTGTGCAGGCGCGCCGACGAGCTAGCGCCGGCGCCCGAAGGCAGACCCAACCCAAGATGGCTCGGCTGGCGTTCGTGCGTGCCGTAGCTGTGCGGGGCGAGGAAGCGCGGGCTGCTCATGTCGAACGTCGGCGTGCGCGGGAAGGGCGATGACGAGGGAGGGAAGTCGTCGCTCGCATCGAACCTGCCTGCGCGCATTGAAGACATGTTGGGCTGGCGAGGCTGCAGCTCGGGCGTCTTGAGCAGTGAGCTCGACCAGGGCGTGCCGAGACCTGATGGCTGACGGGCGCGGACGGCACGCGTGCTCGAGGTGGGCGACTGGAGCTGCCACGCTCGGCTGTTGCTGCCGTTGTAGAAGGCCTCGTTGCCGAGGTGGTCCTCGAAGCCGTCCACATAGCCGCTGCTGTAGACCAGGCTGGGCATGCTGGTGGAAGGCTCGGTGCCGAAGGCACCTGACAAAAAGTCGCGACCCGGCGTGGACAGCAGACCACCGCTAAAGGAGTCGACCCGCTGATGACGACCGGCTGAGCGCGACGGTGTCTGGCTGCCCAGAGGCTGAGCGCCTGAACGGTACGCCCAAGAGCCACCGGAAGCAAGGCGGGAAGGCGTCGAAAAGACGTCGGCGTGCACCGCCTCGTCCACGCCAAGACCAAGGGAGAGCGGACCCGAGTGACTAGCCTTGCGCCCGGAGGCGTGGCGGCTAGGCGTGCTCATACCAACCATGCGAGGCGGTGTGGCCTGGCGCTCGGACCTGTTGCTGGCGCGGGTGGGCTCCCAATCAGCGCGCGAGAAGCCGGCGAGCAGGCTCGGCGTGGTGCTGGCATCGGTGAAGTCGGCTGTAGCTTCGCTGGACCTCGAGGGAGTCTCGGGTACGGCAGGGCGGACACCGGACGAGGCGGTGGTGCTCTTGCGAGCGAGCGGCGATCCGGGTTCGTTGATCCTCCAGCCAACGCGCTCGGCTCGAGAACGACCCTGACCTTGACGCTTGACTGTGCTGCGTCCACCACGATCGCCCACCGACAGAAGCGGCGGGCTGGGAGCGAGTGCGATCGATGACGACACAGCGACACCGTGGCGGTGGATGGGTGTGCCACTCGGGAGAGTGAAGACGGGCTCCTGGCCCAAGAGCACAGCCTCGAGCGCCTCGGGCGTGCTGAGATGCGCGTAGGAGGAAGCTGAAGCTGGCATCGACGAGGCAGGCGAGAGGTGTTCCGTGAGGGCGGCCTCGCAGCAGTCGTCGCAGAACCACTCGTCTGAAAGTTCGTTGACCGCATCAATGCCGACACAGGGCAGGTGAAGCCAGTGTCGGCATCCGTCGCACTGGACCATGATGATGGAATCATCGTCGATGCCGCACTTGCAGCCAAAGATGGCGCTGGCGTTGGATCGTGCCAAAGAAGCGCCGGTCGCCACCGATTTGCGTGACGAGCTAGCGACGGAAGCCGCCACCTTGGGTTTGCGGCCACGACGCTTTGGTGTCTCGGCGACGCGCAGCAGCAGCTGTTGCTTCGACTTCCTGCCGCGTTTGGCGGGAGTGCGAGCGTTGGCGGCAGCAGTGACGGCGGCCGAGAGCTGGGCACGCTGAAGCTTGCGAGCACGATCGAGCAAGGCCTTGGCCACCATCGGATGGTGTCGGAAAGCTGATGCGCCCGAAGGCTCTGCGAGGTCGAGCTCGGTCTCGTCGCTCGAATCTGACTCGAGCCATCGCTGAATGCCCTCGCGGCGCTTCTGCTTGACATCGTCGATGTGACGGCCAGCAGCGGACCAGGGGCCGCTTGGGCAGTCGGGCCAGTCGAGTGTTGGCAGCTTGGCGGCGCTGTTGCTGCTGCCGCCGAGACGAGGGCGGTGGACTTTGTCGTCCTGTTGCTTGGAGGAACCGACCGGGTCCATGCGCATCAATGCCATCAACGCCTTCTGGGTTTCAGCGCTGATGTCCCCGGACGCTTGGCTCGCCTTGTTCATCTTCTTGACCGGCGAGACGGGCTCGGAGGCCGGGAACTGAGACGATAACGAGAAGCTGGGTGAGATGCCCGAGGGGCAAGGAGTGCCGGCCGAAGTGGGATCGGTGGAGGACCCATTCTCGCTTCGAGCTGCCGAGTCGTCCGAGTCGCATCCTCGCAGCAGCGCCGACGCATCGCGATCAGACGAGCAGGAAAAGCGTCTCGATGCAAAGCTGTCGGGGTTGGGAGGGTGATCGGTGATCTGCTGCGCAAAGTCGCGGTGGATGGCGACTCGACCCAGGCCTTCGACCTCGAGTGGCACCAGCTTTGCGTTCTGGTCGATGATGGGCGAATCCTCAAAGGTGAAGGCGGCGAATGGATCGCGCGTCTCGACCGAGAAGAGACCGGTCATGACGGGCTCGGGTACGAAGCGAGGTGAAAAGCCGGGCGAGCTTTTGCTGCGATCTTCTGAGAGAGGCACCGAGCTGATCATGGCAGCCGAGGCCCAGCCCGAGAGATCGACGAGGCTGCGCTGGGAAGTGTGGAGCTCCGATGCGAAGGCGGTAGACGCCTTGCGCTTGCTTGGAGAGGCCTCGACGGCAGTGCTAGCTAGAGGATGAGATGGACGACCGATCTTGGGCAAAGTGTGAGGAACAGCATTGGGAGTGCGCTCGCCGCTGACGGGAGACTCCCATCCCATATGGACGTTGCCAACGCGCTTGCCGCGACGAGGGGTAGAGAGCACCTTGGAGGTGTCTGCGTCTTCGAGGTCGGCGAGGGTGGTCGACGACGACGATGCGAAAGGCGAAGAGCGACTATATTCGAAGATGTTGCTGCTCGAAATGGGCAGACCGAGGCCCTGCGCAGGGGCGGTATCGTGGTCGATGGCGGCTCGTGAGTTCATGACGGCGTCCATGATGCTGGCGGTGCTAGAAGTGCGCTTGAAGGAGCTTCTCGCCTTTTTAAGGGGTGACGATGATGGAGCCGGAGAGGAAGAGGCGAGCTTGGAAGCTTTCTTGGGCGAGGAGGCGCGCTGCTTCTTTTGAGGTGATGCAGGGGGGACGGCAGCTTTGAGATGACCAGCATCAGCAAAGGGGGCCTGAATATTGACCATGGACGGCGAGAGTGCGCTCGTCATCATGTTGGTGAGAGGGGGTAGTGCTGTGATGGGCGAGGTGGACCAGGGCGCAGGTGATGGCGACGGGGGGTCAAAGTAAGGATTTGACCACGACATGGTGATGGCAGCACGCAGACGGCGTCGAAGGGATGATGGCGAGGCAGCGTAGGCAGCGTAGGCAGCGTAGGCAGCGTAGCAAGGATAATGATCACCACGAACAAGCGGCAATATCAGCGTTGGGGACGATGAGGGAGAGGATATCGCAAGGGAACAAAGGAGATAGATGTTAGCGACAGGGTCCGGATATGAAGAGGAAAGAGGAGATTATGGCGGTGGTGGGGGTGTGGGAGGTGCAAAATTTGTCTCTGCAGGGCAACAGCGCGAGGATGCTTGTGTGCATGCATGCAGTGATGCAGGCGGGCGCTCGAGCGTCGATCTCCACCGCCGTGCAATGACGCAGACTGCCGAACGGCGAGATTGCCAAAGGGACATAGGAGGGAGGACTTACGTTGATGAAAGGGATTAAGGTTGATGCAAGAGAGACAATCGAGCTGATAAAGAAAGGAAAGGCGAACTACGACCAGCGAGAGAAGAGCCTTGAAGGAGAGAAGCGAGCGAGCGAGTGTGATGTTGAGCCTACAGCTTGACGGAGCTGACGTTGATGAACCAAAAGGCGAATGTGACAAAGGGGAAGAAGATGCAATGTGACAGGATGAAAGGGGGTCGAGGTCGAATAGGATTGGGCTGAAAGGGACGCTGAGGTGCAATTGTGATTTCCCAAAAGGCAAGGCAAAGGGTGCAACAGTCACCAGTCGGCTGTCGCGAAAAGGCTGGAAATGCGTGACTGTGTGCTGCGATGCGGTGGGATGCGAGGTGCAATCGAGGTTTGGCTCAACTGCGTGCGTGCGTCGGGAATTCCGACTCGAAAACGTGCGTATGACTTGCAGGAAGATGGTCGAGAGGATGATATAGAAGCCAAGATGCTATGCAAGGGAGGCTGAGTCGATGCGGAATGGCAAGATTGGCGACAGTTTGCGAGAATAGCCAGTGGTGCAACGAGAGCAGCTCAGTGAGGATGTATGCAGCAGAAGCGAATGAATGATGAGGAGGAGCCTTTTTGATCGATGGAACGCTGAAGGAAGAGAAGCAGATGGAGAGGCAGTGTGCGACCGCGGTGGCAGTGATTGGAGATGGGGATGACGATGGTGGTGGTGATGGTGATGGTGGGACGGATGAGGACGGCGTCAGAGATAACAAAGTCCACAAAGTCGATGAGGAGGAGGAGGACAGGCCGAGGATGCTGAGTGAGGAAGGGGGAGCAGCGATTTGGCAGGTTGCAGGTTGCAGGAAGATTTGACTCAAGCGAGACCAAGTCAGACGCACGAGGGCAAGAAGGGATAGATGCTCAATCTAGCCAGGGCCGGCAGCACGACCTCTGGGAAGCGTTGATGCGCTATCAGGGCCAGACTCCGACCGTGCTTGGGAAGGACTCTGGGTCAACTGCAGCAACCGCTCGAACAGGGGCGACCCTGCGGCAGGAACATGAACTAGGCTTGGGAGAGCACGCAAGCTCACAGGCAGGAGCACGAGCAGCTGCAGCGGCAGATGTGCAGGAGGCCAGAGCGGTAAGGGCAGCAGCGTGCGAGCAAAGATGCTGCAGCCCAATGTCGCTTGATCGCAGCGGAGTAACGGAACGGCCGGACCCACAGGAGCAAGCGATTGAGGCAGAGCTCAGGGGAAAGGCAGGCAGCGCACAGGTAGCGGCAGCGGCCAAGGGAATCAGTAGGCAGGACGGGCAAAGTAAGCCTCATGAGCAGACGAGAGGAGGATGACCAGGCGAGGCCCTGCTTTGAAGCGAATTCTGGCGGAAGAGAAAGCCACGCACACGCCGTTTTGCACAGATCGACTCCGGCTTTCAAGACCAGCCGGCCAAACCCGCCGTCTCATCGTTCCGTTGTCTGATCGAACCCAGACCTTTACTGATCCATCAGCTCGTCATCAACATGATCATCAGCAGCACCAGCCACTACAGCATCATCGGAGGGCATGTCTGTACTATAAGCTAAGCAGGGTCAGACGACGCCATACTCTAATGTGAGAATGCTGAATATGCTACTGCAGCGATCGAGAGGGGCGTTTAGAGATGATCAATCTTGCCTGGGAAGCGTTTGTCGAGATGGGATTCTGGACGCCAAGCGAAGCCGGCACCAGCGTTGGCGAGCCAGAGCCGGTCCTCGTCTGTTGGCCCAGGGCGGTTAGCGGGACTGCCAACGGGCCTCCAAGCGCTGGCTCTCACTCGATAAACGGGGTCTTTGCGAAGAGCGGCGTCTGGGTGGGCAGCTGTAAACCTAAATTCTTGAACTTCTCAGCGGCAGCAAAAAGCATTGTTGGCTCGAGAGCGGGAAATTCCTGACAGGAAGAATGGAGAGTCGTGTGGGTGGCCGCTGCTGACTTTTGACTGAGAATTCGCCAGAAAGGAAGAAGAGGATGTTTGAGTTTGACGGCTGCTTCGTGGTGTTTTCCCCGCAGAAAGAACGCTAAATCGATTCACAAGCGAAGAAGATCCGACGGCTTTCAGAATGGATTCGACGAAAGCAATTCCGTCTTACCATCTCTCGAACCGAGACCGCAAAGCATGGGCCATGATGAAACAAGTCTGTGTGGCGTTCCTCATTCTTGTTGATGACCGATACGCCGGATCCAGACAGTCTTTGTGTCTCCTTATCGACGCTGTTGTTGGTGAGCGATTGATTGCATGGAAGCATCGCCGGTCCGCTAGAGAAGAGCCAAGAGCGGGAACGAAAGCAGATCGCGCGGTGCAGAAAGCATACACACACACGAGCTTGGTTCCCCGACTCCGATTCCATCTCGACATGGTCAACCTGCAGCAGAGGCGGCAGCGGAAAGGGCAAGCGAACGGTGCGGTTGATGCAGGTTGAAATTCCATCGCGCAGGAGAATGCAAAGCCACCGCTTTGAAAACGTGGATTTTGGCACTGAAACATGCAGGTGTGCTTTGTCTCGAAAGTCGAAAGTGCATCTTCCTGCAGCAAGGTGCAGCAGCCGCAACCGCCACACCGCAACTTTACGCGTCCCACTCGCGTCGCGTTCGGCTAGGCGCACCATCCTCACCTGCCAAAAGAGAAAGAAGCCACTTTACGCGACGAACATTCCAACTTGACGCGCCGAACTGTCGAACTTTGGAGAGCGCGGCGCGAAATTCGAGCTGCACCTCGCTCGGAGAACAGGCTTGCATGGGAACTTTCTCGCGTCGTCAACGATCCCGTTTGCCCTTCTCCTCTTCGTATCAAATCCAGAGTGGGGATCAAGTGCGGGTTGAAGGACGATTCTACCCGAATGGCCATCGTTCTCGATCGCGTCCATTCCCCGTGGCCTGCGATCGAACCGGACGAACTCCCCCACACACTGTACAGAAGCCATCTCTCATCGTGGCGCTTCTCTCTCGATGGAGGCTTGGCTGGTCGCTTCGATCGTCGCAATCGACCCAACCGTTCGCGAGGGATGGTCGTCTTACCCTGTACAATTCCCACAGCAGCGGTTCCGAGACGGTGGGAACGCCGAAATCCAGCTTCGTGACAGTTGCGCGAGGTGGTGAGATACAGTGGCGGACTTGATGTGAAGCGAGGCGTGCATGGATCGGTGGCCATCGTGCATGGCACCTGGCATGCGATGGCGTGCCTGCTTTTCCTGCCCTCACAATCCGCAACATCCTTCTGACCTCGGTGAGCTCCTTGCCCATCTTCCCGCCCTTTCAGATCATTGCAGCTGGATCTTGTCTGCGTCGACAATAACATCTTGCATACAGCTCACGGCAGCGGAGCATCATTGCCCCATGTTGAGCCAGGAAGCTCTGGAAAGATTGCAAGGAGCCTGCATGCATGTGCAGCCGTCGTGCATCGAAATCATGTCGCGCTAGACAGCCCTCCTCTTCGCATGAGATCTCCCCGTTTTTGACAGTTCAACTTCTACCCGTACCTACACTCGGCCCAGTGCGAGCCGCTGCCGAACATCGAGATAGGGTCGTCCTTTCGCACGTATGGGCCTGCTTGCAAAGCAACGACAGCCGCCTCGCACAGACTTCCATTCGGCTATGCACCGCACACGACGACATCAGCCGACCATAGTCATCGTTCAAAGTGAAACATGGGTACAAATACAATGATGGCGCTACACGATGGGCGCACTGGAAACGAAAATGTCGTGTCGACCATTCGAGCCCGAAGAGAAGAGATGAGGTCCTGGAGAGAGGGACTAACTGATGCCGCGCACATTCGCCTGCAGGTCGCCCACCAATCGGTTGCGCTTGGTCGCCGCCTCCAGATCCTTCTCCAACTTCCGCCTGATCTCCTCCAGCTCGGCCACCCTCTCCTTGGCCCCCTGCCTCTCCCTCTTGACCCGCTCCTCGGCCGCCTTGCACCGCAGCTCCAGCTCCTTGATGCGTGCCGCCCACTTGCCCTCCCCCTCGCCGTACTTGACCTTGGCTTCCGCCAACCGGTCCTCGGCCTGACTCACCTGTGTCAGTGCTGTCGCCAGCCGACGCTCCGCCGTGTTGGCCCTCGTGGTGAGCGTCGTGAGCTTGTTGTTGTCCCCCGGTGTCGAGAGCGAATTGCGCGTCTTGAGCGACGAGATCTGCGAGAGCAGCTCGGCATTGGTCGCCTTGACCGCGTCCAGCTCGGATTGTTTCGACACCAATCGCTGTCGCCACTGCCCCTGCTTGTCCGCGGCCACCTTGATCGACGCTTCGAACCGATCGATCTGGCGGAAACGTGAGTCCTGCTGCCGTTTGAGCGCCGTATACTTCTCCATGAGCTTCGCTTCGAGCTCCTTGACCTTTTGGTCCACACCGAGCTGCGTATCGAACACCCGGCGCAGACGCGAGAGGAGCGACGAGTGGAAGACGTCAAAGTTGGTAAACGGCTTGAGTTCCGCTTCGCGCTTGCGTGGCGTCGAGTTGCCGTCCGCGGTGGACGAGGCGAGGATCTTGCCCATCTGCTGATAGATGGTGAGCAGCAGAGCGTTGCGTTGGCTCAAGGCATCGCGGGAGGCTTGCTCGGTTCGCAGCGTCGCTCGCTCGCCGGCGTTGAGCTCGTGCTCCAGCTCCTCCATCTTGGCCCGGGCAGATTCGAGCTCCTTGCGCTCCGCCTGCACCGCCGCCTGCTGCGCCTCGAATCGCTCCGACAGGCCAAGGCGCGACTGCATCTCGCTCGCCAGCTTGGCTTGCACCTCCCTCAGCTCCGAGTGCACCTGCGCCAGCGTGTCCTCCTTCTGTCGAAGCGCGTCGTCCTTGCGATCGAGGTCTTTGCGTGCTCGCGCCAGGTCGTCCTCGCATCGCGAGAGGTCGCGTTTGAGACGATCGATTTCGAGCTCGAGACTGTACTTGTCGTTGGCCGAGCTCTGACCCATTCGGAACGACTCGTTCTCTTTGGATCGGAGCGCGTCTTGCAGCGTCTGGACGTCGGACTTGCGCATGGCCAGGTCGTCTTCCATCTGGTTGAGCTCCTTTTCGAGCGCAACAATGGCTTCGTCCTTGTCGCGCACGACGCGTGCCATGCGCGACTCGGTCTCTTCGAGCTTGCGTTCCCACTCTGCGTGGGCGTCGTCCAGCGCTCGCTCTTCGGCTTTGAGATCCTCGACCACATCCGAGACCTTAGCGTCGAGCTTGGCATTGATCTCTTCCAGCCGTGCCCGTTCCGCCGCAAGTTGCTCTGCTTCGCGTGCGTACGAATCCGCCTCCTCGCGCATCGCTTCAAGCTCGCCCAACGTCGCTTCCAGCTGCGCTTGTGCTCCTGTCAGGTCCTGTGTCGTCGCGACGAGCTTCTCTTTGAGCACAGTGGTGTGACGCTCGTGCTTCTCGTTGGTTTGCTGCAACACCTCTTCGACCTTGGCGATCTCCTCGTCCAGCTGCTTGATCTCGTCGGCGCGCGCCTCGAGCTCTTCCTCGAGCCCAAACATGCGGTTCGACATCTCTTGCATCTCCTTGTTGGTCTCGGCCAGATCGGCGTCCTTGGCTTCGAGCTCGCGGTGCAGCTCGTCAGCCTCAGCACGTAGCTCGTCCGCCTCCTGCTTGAAGGTCTGCACTTGTCGGTCGAGCTCGTCCGCTTCGGCTTCGACGCCTTCCAGCTGGACCTTTTGCTCCTCGAGCAGCTGCTCTGCTTGTCGCAACTCGTATTCGAGATCGGCCACCTTGGCGGTGAGGTCCTGCAGTTCTGCATCCAGCTTTTCGAGCTCAGCCTCCTTGCCGTCGATCTGCAATTGCGCAGAGGCAAGCTCGTCGCGCAGCTTGTCGATCTGGTCCTGGTATCGGTCGGCGGCCAGACGCTCGGCTTCGACAAAGCGTACTGCCTCATCTTCCTGCGTGATGTTGGCATGCTCGAGTCTCTGGTTGGCCACATCGAGCTCCCTCTGCAGCGCCTCCTCGGACGAACGCAGCTCGTACACCTCGTCCTTGTGCTGTTCGATATCGGCAACGAGCTGGGCGTGACGCTCGAGCATCTTGGCGTTCTCGGTCTTGTGGGCGGTAAGCTGCTGCTCGAGGTCATCGATGTTGCGCTGGTGATGCATAGATCCATTCGGCGAAGAGTCGCGCCCTTGTTGGGAGCGAAGATGCTCGATCTCATCGCGAGCCTGTTCGAGCTGCTCTTGCACCTCGTCGCGTTCCCGGCGCAGCTCGTACTTTTCGTCCTCGTGCTCGTCGCGAAGCGCATCGATGCGCTTCCGCAAGCGGGTCGAGTCGCCGAGCGATGTTGCCGAGGTCTCATCGCCACGACTTGCGTCGCCCGGTGGCGGCCCTCTTCGCTTGACAAAGTCGAGCTCGTCCTCGAGACGGATCTTCTCTTGTCTCTCTTCCTCGGCTTTATTGTTGGCGGCAAGCAGCTTTGCCTGGAGGTCTGCGATCCGCTGCTCGTAGTCGGTCGGAGTCGTACCCTTCCATTGCTGCTGTTCCTTTTGCAACACTTTGATGGCACGATCCTGCTGTTTGAGCATGGCTTGTTGGGCGATCATCTTGTTGGTGTAGGAGAGCTTCTCTTTCTTGAGGACGATGAGCTCGGCTAGTCGATCGTCTAGCGAGACCTTCTCGCGCAACAGATCGACGACGATCTTGAGCTCGTCGCGTTCTTGGGTGAGATTGTTGATCCTCTCTTGCGCCGACTTCATCGACACTCCTGCTGCTGACCGGCGACGCATGGCACGAGCACCCCATTGACCCGAATCGTTGCCTGGAGATGCGGCGAGGAGAGAGTCACCGCCCTGCGAGATGTCCTGTTGCATGCGTTGGAGCTCGCTCTGCTGCTGGTGTCCCTTCTGCAGACTGTCTTCGAGCTCCTCAAAGGTGTCGTCGTCGGCGATGCGCACGCCGTAGTGTCTTCGCTGCTCCTGCTTGCGCTGTGTAGAGGGAGGCTCATCTTGACGCGCATTCTCCTTGTTGGAGGACGTGCGCGAGGTGTCGTTTGCATGAGGAGGAGGAGGGGTCCGGGCACGTCCTGTGCCGAGATCGATCGGGCCGGAAGTGATTCTCCTGGCACGCTCCGTCGCAGCGCTGGGCTTTTTGGATCTGCCAAAGGTGCTGTTGAGAGGCTTGGCGGGCGGAAGGTCAAGGTTGATGCTGGCTACTGTTTCGAGGCCCGGCAGATCATCTCTAGCCGCTGCAGCAAGACTCTGCTCTATTGTCGAGTCGTAGTTGGAGCCGGCATCGTAGCCGGCCAATGCCGCAAAGCGATCCGCCATGCCTTAACACTTTGCCGCTCACAGACCGAAAGCCGGATCGAAGCCAGACTGGGAAGAGATTGCGGATGGTAGGAACGCCGGTTGAAAGAATGTGACGTTGGTGTCGTTGACAATGATGTTGTTGACGCGACTGATGTCGACGATGGGTTGCTTGATCGGGCCAATTACACCGTCATGATGCTTCGGTCGGTGTTGCTACGCCTCGGACTGTAGCAGCCTTGTTGTGTGAGATGGTGGTGGCGTGAAGGTGAACGTGGCTGGATAGACGGTGCTGAGCCCGATACGTGTTCGATGCGGAATCGTCACAAAAGTTAGGGTTGCAGCTCGCGATTGTGGAGAGCCACAAGAGAGAGCGCGCGCGTATAGCCCGCATCCAACTTTGGTGCCAAATTCATTTTGGTGGAAAAGCGAGAACAACACTCCGAGTCACGTGCCACGCGTGTCGGTAATACACTCGTGCGAAAACTTCGGGATAAAACTCAGGCCTGCAACGGTGTTGGTCCTCTGAATGATCGCGAATTAGCACTCGAAGATTGGGAGAGGAAGATGGATACATGATGCTATGATACGTTCGACCAACAATGGCTTCGGGCCCAGAGAGCGAGAGAGAAAAAGAGAGAAAGAGACGGGAAGAGAGAGTGGAAGAGTATGAGTGAGAAAGGGGAAGGAGAGAGAGCGAAAGGCACAGGAGGCGAGAGGGAGAGATTTGCAGCGCGTGGGTAGTCCGAAGATCGAGTCCTGCTTTGTGACACTACGACGTCGAGCGAACTAGGCAAGGCTTGGAGAGGAAGAAAGGTCGGAGTGGGTGTGAGTTGCCGCCATCAATAGGCATTGCTGAGCAGCAGTTGCGATGTCTCGAGGCAGAGGTTGACTTCATCGGCCATAGGCACGACGGCCTCCCAGTGCTTGCCCAGATCCATCAGCGTGTCTCTCGCCTCGCGCACACGTCCCCAGATGTCGCGCAGCTGCGCCTGCTTGACAGGATCGATCGAGGGCACAAAGTCGTCCACCATGTCATCGTCGCCCATTCCAGAGTGATCCAACACGCGTTGGAGGCTGTCGTTGGCGTACTCTCCATGGCCGTTGAACTCGTTCATCGAGTCGTTCTGCACGTGGTGGTCCTCCTCGCCCATGGCGCCGTCGCCCGCAAACCCACCGTGCACCGCCAGTGCCTGCATAAGGAGCACGAAACTGATCAGCACAAAGCTGCAGCAGTTGAACGGGTTCGGGTTGACCGACTGGCCGTGACGCCGTTTGGCAATGTCGAGCAGTTTGCGGCTGGCGTGCACACACCGGAGCAGCGACAGTCGCGGCAGGAAAGGTCCACGCGCGTACAGGTCCTGCTGCGTCAGGCTGGTCGGCGCCGCAGATGCGCCCAGCGAGGTCAAGTCGAGGTTGCCGCTGCCGCTGGCGCTGCCGTTGCCCGTCGCGTAGGATGTCAAGTCGAGAGTGCCGTCATGCGCAAGAACAGGCATGGGCTCACGGCAGACAGCCGAGCTCGAGCCGTCCTTGTTATCCTTGATCGAGTTGAGGAAGCACAGCTTGCGTTCAAACAGAGACGCGCCCTGGAAGGCCTGACCAATGTGCAGCGTCAGCGACGAGGTGTAGAGCTGAACGGCCGCTGCCATGCGCAGCGAATCTTCGAGCTCCTTTTCCACATGCGCCAGGTCACCCGTCAGCGGCACTTCCGAAGGCAATGGCGAGTCGGGCGCCTCGGTGGATTCGTGGATGCGGATTTGGTCCTGGAGGAAGCTGTCAATCTCAAGCATGCTGCTGAGAATGTCCTGTCGTGACGCCTTGGTCGGAAGGGTGGAGAAGGTGGCGGGAGCCTCATCGCTACTGACGGAGCCGGATCTCGAAGCGCCGAGACGGCCGAAAGCGAACGGCGAGCCGGCCGAAGAAGACACAGGCGACATCGAGGCTTCGCGGCGCGGTGGCTCGAAGCCGCCGGTGTTGCCGTCCTGCGACTGGCCGTACTGTGCGAGGGCCAAGACACGATCCTGCACCAGCAGAAGCGCCTGCAACGAGCTGATGTTGGAGGTCCACACATCCGAATTGGATGCGACCGGCATCTCGCTCTTGACACGAGGATCGTCGGCACGGATGGTGGGGATGCGCCCTGTGTTGTAAGCGGCCCACAGCACCAGGCTCCACACGGACCACCAGCAACGCTTGCGCATCTCAAAAATGTCGGTGGGGTCGACGCCCATGGCTGTGAGCGGATGACCTGCGTTGGAGACGTACGCAAAGCTGCTCGGCGCCGATTTGTTCTCGCCCGGCGCCGTCTTGTGGCTCAGCTTGTGCAGTCCTTGTCCCATGGCGAGGCCGAGCGCCTGATCTGCCTTGAGACGCGCCTTGATGGCACGTCCGCTGCCGTACTCGAACACGACAAGCACGCACAGTGTCTGGACCGCTTCGAGCATCTTCTCGCCTGATTCGTCGCCGTCGGCCTGCTCGAGCAACTGATCGAGGCCGTCGTTGGCTTTGCGTTCAAAGGCGAGCGTGCGCTCACGAAGCGCCGCCTTCTTTTCGTCGGAGCCAAAGTTGATGCCTTGGCCTGATAGCTTGTGCATGGCACCGATCGGTTGGATCTCGTCTCGCAGGAGGGGCAGGACGCACTGAAGTGCGTAGATGAAGGCCGAGTCGGGTTTGAAGAACTTGGCAAGCACGTCGATGTGCTTGGGAGGGGGAAGCACGGGAATGAAGCGATAGAGATAGCGATAGTAGTCGATCAGCAGCGCCTTGACACTGCCAGCCTCGGCGACGGCGGCATTGAGGGTCTTGAACGACAATGGCTTGATCTTAGAAGAATCGACGACATTGTCGATGGAAGTGTGACGCGACGAGTTGGACTGGCTTGAAGTGCTGGGTGCGGCCACGGAGCTGGCGTGATACGCTGTCATTGCATCATCGATGCGTCCCCAACCGGTCGAGCTTTGGTGTGAATGCGGCGATAGGGCGGCAGGGTTGCGCGTACCGTCGGGGCCTGCACCTGGTGGCGACGTAGTAGCTAGCTGCGCTGTCGTGTTAGACGGAGCAGCTTGCTGTACTGGTTGCCGCTGCTGCTGCTGCTGCTGCTGCTGCTGCTGTAAGCCGTGCATCTGTGATTGCAGAGCTGCGCCGTTGAATTGCTGAGAAGGTGACTGGTGCTGATGCTGCTGCTGCTGTTGGTGTTGTTGCGCCGGCTGCGACTGCATGAGCATCTGCGATGCTGATGGCTGTTGAGCAGCGTCAGGTAGCTGATATCGCATGAAACCGCCCGCCTGGAATCCGGGGATCCCTGCGAAGGGATCTTGCATGGGATCGCCATACGAGAATGCGGATGCCTGTTGCTGTGCGGATGGCAGACCGGAGTGAGGCTGCTGCATCTGCAGACCGCTGGGAAGGGAGGAAGGCTGCTGGAGGACGGAGGGATCAAAGGACTGGTACTGGGTGGGGATGTTGAAGACGCTCGAATGAGGCTGCACTTGCTGCTGCTGCGGCTGCGGCTGCGGCTGCTGTGGCTGTGACTGCATACCCTGAGCAGCAGAAGCATCCGCAGCCGATGGACCTGCAAGGCCTCCTGGACGACGGAAAGCGTAGGGCATGTCGGTCATGGCAAAGAGCTTGTTGAGATGGCTCTGGAGGTCTTGGGTAGGATCTACCTTGGGCTTGGGCTTGCCTCCACGGCGCGAGACTGTGTAGAGGCATTCGTCAGGACGCCCACGACCTACGCAGGCAGAGCAGGGCTTGTTTCCGTCACATCGCGATTTGCGGGATCGACAAAAGGTGCAAGCGCTCTTGACGGGGGCAGCGATGGGACCCTTTTTATCTCTGTCGTCGGACTTGTTGTCGTTGGTTCGCATGGGACCGGAGCTGCTGGACTGTTGCTGATTGGCATCCGCGTCGCCGTTGCCGTAGGGCGAGTGTTGATCTGTGGCCGACATGATGGCGCGCAGCTAAGAGGTGTTGCTACGTCGCGGGATGGGGTGGAATTGGACGTTGTGGCGCGGTAAGTAGAGTCGAAAACTCCAAGTGATCGCCAGCACTTGGGCTCGAGCTAATGAATGGTATGCGTCCGCCTTGCGTGTATAGATGAGGGCGGGACAGCACGAAGCTCAATGTCGATGCGCAATTCGAAAGTAAGCTTGACGTCGTAGAATTGTAACGGATGGCCGAGCTGGCCTTGTTTGGTCGTGCGTCGTAATGTTGGAAGCCGGGTCAGTGAGAGCCGAGAGCGTTGACGACACGACGGAGAGAATGGTTTGGATGGATGGACGCCAGATCTGGAAAGAGGGTGACGGCGCGGTGGGGTGATGGTGATGGTACTTGGCGACGATGGTGACGGCGCAGGCGGATCGGATCGGATGGCAGGTGAGAATGGGGGAGCCAAGCGGCTATAAAAAGCCAAGGGCCGACACGGACCAGAAATCACAGAGCAGAGCGCACTCAGACTTGCAGCTCTACTGGATGGCTGCTCCTCAAAGAAAGCCGCGCCGAAGCGAGCGCCAAAAATGAGTAATTTCATTTCAAAGCAAAAGTGTGGGCTGAGCTCGGTTCGACCTGGCTTGGCTCAGGCTGCTCGCTCGGCTGACTGACTGACTGACTGACTGACTGACTGACTGAAATCAAATTCATAAATTACGAGCCGCGCTGCAGTCAGAAGAGCATGCATTTCATTCAGACGAGACTGATCACTAGGACATGTCCAGAGCAAGCGGGCTCCCATTGCGACCTTCATGAGTGGCTCGTCGAACAGCCTTGTGACTGCTCCAACATGTGACGAACCCACGAAAATCTCGATTCGAGGCTGTTCACGAGGGATGCAAGCGGAATTGGCCGCAAAGACTGTGTGCCGCATGTGACTGAGCTCGAATTGGATCAGGTCTGCTCTCTCGCTTCCTGGACCCTTTGAGAAGCTCAGTGCAAGGCGTGAGCGATAGGAGCACTTGGCTCCAGCCCGCCTCTTTTCGGAGTCCGCACAAACATCACCTTCCTTATTCGCGCCCGAGTTCTCGTCCCAGATACCTTAATAGGATTCAGCTCGCAAGGCAGCCAGCAGCCTCTTGAGCAACCCGACGAGGTCGCACTGCATTTGAAACAAACCAAAGGTGATCCCAAATCGTGTTGAAAAGCACAACGACCAGCGGGTTCTCGTCCTTGCATTGGTTCTTGCCGTCTCAGCGAGCGTTCAATGGATTGATCCTGTCATGCTGCTAGCAGATTCATGCTTGTCGCGCAGGAACGTCGGCCTGCTTCACAACTAGCGTGACCCTCCGGCTGGATGCCAAAGATAGCTGCACATCTTGTCCTGTAATGGAAGCGACCCTGTAGTTTGCTGTAAGTTAGGCGAGATATGTGCATGAAAGCCTGTCTCGTCGCCCTCGCGCTTGTACCCGTCTCAGAGCATCGTGAGCGACTGTGCATGGCGCACTATGCCACGAGTCCCCCCGAGCGATTCGAACCCGATCTAGCACCTGAACCTCGAGCTGAACTCGCACCCTCGATTCGCTGTCCCCTGCTGTGAATCAACCGCGAGCACGATCCGCCATTGCAACCATCAAGAGAATGATCGCAAAGCCCGCTATTTTGTGAAGCAGCCCGGTGGAGCGGACTGGGCCTTGAGACTGTTTCGCATGACGGGCGGCATAAGAGCAAACAAGTTAAGTTAAGCTGACCAAGCAGGCATGCTCGTGCAGCACATTGAAACACGGGCGTTGGCGAGGCTCGCCATGCTGCGGCAGCTGAGCCGCCTACTTGCAAGCACGCTCGCTCTGGAAAGTGCATGCTGCGAGATGTCGGGTGCTCAATTGGCTCGCTTAGCTCCCGGAACGGTCAAGCTGCATAAAGCGTCTCAGCCCTGCGTCTCAAATCACCAAAGCTGAGTCGAAGCCGATTTGCTATCTCGATTTGCTTTTCTTTGCTGATCGGCGATTGTACAGCCCTCAAATGTGAGATCTGGACTTGAATGACATCTTTGGATTTTCAATTCATCTCATGTTAGAAAGCGAGAGAAATGGCGAAATCTTCGGATCGTTCTCGGCTCGACTCGACTTTCTTGAGCCGCGCCAGCCAGACAAGACGTCGGCAAACGGAATTTTAAGGCGCAGTCGGACTGGATGACTCTTTGAACGCCGATGTCGTCTCTCTGACCGCTGACGGCCACCATCTGACCTTCTTCCCGTCGACGTTGAACCCAATCACCCATCTCATCAACTCTCAATCCACAAGCTTACACGCATTCTCCGACCTCCATAATCGACTGCCCGTGGCAGCTCGTCTCAACATTTTCGAGAACACCGAGTTCATTGCACAATCTCGACCAATCTCAAACCAGGTCTAGCTCCTTGAGGCAAGCATCGACTTTCGCAACATAACACCGAGCAAATCTCACGGTATTGGTTTCCACTATGCGGCTTCCAACAGCGACCTCTTCAATCGCTGTGTCTCGAGCTCTGGCTCGATCACAAAGCAGCCAGATTCGGTCTGTATCCACATCGAGAGCAGCTGCACCCTCCCTCAAGGCTTCTCTCCCCAGACGAGTTGCACCGGCACCGCGATCCATATCTGAACTTGCTGCTACCTCTGCCGCGTCCAAATCGAGCTCGCTTTCTTCTACTTTGCAAGCGGCGAGACAACCTTTGATCGCACGGAACGACGCACTGGCACGCTCCATCTCTTCTTCTGCATCCGTATCTGCACCTACCGCATCGCCAATCTCAGCCTCGTCCGAGTCGTCATCACCATACGCATCGCCTCTCCCTGCTTCCTCCCTCATCAACGTCACCACTCTCCCCAACCGCGTCCGTGTCGCAACAGAAGCAACTCCCGGTCATTTCAGCGCCGTAGGCGTCTACATCGATGCCGGCTCGCGATATGAACGTCCATGGGTGGCTGGCGAATCGGGCTCCTCCCATCTCTTGGACCGTCTCGCCTTCAAGTCCACCACCAATCGTTCCTCGCAGCAGATGACCACCGAGATCGAGGCGCTCGGCGGCAACGTCATGTGCTCCTCCTCTCGCGAGACCATCATGTACCAGTCCAGCGTCTTCAACAAGGATGTCCCCGCCGTGCTCTCCATCCTCGCCGATACCATTCTCAACCCTTTGCTCAGCCCCGAAGAGCTCGACGTGCAGAGGGAAGCAGCCGCTTACGAGATTCAGGAGATTTGGTCCAAGCCCGAAATGATCCTCCCCGAACTCTTGCATACTACAGCATACCAGGGCAACACGCTCGGCAACCCTCTCCTCTGTCCCATCGAGAGCCTCGAGCAAATGACCGCCGACAACCTCCGCAACTTTATGTCCACCTGGTACAGGCCCGAGAGGATCGTGGTCGCCGGCAGCGGCATGCCTCACGAGCAACTCGTCGAGCTTTCCGAGAAGCTCTTTGGCGACCTCAAGCCCGCATCGGAATCAGCTCGCCTCAACTCCGGTTCCTCATCCCTATCCAGCTCGCCTTCCTCCTCCTCCTCCTCCTCGTCCTCTCGGTCGTCATCGCTGTCCTCGCTCTTCTCTCGCTCCTCGTCCAACTTTTCGACATCCTCCTCCTCGTCCGCGACACCCACCTCCGCCGAGCTGGCCGACCTCGTCTCGACACCATCGCACTACACCGGTGGCGAGCTCTACATCCCGCAAAACGACCTCGAGTTCACCCACGTCTACGTCGCCTTTGAAGGCCTTAGCATCCACGACGACGACATCTACGCGCTCGCCACGCTGCAGATCCTTCTCGGTGGCGGTGGGTCCTTCAGCGCGGGCGGTCCTGGTAAGGGCATGTACTCGCGCCTCTACACTAACGTGCTCAATCAGCACCACAGCGTCGACTACTGTGCTGCCTTCCATCACTGCTACTCGGACTCGGGTCTGTTCGGCATTTCCGCCTCGGTGCATCCGAGTTTCAACGCGAGCATCGTCCACGTCATTGCGCGTGAATTGGAGCTGTGCACCAGCTCCATCTACCAGGGCTCGGTGACGCAGGCCGAACTCAACCGCGCCAAGAACCAGTTGAAGAGCTCGTTGGTCATGGCACTCGAGTCGCGGCTCGTCGAGGTGGAGGACCTGGGCAGACAGATCCAGGCGCACGGCAAGAAGGTCAGCGTCGAGGAGATGTGTGACAAGATCGACCAGGTGGACCTCAAGACGTTGAATAGGGTGGCGACGCGGGTGTTGAGACCGAGCAAGGCGCAAGTGGGTACGTCGCCGCGTGGATCGGGTCAGGCGACGATCGTCGCTCAGGGCCAGCTGGAAGGTTTGGGCGACGTGAGGGATCTCCTTGCCAGGCGTGGGTTGGGGGTCTCGCCCAAGCACACTGAGTAGACGATCTCGCTCGAAATCGCATTTTTTCCGAACTGTTCCGCATCTTGTATCAATAGAACCCACGTCTCTGCATCAATACACCGCTTAGAGCTTTTCGAAAGTGCGAAAGAGCTGCACGTGGGCAGGATGAAGGACTGTCAACACGACGACCCTGACAGGCTGAATGCAGTGCCGGGCCGACCTCACTCAACCATCCAGGACGACCATGGCAGCTTCCTATTATCGAGTCAATGCGCATCGTGAATTCGTGACGGGTCGTGAAACGACTGGTGACGCGGAAGGTCGACAAGCATCTAGAGAGAACAAGGGGCGGGGCAGGGATCGTACAGGAAAGGTCGGGAGTCTTCTTTGAAGTTCCAAGTGACCCGGTAGAGTCTCTTCTCCCCATCCTCGTCGGTTCTCCAGCCGCGCAGGTGCTCAGGCAAGACGTGGCTCTGACCGCCTACTTCCATTTCTGACCTCTCTGCCTTGGCGTGAGCGACTGACTCCTCGTCTGTCAGCGACGGCGTAGCCAGGGCAGTTGTGGCCACGGATCCCGTCTCGTCATCGTCCACGTCGAACAGCGAAATGACCGAAGTGGTCCTGCTCATGCTCGCGCCGCTCTCGTCGCTACCATCCCTCTCCGGCCGCTCGCATCCCATGTCACCCACAGCCTGAGTCGGCATGCTAGGTGGCGCACGCTCCACCATCCACTCCACGTTATCCGCAATGACACTGATCCTCCCCGCCAGATCATCATGCTGACTCTTCGCCTTCTTATAGATCACATGTTGACAGATCGGATAGACCTCGTATCTGCGATCCTTACTGCTCGTCGCTCTGATCCACTTCAACGCAGCGTCGGTATCGGCGACCTTATCCTGGCCCCCCATCTGGATGTATACGGGATGTCGAATTTCCCCCGCCCGGCGTTGGAGTTGGACCATGGCGTTGTTGATGCAGTTGAGGTGGCCGATTCGGAACGCGCCCTGGTGTGATCGTGGATCTTGCATGATGAGAGACTCGTAGACGGCTGGATCGCGATCCACTGCGCGCTTGTGTGGAACAATGACCTCGAGTCGCCCGAGTTGGAAGACGTGGAGGAGGAAGAGGAAGAGAAGTCGCATCCAGAAGCTCACCACGACGAAGCGCGTGTTGTAGGCCACCATAGGACCGACGCCGATCAGGCCGTCGATGGGGATCTCGGTTGGGTCCGTGAGGGAGAATCGGTAGGAAGAGGGGTATTGGAGCGCGTAGGAGAAGGCGACGAGCCCGCCGAAGGAAAGACCGAGCATGAATGTGGGACGCCGCTCCAGCTTTGTGGGTGGAGAGATGGGATGGTCGCGACGAGAGACATCGTGGAGGACAGAGTGAAGGCCAGCGCAGAAGCCGGACATGTCGCGCTGGTAGACGTGCAGGCCAGAGGAGAAGCCGTGCGATGGCAGGTCCGGCACGATCAGGCGGAAGCCGGCGTCGAGGTACCGCCGACACTGGCTCGCAAGGGTGCCTGAGTGTACGCCTGTTCCATGACTGTCGAGTGGAGAGTTCCAATGGAGAAACATCGTCAGTATCGACCTTCAGGAACGCAAGGGCGCCTCAAGGGGGGTTGAGGGTGCATCTGATGGGGCTGGTACTCACACGAAGATCATATCGGCATTGCGACCGGTCTGTCTGATCGCAACGGGATCCTGCCAAATCTGGTACCACACCCAATCCTTGCCATTGTCGAGCATGACTTTGTGAAAGGAGACCTCGACATCGTCCTTCTCGTGAAGCCGCTTCTCCATCGGTGAAAAGGGCACATTGCATCTACCGTAGCTTCGATCGTGTGGCTCGTGTATGCCGAGGGTCTCGACGAGCGGCTCGGCCCACACCTCCCAGAGCGTCTTTATGACTCTTGCACATCTCGATGGCATTGTGTGCGGGTTTGGAGGCCCGTATGTGTTGTGTAGACTTTCTTCGATGTTGTGTAGAGGAATGCTGCGGTCGTGAGTACTGCGTGAGGCGGAGATGCGACGTTGCTGAGGGTGAATGGCGAGGAGGAAGACTGAAAGGTGAAGGATGGCAAGATCGCGATCTTCGTGCTTCGCATCGGTCATGGAGCGTCCGGCTTTGGACCTCTCATCACGCTGAGAGGGTATCGAACAGGCCGTACAGCGGGCTCTCGGCCTTGTCAGAAAGTTGAAGGCTTGCAAGCGACCTGTGCCAAGAGAAGAGCTGCGCAGCGCGGCACAACCCAACCTTGATCGTTATAATCTATCCTAGCGCAGCGCAAGTCTTCGCTGTAAACCCCTGCGCAGCACAATTCAAGGTATGCAACGAGCAAACCGTCTGCACGCTTTGACATTCAATGAAGGCTCAAAAGCTTTATGCCGGCTTGTGTCAAGGATAAAGCGGCCCCGCAGCGCGGCACAGTTCTATGCTGCACAACCCAACGCACGAAACGCTCCAAGTATGCGACTAGCAAAGCAGTCGCCTCCTCGCAGCGCAACACAGGAAGAATCGTCTCCCTGGCATATGTGTGCGCTCAACCTATTCTTTCTGCTGTGCCGTTCAAGTAAAGAAGCCGGCGGTTGACTGCTTGTTCGTCACCAGGGAACGTCTCTGAAACATTCCAGCCGCTCCGGTCATTGATGCACTGGCATCGGGGTGCAGACACCATGTTGACTGTGACAGTGACCGTGACGTCCCTGAAAGGGCGAATGGACAACAGGTCCAGGAGGTCGGCAAAAGGCATACAGAGAAGCAGCAAGCCACGCAGCGTGCATGACACCATACAGCGCACGAGTATCAGGCAACGAGGACAAGCCGAGACGGGGTCTGGAATGTGAATTGCCAGAGTGCGCAATTTTGGACGCGAGCTCAGACGCGGTGCCCATTCCTCACCTTTCGACTGCCGCGCTGTCATATCACAAAGCATGCTCTCTTTGGCACCAGCCAATCGATCCCATTGCATGCTCGACGAGGACCAAACACTCATGGCGAAGCCGTATGGCACACTCGACGGCGCCTGCCTCAAAAAGATGACCAATTCAGCGCGTTATCGAGAGGCGAAGAATCTGCGCTCGCGCTGTCTCGGTGTTTGGCGCGGTTGCGTTTCTTGACGGCTCGAATCTCGGTTACGCGTCCTGCCTGCTCAACGCCTCTTCGTCCTGAGCGCTACATTCCGCGATTCACAACGCAGATTACCCTGCAGGTGCTGCTTCTACCCACCTCGCCTCAAGTATCTGCAGCTGTCCGTTTGGCATCCCGACAAGTGCTTCGGTACAAGCTGACCAAGCTTCTTAGCATTCTTGAGGGTGGACCGGTCGATCTTGGCGACAAAGTCGATTCTCCTAGGTCAGGAGGAGGATGCGCGATCGACTGCCCACGCAGGGCCCTCGCACTTCTAGCCGAATTGTGACTGTGGTTGCAACGTCGCTTGGTCACAGTTCCGCACAGCAGCCTTAGTCTGCAGTCGACTGCCGAGAATTGGGGGATGGTCTTGTCAGAGTCGCTGGCTCAGTCAGGCTGTCTCAGCCCCCGCGTCTTTCCTTGGACGACAGTCACAGCAGAAGCGGATGCTTTCCTCTTGCTGTTCGGTCCCTGCTGCGCAGGAACCCAGCTCGGAGCCACTTGACTCGCTTCAATTATCCAACTCTCGGCCACCTACGTCGTCGCCACCATCTATCCACCTTGTCTCGCGTTCGGAAGCAGTATCTTCCTGTCCTTCCAGTTCGTATACCTACCCTGGACTCTGACACAGTTTATCGAGTCGGTCCAACGACCTTGGACAGACGCTGCACCTAGTCTCGCTTCAAGGAGAAAGACATTTAGCCTACGTCACTCGCAGCCAGGTCTCACCACTTCAAGACAGAAAGCACCGACAAGCCTCTCTTACAAAAGCAACAGAGAAATCAAGATGGGCGATCATGACTCGCCAAAGGATAGGGATCTTCGCATTACCAAAGCAGAGCTCGGCGACTTCGGCGGCAGCGCAGATGGCCACGTAGGCTATGGTGCAGATAGCATCGCGGTGGGACAGCCCAGCTACGAACTCTTCTCAACGCCTCTCCCAGTCGAGCCGCTAGCTCCTTCTTCCCCTACCACTGCGTACCACTCCTTTGCACTCGGGACAGAAAGAGTATTACGAGCTCGTTCGTCCCGATCGCATCTCATCAGCTCCCAGCGAAGCTCCCTTTCATCCTCACACCACTTTCCTTCGCACCACACCGGATATGGTCAAGACCAACGCAGAGACTACCGGGAACTGGACGAGCTCCAGCCTTCTACTTCGCCAGCCGCGACGCAGACCACAAACGAGCTCAAAATGAACCCTTTCACCCAATTCACCCCGAGTCAAGCAGAGGAACAGCCGAGCAGCCCCACTCGAACGCGTCTGATCGAGTATGGTCTGCATGACAAGTCAGGCAAAAAGACGCTCAAATTTTGGACGCTCATCTTGGCCTTCGCCATCACCGTCATGCTCACGGCTCTGGACATGACTATGATCTCGACCGCCTTGCCTTCCATCGTGGAGGATCTGCCGGCGTCGACCGTCGCGGGTGGGTGGGTGACGTCCTCCTATCTCCTCACCGTGACAGCCTTCCAGCCCCTGTTTGGCGGTCTCTCCTGCGTCATCGGACGGCGATGGTCAGCTGTGCTCGCCGTACTTCTCTTTGTGGGAGGCAGCATCCTGTGTGGCTCTGCAAATAGCCTTCTGTTTCTGGTCATCGGACGTGGCGTTCAAGGCCTTGGAGGCGGCGGCATTCAAGCGATCGGCGAAATCACCGTCTCCGACATCACCACCCTACGCGAGCGAGGCTTCTTCGTAGGCATCTTTGGGCTCGTCTTTGCTGTCGCTTCCTTTGTGGCGCCCGTTCTTGGCGGTTACTTTAGCGACCACGACTGGCGCTGGATTTTCTGGATCAACATTCCCATCGGTACCGTTGCTCTTGTCATGCTGGTGCCGACCACAAATCTGCCGGTTCCTTCCATGCCACTCAAGACCAAGTTGGCCAAGATGGACATCGTTGGCAACCTCGTGCTCCTCGGCAGCGTAGTGGGCATTCTGATCGCCGTGACAGAAGGTGGCGTGTCGTATCCCTGGTCAAGCGTTTACATCTGGGCGCCACTGACCGCGGGCCTGGCGGGCTTCCTCTTGTTCCTGGTGATCGAGTTTGTGCCCAACCCACTCAGCACGCAGCCAGTGCTACCCTTGAAGCTTTTCAGCAACCGAACAGCGTGTTCTGCTTTCCTCATGACTTTTCTCCACGGCGTGGCTACCTATGGGGCCATTTATGCACTTCCCATCTACTTTCAAGCGATCAAGGACGAGCAGCCGCTCCGATCCGCGGTATCGACCTTCCCATCCACGGCTCCGTCGGCCCCCTTCGCCATCGTTGCCGGCATCATCATGGCTGTCACTGGAAAGTACAGGGATCTCACGTATGTCGGGTGGGCGTTCGCCGCAGGCGGCTTCGGCTGGATGACGCGGTTTGAGGTCGGCACGCCAGAATGGGAGCTCATCACAGCACAGATCGTTGGAGGCATCGGCATCGGCATTCTGTTCGCCATCACCTTGCCTCCGATTCAGGCGAGTCTGCCGATAGACGAGCTCGAGACGGCTACTGCGACGTACGCCTTTTGCCGATCCTTCGGAGCCATCTGGGGTATCGCCATCACGACGTCAGTGCTGACGGCGGAGGTGAGCAAGAAATTAGCGACTGTCCCGCAGGCAGCTCAATTCGGTCTGACCGGCCCAACGGCGCTGGGGTATGTCGAAAACATCAAGCATCTGCCAGAGCCGCTCCGGGACCAGGTCAGGCAGGTGTACGCCGACGGGCTGCAAAGGGGTATGTACGCCTTCTTACCGGTCGTCATTGTCGGGTTTGCATGCTGCTTCTGGATGAAAGAGCTGCCTCTGCCCGACTACATTCGAGAGGAGGAAGAAAGCGAGAAGCGCAGGGATCGCCACGAGCAGCCGGCAATGTCCTTGCATCAGCCAGAGCACGCACGGCGAGCACAATCCGGTGTCTCTCGTCAGACCTCTTGTCAGCATAGCTGTGAGGAGCAGCCGACAACCCTCTTGCTTGATGACTCGCCAGACTCGACTCTCGTTGATTCGACTGGCGTCCACCAATGTCATCCCAACACGCTTGACGCAGCAATCGCCGCAGCAGCCTGCGACATCCTCCACTACCGGAAGGACGAGCGAGCTGCGACCCAACTCGAAGCTTACGCGTCGGACGCTTACCACTCGTCTCCTCCGTCGTCGCCGATCCTCCGCGCGGAGGCATTCGCGGCAGATATGGAGATGAACGATCGGGGTAGAGCAGATGAAGGGAGGTATGGCCGCATCGCAACTCCGTCCAAGGCTTATTGGCAGGGTGAGACGCATTTCTAGCCTAGCAGCTGTTCTACTCGCCAAGGACATCCCCCGCCACTCAAATCCCTTCGAGCATAGCCTTCACGTCGTGTGCAGCTACTCACGTTGATTCTTGTTCAGCACGGGTTCCTTTCATGTGGTGATGTAGTTCACGTAGATATGCAATTCCAGAAGAGTAAGTTCATGCAATTCGATCACACCACACGTACGATTCAAGTCTGCTGCTGTGGGTTAGCTTGCTCAGTCTGCACCTCGTCCATGGTCACAGTGAGAGCGCTCGTCCGGCTCCTCGCTGTCGAGCCCAAGTCGAAGGAGAAGGCCCGAAAGGCTAGTTTGAACGTGGATCTCGTCCCGATAGAGTCGCATCGGCCGATTTTCGTGCCCTTGTGGAGGCATCAAGCTCCAAAAACCGCCCGCGAACGTGCCTCTTTCCGAGCTTCCACGTTACCGCTCCTTCGCCCTCACTCCTTCTTGCCTTTCCCCCCACATTCCTGCATCTACGACACCATCGCACAGCAGCAATCTCCCCACCTTTCCACCTAGCACACTTTAAGTCTCGTCGCACAGCAGCAAGGAAAGCAGGATGGTCGAGCACGTAGCGCTATACATCCTCTCCTCGGGCACCTCCTCTGGCGAGGCAGTGCTAGCCAACATCCGAGCGAGCGATTTCATCGACGAGATCAACAGCGGTGAGGGTCCACGCGAGGATTGTGGGCTATACAAGCTGGTACAGCTCGTCACACCTCCTCATTCGCTAAAGTCAGAGAGCGACGTGCTGAAGTTTCACACGAGGCTAGTCAAGGGCGAGGAGAAGGCGGAGGTTGAGGGTCAGGCGTGCACGTGGAACCCTCTGTGCGTGCTCATCGCGGATGGGAAAGATGAGGAGGTGGTAGAGGTGCTCCAGCTGAAAGAGGGGAGCGTGGAGGAGCGGTTGAAGAGCAAAGCGAGGAGCGCTGTCGAAGTTGTAAGTTTTCCCCCGCATTCGATCGCAGCTCAGGGGAAGAGAGACTAATGCTGTTATGTTTGGTACAGGCCTCAAACGTCTCCGTGGCAAATATGTCGATTCAAGAGGTAAGATTCCATCCCATTCACTGCTATTCCAGATCGGTTCGCTCACACGATGCTCTCATCTTCACCCCTCGCAGTATAAAGACATGTGCGGCAATGCCGAAGTGTACGATGCCGGGCAATAGGCACGACCCTCGAATTCAAACCATTCCACAAAATATCCATTCCGAAGTGACTTTTCTACCAATCCTTCCAAGTGATGATTCTATCGTACTCAGTCGCTGTCATCGATCAGACTCTTCCTCGACCTAACGGACGAACCGGACGCGGTTCGTGAGCCCATTCCTGGCCGCTTAGGCAATTCGGGTCGCGCGATCGCGGAGGCTAGCGAGGCGGCAGCGGTGCTGTCACTGCTCGCCGCCGCAGCCGAGGGCTTGTTCGGGATCGGCGGCGGGGCAGAGCGGCCATTGGCCAGCACGGCTGGGCCTGACGCAATGCGTCGCTCAACCGCAGCCGATGCTGTGACCGACGATCTCGGACTCAGGCGCCCCGAGGCGCTGTCTACGTCTATTCTGTTGAGCAGCGCGGGTTTGGCGCTTCGTTCGATCGCCCCTTGCGTTCGGTCCTCTGCGTCGCTCGTCCGAAACGGATTCGAAGAGGGATCGTCGCTATCGCTGTCCGACTCGTCCTCGTAGGTCGCCGGCGAATTCCACCACTGCTGATGGTCATCCGACGGATCGGGCAGGCTCTCGTCGTCCGAATCCGACGACGACTCGGCCAACCCGACAAGCCCGTTGGTGGCCTTCTTTTCCGCCAGCAACTGCTTGCGGATCTGATCCCGCTTCAGGTGGTCTACGATGCGGACGGGAGCGATGAAGCTGGCGTACACGGGCCTGTGATCGCTCGTCCTCAGCTCGGCGCGATTGTAGCTCTGCTGCAACAGCCCCATTCCGCGATACAGTATCCGATCCGTCCATGCTGGAATACGTTGCTTCTCCGAAGAGTCGTACTGATCCGAATTGTTATCGTACTTGTACGTGGGCGCGAAGGTGAGAGGTCCTTCTTCGTAGCCGGGAAAGACTTCGCCGGTGTCCTTGCTGCGACGAAGCTGGTCGCGCGCGTAGAGACCGGTGATGTCGCCGCGAGCAGCCATCGAGCGGACAGCATCGTTGGTGAGGTCGATGCGGTAGTTGAAATCGCCGAGCCAGATGACGTGATCGTGGTTACTGATCGTCTTTCCTCGTGCGAACGAGAGACCCCGAGTGATGGTCCAGTAGTCTGCATTGCGCTCTTCGCGCGCCGAGTGTCCTGCAGCAAGATGGGCTGTGACGAAGCAGATCGACGTGTCGTAGTAGTCCATTCGGATAGCGACGCCTCCTTTGTTGCCGCTGACGCCCTTGAGACCCGTCTTGCGCGTGGCCGCTTCGACGAGTCGTACATCGTTGACCAGCTCCTCCTTGATGAGGACGACGAGCGCTGTGCCTACGAGTTGCTCGCTGCGAAGGAGGATGTACCGGGAGCGTGCGCCAGGTCTGCGCGCGATCGTCTCCATGATCTTGGCCTCCCAGATGCGGATCTTGTCCGGATCGGTCATGAGGATCTGCTGCGGTGTCAGCTCGACGATCTCTTGGAAGCCGATGGCAAAGATGTCTGGCTCCTGTTCTTGACCGTCTGGGAACAGCCAGGGGATGAGCGGCTCGCCAGGCGCTTTGCCGTTGAGATTGAAGGTGCCGACAAAGATGGAGATGTTGCGGCTGGACGAGTATTCGTCGACGCGGGCGTTGAGTTCGGCTGTGACGCTGTCCAGCACCGGATCGAAGACAGTGACGGGCTTCTGGTTGGCCATGTTGCCCAGCAGGGCGTCGATGACGTTTTGCTTGCTCTTGTCTTGGAAATTGTTGATGTACATGCGGCCGGCGCTCTTTGCCGCGTCGCTGAGAAGGCCGCCGAGCGTCTTCTTGCCGCTCCTGGTGAAACTCGAGTTGAGTGCACCTGTGCCAGCGTAGATCTTGGAGAGAGCATCGCCGATCTCAGCCCAGAGCACGCGATGTGACGTCCAGACCGCATGGTTGGGATCCGAAAACGCCTGGTAGGAAGGATCACGACTGGCAGCAGCAGCATCAAAGAAGGTGTCCAGCATGGAACGCGAGAGCATATCTTCGATGACGTTGGTACGGTCCAAGCAGTCGAGACAGTTGGTTCGGAAGATGCCCTTCTGACGCCGAAGGATTTCGCCCGTCGCACTGTCGATGATCGAGTAGCCGAAGGCCTTGCGTTTCAGCTGTACGGGTCCGAGGTAACGGAGCTCGCTGCGGACGCCGTCGATGCCGCCCGTGTTGCGCGAAACGGTGTGGAAGTCAAAGTTGGTCAAGCCGATCCGTTCGGAGCCATCGTCGCCAACGATGTCGCCGCGCAGAGAGGTGGACTCGTCTGGCGGAAGTACGGCGATCTTTTCCGCGGAGCTGTATCGCATGTGCTCTGCATATGCCGAGGTCAGGACCGTCTCTGCGTCGCGTGTACCGAGCAGATTGATAGCATGGACGCGCGAGTAGTGGGAGATGAGGTCGGCGAAATGGCGGTCGAATGCGGGCTGCGATGCACCCCGAGAGCGAGTGATCTGGATCTTGGCATTGAAGGCTTGCAGGCCTTGTTGCTCCCAGAAGAGAGGCACCGAGCCGCGAACCTGAACGAAGGTGAAGGTGACGTTGCCATCGCTGAAAAGGGCCTCGGTCTCGACAAAGTTGGCAACGTTGCCGTCATCGTCGACACCGCGTGTGTTGAAGCGCGTGCCAGCCCTCTTCCAGCTGAGACGACTGATCAAGGCCAGCGTCCCGGTCTTTTTTCCTGCCGGAGAGCTGACATTCGAGCCGACATTGGACGCGGCCGCCTGCACTGGGGACAGTGGCACCTGGAAGTCGCCAACGAAGCCCTGTATCACGACGAGCAGAAAGCAGCCATCGTCGATCCTAGCGCGGTCGGACCGGTCGAGGCGTTCGCGAAAGCTGATGAGGGGCTCGATCATGTAGTTGTTCCAGACGAAGCGACTGTCGTAGCGTGAGATGTCGTGCCCGGACTTCTGACCTATCGAGGCATTCGCAAGACGCTGATCGAGCCGTGTTGAAAGATCAAAGGCGCCGCCCTCGGCAAAGTAGAAGGTGCCGGTGCTGAGTAGCTTCTTGAGGCTGGTGCAAGGATGCTCGTAGACACTGGGTTGTGTGACGGCCCCTTCGTGGCCAGGACCGTATGAGTCGTGGGTCTCTGGCTGCGAGCCTGGAGCCTCGGAGATGAGCGTCTCGTCCCACGTGGAGCGGTTGACACAATAGAAAGAGACCGAGGTGATGCGCATGACCATCTCGCCCGGCCTGATCATACCGACACCTTGGGCTCCAGTGACGACGGCCACAAAGAGGTCCTGACCGACATTGATGAGGCCGAGACATCCATAAATGGGTTTCGTTGTGAGCCTCTGCAGCGTTATGCCTTGGATCTCGTGATCCTTGACGACCTCGACTATTGCCCTCGCTGCCCCTGGAGCGTTTGCCGATGTTGACCCCGTGGATGCTGCCGCGGCATTGTCGATGGCTGCGCCAGCCTGGGTCGAGATGAGGATGGCGGTCGCCGAAGTAAGCTTCTCTGATGGTTTAGCATGGTGGGGAGCGCCGATGTCGTCGGAGACGAGTGCGATCACGCGCGGAGCATCCTGGAGGTAGACGTGCATTGCATGCTCGTCGGTGGCCGCTGAACCGGCTTTCGATGGCCACGATCAAGCAAGTGGGGTCGAGTGTGTACCTCTGACACTCTCGCGCGGTATGCACAGCTGCTACGATCCGAGCGCGGCGCAGGAGGTCTGCCTGGGGTAATCCGAGAGCGTTGGTGGCTGCAGGTGGTGGTTGAGTGTGTAGGATCAAGCCGTTGGACCTCTCAAAGTCACATTCCCACGCTGCGTCGGAACATGCGTGTTTGTGGAGGTGCACGGCTCGTCCGACGTTGAAACACCGCTTTTTTGTCCACGCCGAACCCTGAACCTTCCTAAAGTCACATCACAGCGTCGGCTATCCCGGCGAGTTGAACATCAATGCATCAGATCGGTCTCGCGGCTTCACGAGATCCTAACCTCACGCAATCGCATCGGTCAAGGCGCCGGCTGCGCAAGCAATGCGGCTCGCAACCATCAAGACGGTTTGCTAAGCTCACTCCCATACGCCTCCAACCTCGACCGGGATCCGGAATGGAGACGCATGGCAATGAGAGCTGAGACGTCCCAGCTAGCATGAGCCATCTCGAGCCCCTCCTCAGCGACGGACGCCATCACAAAAGAGCTCGTAAGCACTCGTTATCCCAACTCATGACGCAAAAGATCGATCCGAGCGGCGCCTTGCCGCCAGAGACTTTCTCCTACCTCCTCAGCTTCCTCGAACCACCGGCACTAGCACGCTGTTTGCAAGTCAGCAGCGCATGGAACGCGATTTGCACCGATGAAGCGCTTTGGAGGGATCAAGCCATCCGACTCGGATACTGTCAGTCCGAGCGCCAAGCTGAGGAGCGATCCAGCGGTATCCGGGTCGTCGCTACCGTGCTGCAAAAGTACGAGGCTTCCGTCGGTCAAGCCGAGGCAGAGTATCTGCTGCAAGCCACCATACAGCGATACCGGTCCAGAAACACCACATCCTACTTTGACGATTGCCACACATGGCGCTCGCTCTGCTGCCTGCTGTGGCGCCTCGATTGCAATTGGTCGGCGAAGGATACGACGGGTCTCGAGAGGACACGAGCCGCCTCGCCGTCGCCAAATGCTGACGACACCGAAGCGGAAAGATCAGAGTCCGAGACCGCCTCATCGGACCGAGAAGAGCAGCCAGGATCGAGTGAATCTGACACAAAGCCATATCTGCTACCCCGCCGCCGCGTTCTACATGAAAAGATGTGCGGAACCGGCGTCTGGAGATGCAAGATCGACCCGGAAGAACGCACCTACATCGTCACGGGTCAACACGGCGGCATCCAAGTCTTTGACCATACCACCGAGACTCTGCTCTGGCATATCGCCCGAACGGCCACGAGGGCCAATCCGCATCTCGAGTTTTCGCGCGGCTGGATGATCTTTGACCGTCCCGGCATCGGTCACTTCGAAGTGTGGCGTCGCGAAAGCCTGGTGCCAGACCTCGGACGCCCACCTGACCGCGGGCATTACCAGCGCTTCGCGGTCCTCAGCTCGACCCGGCCGATCCGAGCGTATCGCTTTCAGTTCCCCTACCTCTGCGCTGCGAGCCAGGATGGCTTCATCCTCATCTGGGACGTGCCGCAACAGGAACTCGTCGAGACGATCGACTTTCGAGACTCGCCGCATCGCGGAGGTAACATCAACTATATCGATTTCGACGACGAGTTTGTCTTTCTCAACGGTCTTGGAGCGAAGTCGGTCTCGGTTTTCTCGCGCCGCACTAAACGTCTCGTATGGAACATGGGCCAGCACTTTGCGGCCGGCCAACCACCGCCCACAACATGGCGCCTTGAGCCGCTCGACAAGTCTGCATTCCCCGAGAACGCCTTCGTCCGGCAGCAGCTAGTCAGAGCACCACCAAATCTCTGGCAGGCAGGGCCCAACAGCATGAACTGGGCACAGCTCACCATGACACCTTACCAGATCTGGTCGGCGGTTCACCCGGATCTCAAGACAAAAACACTCCTCGTGCTGGGACAAGGAACGGTGCTGCTCATCCGTGACTACAAGAAGTTCTTCAACAATCCCACCAAGCCACCGGGGCTCTTTGTCGAGATCGAGTTTCAGAATCTCGAAGAGTACTACCGGCAGTACATTGTCGGCGGTGTCGACGAAGAGGTGTCGGATCTGGGCTGGAACAATCCGCGCATGTGGGAGACGCTCGGCGATGCGCAGCTGACGGTGCACGAGGGCAGAGCTGTGGTGGTCAACGACCGCGCGCTGATCCTCGATCTGTGCTCCGAGACATTCGCGCAAGAGGACAGCGTCGAGAACACCGCTGCTCAGAATCAGACGCAGATGCAGATGGAAGAATCTTCGTCGTCTGAGCCAGCAGAGCAGCCTCACGACAACGACGGCGACACAGATAGCACCGACACAAGTGCAGTCCATGCTGAGCCGGTACCTCCTCCAATCACGGTCTACTGCGAGTTGAATCGCTCACCACGAGACTCGTACCGACAGTGCAGCAGTCTGCAGATGGACGAGGTCGGAGTCTACCTCACCGCCGACCGAGATGCCTTTGGCGAGATGTACTGGGGTGGAGTCTTTGATACTCTGAGCGATGGCAAGCGGCAGCTTCTGCACCTTGACTCCTCAGCGCGAGCAGGAGAGGGAACCGAGGGATATCGTACGCCGGAAGATGTGCCCCGCGAAATGTAAGCCTTGGAGCATGCAGGCGTCCCTAGCGTTATCTTTCGTCTGTGTCTCTTCTGTGTGAGAGTTGAACTGAAGTCGAGTCTGTGGTTGCGAGCGGGAGAATAATGTACAGTGCGGCACGTCCGTGTGCTGTGGATGCGTGCGGCGATAGGATGCGAAAGGAGACGAGAGGAGGTTCCGTTGAGTGGCTTAGTGCTCGAGGAAGCGGACGTCGCCTCGCTTTGGCTCTGTTGTCGTGAAGCAAGGAGGAGCAGAAATACCATCAGTCGCTGCTCTTCTGTCGATAGTTGAACCATTGACGTTGCCAGATCCCTATGCCGTTGGATCGAGATCGTTGCTGATTCGTGATACTCACTGACGATCGGATGCAACTGCGCCATGTAGATGATGAACCACATGAGGTACATGCATGTCAATGCTAGCGTCACCGATGTGCGGATCAGTCTGTAGCAGAGAAACGAGCAAGAAGCAGAGCAGAGCATCAGCATACGATGCCTAGCGAGAGAGAGAGAAGTATCCAGAGGACGAAGCACCTACACTTGATTTGGCCCCTTGGGTGTTGTGACCCAAACGGCGCTGCTCGCCCCCGCGGCGATGAGGAACACCCAAATGACTGTCCAGCCCGACATCTTGACTCTATGTGTGCACTTGTCGTACGGCGCAACGTGGGAATTCCGACTCTCGTGCGCTGCGGGGCGGTGATGCGACGAAGGAAGGGAGTGATGGCAGAGATGGTGTGGTTGACAGGGGCTGTCGAGGTGTGATAAAGTTGAAGTGTGAGTGCGTGCGTTGCAGCTTTGACGCGCATCGGGAGCCGATTCGCAACCAGAAAAGGGGAGAGGGCTGGCTTGTGCGTGGGTTGTCAGCCAAATCCGCTGCGCATCTTTTTGCTGCAGCACGACGTAGCCTCTGCCGAAGATTCGCCGTGGAGGTTGGTTCCGCTCATCAGACCTTGACCCACTCCTCTCTGCTGCTTTCTTCTCTCACTACCACGATCATCGTCGAACTGAAGACTGATCACCCCTCAATTCGACTTCAACATGGCCTCTCACTCGCACCTCGGCGGCGCCGCCGACATGGCCAACGTCAACATCCCCTACAGCACGCCCAGCACCCCTCATCCGCAGCACCAGGTCGGCTGGATCGGTCTCGGCAACATGGGCATCAAGATGGCAGCCAACTTGGCCAAGCACATGCGCGAAATGTCGCCTCCGCTCCCGCCTCTGCTCGTCTACAACCGCACCCCCTCGAAAGCCCAGGCGCTGGAAAAGGAGCTGTCCGGGCTGGTGAAAGCCGTCGACTCGGTCGAAGCCATCGGTACGCGCTGCGATCTCATCTTCACCTCTCTCTCGGACGACGATGCTGCCGAATCGATCTACGATGCTCTCCTCCAAGCCGAAGAGAAGCGCGTGGGTAAGCATGCTCAGGAGCGAATCAGTTCCGGCTTCTCGACGCTTCTCGTGGACACCTCCACCCTTTACCCCGCAACCACCGGCAAGCTCGAACGCAAGATCTCCGCCCTGCCCAAACGTCACTTTGTCGCCGCGCCCGCCTTTGGGCCTCCACCCATGGCCGCGACGGCCAAGCTAGTCTTCGCCGTCGCTGGCCCGTACAACTCGAAAAAGTTCGCCTCGCAATTCCTCGTCCCGGCGATGGGACGCAAAATCATGGACTTCGGCTCCAACCCCGAACGCGCTGCGTCATTCAAACTCATCGGCAACAGCATCATCGTCTCGACCATCGAGATGCTCTCCGAGACCATGACTTTGGCGGACAAAACCGGCGTTGGAAGCGATCGCGTCTACGAGTGGTTGCAAGAATTCTACCCCGCCCCCTCCGCATTGGGCTACGGCAAGAAGATCCTCGATAGCAATTTTCAGGGTGAAAATGGGTTCACGTTGAATGGTGGCATCAAGGATGCGAGTCACATTATCAAGTTGGGCGAAAGTGTGGATTGTCCTTTGCCGATCATCGAGTTGGCTCGACAGCATATGGTTAGTGCCAGGGCGATCGGTGGCGCGAATTTGGATTGGAGCAGTTTGAGCGCCGGCTTTAGGGTCACGGCGGGGGTGGAACCGTTTGAGAAGAAGGAGATGCTCAAAAAGTGGGCTCAGGAGGAGGGGAAGCAGGGCGGTCCGTCGTCCTAGTCCTCAACCTCAATACATTCATTCTGTTCCGAACCGAGGCTGTGGATCATGTGTGTGATTGACAAACGAGTGCAGAAAAGCTAGGCGTACATGAGGGACGACAAACATGCTGAATCAGAAAAGTGCAGATGGTGTGGATGGACCGGCTCAAGCTGCGGTCGCCTGCGTCGCCTGGGTTGCCGGGGCGGAAGCGTTCCACAGCTTGTCCTTAGCGCCGACCTTGATGTCTCCGTACGCCTCGTCCTGCTGGAGCTTGACGCAGTCCTTGGTGCCCAGCACGAGCATCTCGAAGAAGAACCCGGCGGCGGCACGACGCGATGCGTTGGTCGAGATCTTTTGGAACGACAGCTTCTTCTCCTCCGCCTCATCGAGTTCGACGAAGCGCGACTCCTCCTCGGTAGTGGGGGAGAGCTGCGAGCGGACGACGCGGAGGGCGCGGACGGTGCTCTTAGCCCAACCCTTGGTGGAGGCTTCTGCGTCCTCCGAGGCACGCAGTTGCGAGGCGGCCTCTTCGTTGGCGTTCGACTCTTCCGTGGGTCGGACGTCGAAGACCGCCAAAGGGTTCGTCGAGCTCACAGCCATCGAGTCGACCCCGTCGTCCGCTTCGGGCGTCGACATCCTCGACAGTGCAGGCAGACGACCCGTCACATCTCCCTCCGCATCGGCTTCCAACTCGGCCCGACTCTTGCGCGACGACCTTCGCAGCCCCTCATCGAGGTCCATGCCAGGCACGTCAAATCCTCCATCGCCAAAATCAAACCCAGACTGGTCCATGTCCATCCCGCCAAAGCCAACACTATCCCTCCCTGCCTCGGCACGACGCGCAACACCCATATCGTCGTACATGTCCTCGCCCAGTCGCGCACGCTTGTTCGGCCCCTCCTCCTCGCCCAACGCCGCCGCCCGTCGTCGTCGCATCGCACCCAGGTCAAAGGTGAACATCTCGCTCAGCTCGCTCGTCAGACCGGCGGGACCAATGAACTGTGCGCTCTTGTCCTTGTTGGAGGGGTCGGCGAAGGGCATAAAGTGCGCAAAGGGGTCTTCGCGGATGGTGAGCAGTCGGAGGTAGGCACGCGAGCGAGGCAGGTAGCTTTGCTCGGCGAGGATGTCAGAGAGGTTGGCGGCTTGGCCGACGCCTTGGCTGAGACCCTGGCTGAGACCGCCGAGTTGGGCGTCGGGCAGCTCGGTGCGCGCGTCGACGATCTGCTTGCGCGCTTTGGCCTGGCGGGTGGCCGCTTCGTCTGCTTGGCGCTGTTGGGCGACATCGCGGATGCGCGCGGCGGTACGCGGGGTCATGTCGGCCATAGCGAGGGCCATGCTGTGGTCGCCAGGTGGCGGTGTGACTTGGCGATCAAGATCCATGGGTGCATCGAGACCGAGATCGAGCCCGTCATCGCCCAATCCGAGGTCGAGCCCGTCGCCGCCGAGGTCAAAGTCGGGCATGCCGATGCTGGGCGCCTGCGAGCCGCCGGCCGAGCCAAGCGTGATGTCGTTGTCCATGCCGAGGTTGAGCATCGATGCTACCGATTGACGACCTGCTTCGCTGGGAGCGTCACGACCGACACCGATGCTGAGCGAGTCATCTTCCGGAAGAGGATCGCCGTTCTCGTCGACGAGCTGACCAGCTTCGTTTCGGCGACCCTCGACGTCGGGCAGATCGTCCTCGAGACCGAGATCGAGGCCTCCATCTGGGTCAAAGTCCTGCGAGTGGATGCCGTCGATGCCGGAAGAGACATCGAAAGCGTCATCGAAGGCACTGTAGTCCACGGTCGGGAGGGTGATGTCGGCGGCGCGTGCGGTGTATGCAGTCGGGTTGTCGGCGAGCTTCTTGGCCTTCTTGGCAGCGAGCTTCTCAAAGTCGATGTCGTAGTCATTCATCGCCTGGTCGGGGAGCAGGATGTCGAGGTCGGTGCGGATGTCGGGGAGCGTGATGGCGTTTCTCGAAATGTTGAGCTGGTCGCTGGTCATGTCGACGGCACCGGAGCGGAAGGCCATCTTGATCTTGAGCAGCGCTTCGTTGCAGTCTTCGAGGAGATATTTTGCTTTGCGCGAGTAGATGCGGACGACACCGAGCAGGAGCTGACCCGAAAGACGGAGCGCCATGGGGACGACTTCCTGGCCCATGATGGCACTGACACTCTTTTCGATGTTGGTCTGGAGGAATTGCGTCTTGCTGATCTTGCGCTCCCAGTGCGCAGCGAGCCAGACACGAGCCAGCGGCCCGCGCTTGGCAAGGATGACGTCGCTATAGAACATGGCGGAGATGCTAGAGTGCGATTGTGGAGGTGATTGCGGGTATCAAAGGTGGTAGAACAGGATCGATGCGACGATCTCGGTGCTGAAGGATGGCTTTGGAAGCGCTACTGACGAAGTTGCGTTCGTCTAGAGCCGATTGTGATGACTCTGTCTTAGATTCGTTGGTCAGAGGCTGCTCGTCCCGAAGGTTGGACGATCTGCCAGCCTTGAGGGATGCGTCGCCGATGCCGCCTGCGCTTCGTGGATAGCGAGTAGGGAATTTGGAGTCGTGCCTTTCTATGGGATGCAACCAGATTGTAGAAGTGGGTAAGACTGGTCGAGAAAGGAGAGGATGGTGGAAGAGACAGCGATGGAAGCGATAGGCTGAATCACTGGATGGATGGATAGAAGGCCAAGGCTGCAGGCGCAGGTGGAAATGCGAGAGCGGATGCGGATGTCTCGCGAAATTGCACGACACGAGAGGCAAAAGCGTGTGCGCGTTTGGGTGGAGCGTGGGAGCAGAGCAAGAGAGTCAGCGCCTAACTTCTACTTGGGCTGAGCCTGGAATTTCTCTCGATTTTGGCTCAGCCGCGTCTACCAGCCTACTCAACGCGACGGACCCTTCTGTGACTCCAGCTCGCCGACGAAGCGTTAGATGGCGCAGGATCTTGATCGAGATTGGGGCAAAGGAGGCCATCTGTGGTGGTGTCACTCAAGCTCACGCTTTGCCAGCACACACGCTGCTGCTCACACATAAGCTTCGCCTCTGGCTTTGGGTTGGTGTGTGTGTCACGCTGTCACGGTAGATCCGACGGTGTTCTCACGGTCAAGCTTTGCTTTCTCACGATCCACAAAGCTTGTTGGCGATGCAGACGAGTTGTAGGAGACGCATCGTCGCTCCACTTGCCGATATCATCTGTCGCCTCCGCTCGAAAGCGGAACAGCCGATGACGCAAGGCCAGACACGGGCTTGACAGATCTGTCATCAGCACGGAAGAGCCTTGAGTGTGTTCCGGGCCACACGTTTGAGCACCACGGTTGAAAGTAATGTCCATTGTAATGTCCTGATGGTGAGAGAAGATGTCATACCAGTGGAGGCATCATGCCTGCTGCGCCTTCATCCGGGGAGCCGGTGATCGGTCCTGAAAGGGCGCCATGGACCTAGCACCTTGGGAGATGCCATTAGGAGGGCCTGCATACGAGTCGATCGGATTGCGGTTGCCAGCGCGTGCTCTGGCCATGTTCTGGGAGAGCAGCGTCGCTTTCGGCAGATCCGGCATCGGAGGCATCGTACGAGTCGAGCCGCGAGGAGGTCCCATGTCCGGACGGCTGTTGGACCGGCTGCCTTGGGGACGAGCTGAGCCCTGACCGTCTGCCCTGTTGTCGCTTCGGCGGTCACGATGCGATCGACTGCGTTGATCCTCGACAGGCGGCCTCGACCGCGATTGGCCTCTGTCTTGAGAAAGGCGCCTGTTGGTCGGAGGCGGTGCCTGCACGATCGGCATGGGTCCTGGTCGTCTTTGACCGGGCATAAGTGCAGCGGGGACAGTCCTGGTGTTGGTCTGCGCAACCGCATCGACAGTCGAGGTCGGGACGATGATGACACGGTCCGGGCCCGACACACGCACAGCCTGGTATCCATCGCTTTGGGAAGGTCTCGCCAGCGGATAGACGCTCGGCTTGGAAGACCTGCTCTTGCTTGATCGCGAGCGAGCCTCCTCCTTGTCCTGCAGTGTAGCTGTGGACGAGTTCCAGTTGCGCTCATCTGCCTCTGCCTTGGATGAAGTGCGCGCCTGCTTGGGCCGTGACTTGGCGGCTTTGGGCGTGGGTCGAGGGAGGGGAGGGGGTGCGTGGAACGATTCGGAGCTGCTGCCCGCCTGTTCAAGCCTCGGATAGCCCGTCTTGCCATTGCGCTCCGAGTGCGTTGGCGTTCGGAAGGCCACCTTCCGCGCCTGTCGCTCGCTGCTCTTGCGTGCTTCAGGCGCGTCGACAAAGTGCTGATCGCTCGACGATCGCGGCGAAGGCTTGGAAAGGCGATTGTCTGACTTGGTCCGGCGTCCGACTGGCTCAGCGCGACGCCTCTGTGCATCGGTTGCGGGATCACTGCGAGTCCGGTCGCGGGTCAACGACGATCTCAATGGAGCTCGAGGCTCTTTGTCGTAAGAGGTTGCCTTGGACGATCGCTGGTCCGATGATGTGGCTTTCGAGTCATTCTTGTCGTCGCCAGCTGGTGCCTCGCTCTTGAGAGGCACGCCCAACAGCACCGAGAAGAAGCCAGGGCTGTCCTTTTTGGGTACTTGCGCCATGTTGTATGATGAAGGTGATCACGAAGACATGAAACGGCTGTGAATCGATCTTGCTCGATGCTGTTGTCGGACCGGTTCTCTAGGCTGCAAAGGCGTCGACAAGGTGGTCTCGACGGGATCTGATGTAGTTGGTTCGGAAGGAACAAGAAGGGAATCTGCTCGACTTGAGGATGTTGCTCCGATTCCAAGACCTTGCGACATCCGAAGGACGAAGAGACACACTAGCGATGATTGCTGACGTCGATCGGGAACCGTTTCGGAAACGTGCGCCTTCTTGGCCGACAAAGTGGTGACAAAGGCGGAGAAGAATGTATTCTGCATGATGGAGCCCAAATTAGGGTCTGGTGCGCGACCTTGTGAATCCATTCACATCGCGAGGCTTGGCAATAATGAATCGATTGCAACGGCTCTAGCCCATCATCAAGAGCGCGCGAAACAACGGTTCGCCTCCGCTTTGCCGTGGGTATCGGGTTGGCTGAAGCGTGCGCGCAAGACGAGATAGGTTCGGAGACTCGGCGGAGACCAGCCTTCCCAGCCTTCCCCGCAAACGGATCTGAGGCTTGGTGCAAAATTTTCTCAGAGGAATGAATCTGCCTCGCGAGTTTCAGCGTTCGGTCCGGCGGCTGTCCTGCGATGCGAAGGGGTCTGATTGATTGATTGATTGACTGGCTGCTTGACTCGTTTGGGAGGCATCATCCGAGGTGAAACAGATTCAGCGCCAGTCTTTTTGGTCTGCAACGCCATGGCGAGCCGAGAAATGTGAGAAGTCGAGTTGGCTTCTGCGCTGTGAAGCGGCATCATGACGCACAAAGGAGCGTTAATTTTGGACTCTAAAATCTCGCGATTTCGAGTCAGGGATCGCGAGCCTGTCTTGGCTGTTCGTCAACCTTGAAATGACGTTTTTTAGGTTTGGTTCTCGCTATCATCATTGATGGTCTAACACAGTGGCCCAAAACAGCGTTTCATGCCCCTTTCTTCGAGCCAGGAGACGCCAAGCTTCGACCTGCAGCACCCTGCCTACTCTCTCTGGGCAGTAGTGGGTGATCGCGAGCTGCAGTATCCTTCTATGATCGTGCCATGCCGAAGTTGTATGGTCGATGTGTAGAAATGTGGTGGAATTTTCGCGCCTCTTTTTCTGTCAGCTTTTCCGTTCCGAGTTCAAACGGGTCCCGTTGCAAGCAAAAGCATGTCTACCGCACGAATTGACAGTGTGGAAGTAGGCAATGGCTGTTCAAGCGGTCCTCCGACGTGGTCTACACCGTTCGAGAGCACACACAAGCAGCAAGCCGCGAGAAGCAGAATGTTGCTCTGAAGCGCTCCCGTGGTGTCGAGCATGATCGATATCGATGCGAGCAAAAGCGATCGAATCGGCACAATGGCCGATTGTTTTTTCTCTCTCCACGTGACAGGCATCGCGGCTGCGCGTCTGACAGGCCTCGGCAATCTAACGAGCAGCAAACGAGCGGTTTATCCTGGACCCTGAACTGCATCGAGCGCAACAACACTTGGCAGCCAGCATCAGCCACTCAGAGGCCAATGCTGTAACGTGTGACAGACCCAGCTGTCATGGGGGACGGACAGAACGCGTTCAGTATGACGATGTCCCACACAGCTGCGGCCGTGCTCGGATGGAAGAAATCGGGCGTTGACAACCAAGAGGCGAGGAGTGTGACTGTAGAGAGCAGAAGAGGCATCATGCATGTGAATTTCACTTGCAGACCTTTTCCGTGATCGCATCTCATCTTGGACGTCTCCATCTGTCCCTTACACCTTGGTCACCGTCGACGCCACGCAATGTACGGAAGATCGCTAGAAGGATCCGGGGCAGTCCAAGACGCTGCAAGTCGCATCACCGGTCTGTTCTTGGAAAAGCAAGCGGTTCGGGCTTGAGCTGCTCGAACCCCGGGGTTGAGGTCCAGCTGTCGCCGGCTGCTCAGTGCATTTTGTGCTCTGACGCACAAATTCGAGTCTCCGCTCGGCTGTAGCTGGCTTTTTTCGTATTTCTACGAAATCACATGAATTCTGCCATTTCGATCTGTGCGACTGTGATCCTGCGGTGTGATGGTGGTGCTGCTTCTACTGTGGTGACGACTGAAGCTGTATTTGCAGTTCAGACGCACTCCTTTGCGTTCGTCACACTCCTCACCGTCTCGACGCGAAACAGCACATACCTCAAGCGGCGGGATGCGGGCTGGCATCGACAAGACTCAGAGCTGGGTCTCTTGCTGCCGAAGCTGGACTCGATGTCAAGCCAGTACAAGGTCGATCTCTTTCATAGCACGCACGCAAGACAAATCGTAAGGGGGCAGCGCGAGAAGGAGCGAAAGCAGGAGCAGCTGCTAAAAGAACCCTGCGCGATGGAAAAGGGTTCCTCCTTGTTTGTGAGTGGATCGACCTCGCCTTGTTTGGTTGCTAGCAAAGCCGTGTTTGGCTTCGACCTTGGCCTGGGCTGCGCTGCTGTTCTGTGTGTGATCCCGACATTCGGGTCAAGTGGCCCTTCCGCTTGCCAACAGCGCAGATTGTCTCATCCCACTGCAGATCGCCGCTTGTCGTCTAACTTTCTGACAGGCCGAGATGTCTGTGCGGCCACGATGCAGTCTTTGTATGCAGCGCCCTTCCCGCATGCTCGCTCTTGTTCTTTTTAGTGTGTTGTGTTTTTTCATTTTCCTTTCTGCATCTTTTTGACCGAGGCCAGCAGGTCAGCTTGGACATGCCCCGTCGGTTGACGGTCGTCTCGTGCGATGTGGTTGTGACATGTGTATCCTAGTGCGCTCCTCCATGATTCTCGAGCTTGTAGCTGCGACAGCCTCTGCGCACTGTACCAGCGAGAGGCGGTCACGACCCACCGCAGCAGCGGCTAAGTTAACCCTTTTTCTCTTTTCGTTTGGTCGTGTCTTGGTCGCCTCCTGGTCCGATGCGCCTTTCCCGTGGGATCCATCGGCGCTTGTCTGACTGCCTGTATTCACTGATCCAGACCCTTTGTACCAAGTTCTTTCTCGAAGACGCAAGTGAAGGCGATTGTTTGCTCAGTCTTTCCACCAAGTCAAGCCAAGCCTTGCCAACGGCCTGTCTCGAATTCACTTGTCGACTCGTATCTCCCTTTTTACAGGTCAGGTTCTAGACAGCTTCGTCTCATCTGCGCAACTCAGCTTCGCTTTGATCTACACAGCAGCCTCGAGTGCTGACTGGCAGGCCTGAGAATGCGAAACTGGGAGATTGGTGAGCGTGAGACTGCGCCAATAGCATTTCATTTCGCCGCCTTCCTGCAGCACAGCCAGCCAGCCAGCTGCGGTCATTGTTTTTGTCTCGATGTTTTTTCGTTTATTGATTTATTTACTTATTTATTTTCTGACTGGAGCAGCTGAGTCTTGGTCTGAGTGGAAAAAGGTTGACAGCCTCTGTGTGTCTGTTGTGATTGTCGAGCCTCTCCTCCCTCTGACGCTCACAGCCCACCACAGAAAGCCACCCTGCTTCGATCCTCTCTCTTCATTCTGCGCCTCTCACTCGACCTTGATCTGCTTGCTCGCGCTCCTCCTTCTCTTCTCCATCATCGTCCTCATCACCACTCCACCACTCCACCTCTCCTCCTCTCCATCTCCTCTCCTCTCGTACTCCGGCTCGATATCTTCGTGCTCGACGCTCTTGCCGTGTCGTCTTGCACAACAAGCCGTTGTCTTCACAGCTGGACGTAGGAACCGAACGAGCTACGGGTTCTCTCAAGTGTCAAGATCAGGCCTGCTTCGTCTGCACCCACCCCAAACGGTCTACAGCGTCACCAGCTCGGAACGTATCTCTTCCCTTCGACTTCTCCCACCCCCCTGCATCGCATTGCCTGCTCGCCTATCTCATTTGCCCGCCTTAATCGACATCCGCATCTCCTCATCAAGCCTTTTGCCAGATCATCCCAAAAGCATCCCCATATACCTTTGCATACATTCGCATCAGCTCATCGCTGCGCCATTCATCAGCACGGTAGCAACGACCTTCTCACGACCCCAGCATACAGCTCCGCCTCTCCACACGCAAGCTTACTCTTCTCCGTCTACGGACATCGTCAGAGATAGATCAAAGCCCTCTCTTGCGCAATCTCATCTGTAGTAGCGCACAGCTTCCTTTTCACGCCTATAGCATCATCGATCCGACACCGATCCATGCGCTTCTCTCCCACATCAGCGCCAGTCCTCTAATTCGAGCCACGGGTCTTCTATCGAGACTTGAACAAGCCCTTTCTTCATCCTTGCAGCAATATGGCTCAGCCCTCAGTAAGAGTGAGTACTTGTTCCCGTACATCTCGTACCTGCCTCTCCACTCATCCTGACTGACACGCTGAACCATTGATCATCTCTTCTGGCTACGTTGCCTCCCCTCGACCTGTGCAGCAGCACAACGTGACCAGGTCACGCATCGCTCGACCCGGGGGAATCCCGGCTTCCCGTAGCGGCGACCGCATCCACCTCACAGAGGCTGCCTCTTCCAGCCACCTCGCAAAAGCCAAAGGGCCAAAACAGATCGGCGTCGTTGCCGCTGCTGCAGGTGGCAAGCTTCGAGCCGACTCTTCGAAAGCCATGCCACAGCGTGCTGCCCTCTCCGACGTCAGCAACCGTGTTGGCGCCGTCCGAGGCAATGCTAACGTCGATGGCGCCGTCAAGCTGGCGCCCGGCCAGCAAGGCCTGCGTGTCCAGCACACCAAAAGCATGACTCGTCTCCGCGATGCGCGATCCCGATCCACAACAGAGGAAAGGCTTCCAGGGCCCACCCGATCGCTCTCGGAGCAGCACGATCTCGCATCCGGCGGCGTACAGTCCATGGAGGTGGAAGCGCCTCGACTGCTCCCTCCCTTCCAGAGCTCCGCCTCGATCAAAGCAGGCATCCAGAACGGCGCAAGCAGCAGCAAGTTGCAAGAGGATGCCGAGATCGAAGATCTCGCCGCTGCGCACGACGATGATGTCGACGAGGACGACATGTCGGATGTCCACTCGACCACGGACAGCGATGACGATACGGGAGAAGATGTCGATGTTGACCACGGAAGCTGGCTCGAGTCCGAGAGGCTCGACGCTGGGGCAAGACCCGAGAGCGTCACCTCGGCAGAAGACGGTGACCTGCTCGACTTCAACATCGACCCGGAAGGTCTCGTCTCATTGCATCCGGAGCTGGAAGAAGCGGCGCGACGCAAAGTGGCCTTGATCAAGTCCCGATACCAGGAGGAAGTCATTGCGCCTCGCGCCGCACGCGCGCAGCTGCAACGAGCCGAACAGGTGGCCCTTGGTCAGCTCACTGCCGACCTCGCCGCACACGAGGATGAACTGATCGCCATGGGCCTCGACCCGGAAGAGGTGCGCGACACCAGCATGGTCGCAGAGTACGCCACCGAGATTTTTGGCTACATGGCGCGATGCGAGCGAGAGACCATGGCAAACCCCAACTATATGGAGTTCCAGAGCGAGATCCACTGGCACATGCGCGCGACGCTCGTCGACTGGCTGCTGCAGGTCCACATGCGCTACCACATGCTACCGGAGACGCTCTGGATCGCCATCAACATTGTCGACCGCTTCCTCAGCGTCCGTGTCGTCAGCCTCGCCAAGCTGCAGCTCGTCGGTGTCACCGCCATGTTCATCGCCGCCAAGTACGAGGAGATTCTCGCTCCTAGCGTCAAGGAGTTCGTCTACATGACCGAAGGCGGCTACTCGCAGGAAGAGATCCTCAAGGGCGAGCGCATCATCCTCTCGACGCTCGACTTTAACGTCTCGTCCTACTGCTCGCCCTACTCGTGGGTGCGAAAGATCTCCAAGGCGGACGACTACGACATCCGCACGCGCACGCTGTCCAAGTTCCTGATGGAGCTCGCGTTGCTCGACCACCGCTTCCTGCGTGCTCGCCCTAGCCTGATCGCGGCTGTTGGCATGTTCTTGGCCAAGAAGATGCTCGGAGGCGAGTGGGACGATGCCTTTGTCTACTACTCTGACTTCACCGAGGAGCAGCTGGTGCCTGGCGCGAACCTGTTGCTGGAGCGCTTGCTGGACCCCGGCTTCGAGGAGCAGTTCGTCTACCGCAAGTACGCCAACAAGAAGTTCCTCAAGGCGAGTGTCTTTGCGCGCGACTGGGCCTACCAGAACCACAGCGCACTGCTCGCTGCCGCCGCCGCCGCCGCTGCGGCAGCTCAGTCCCAGTAGACGTTCTGCCCTTTCTCGACATCGATTTTCCGTTCGTACTTGGCGACAGGGAGGAACACAGCCGCGAATCTGCATAGCTGAGGTGGCACCCACATTCTTTTAGTTCTATCATTTGTTACGTCCAACTGCTCACCTCAGTCTCGCAGCTCATCATCTCCTTGTCTCAAGTAGGACAGGGCGCCCTTGCATCCGACGCACGACGAGGCCTCTACTGAGGTCGCTCGGTACTTCCCTCTGCATACCCTTTCTACCGACGTCGCTGCGTCTTCGCATATCCCTTGATGCTTATCATGCTTTCGTACTTCGACTTCTTGGTCTGTGTCCGCTTCATACCTCACGTTGTTACGCCCGTCCGTCATCGTTTGTCGGCCAGTTACATTTTCATCTGATCGTGATCATTCATGTTTGATACTCTGTGTAGGAGACTGAAGACGGTGAGGATGCGTGATGGGAGATTGCGCGAGCGACGCACTGTTTACTTGCAAGGTGTGGTGTAGCTACTCGCACACTCGAAAAGGCGGCAAGGACCTGTGCGGGGCTGTCAAGCGTCAGAGCAAGGCCCGGGGAGATGCAAGGGGTCCGGCGTCTGGTCATGCACATCGCGCCCAGTTCGCACCCTGAATCTGCCCGCAGGATCCCATGTCACACAGATCTGCCTACGGCGGAAGCCATACTCTTGTCCGTCGGCTGTGATGCTCGAGCCTCGCATCAAGAGCATCTACCGATCGGCTAGACACAAACAGCAACTTGGCTCGGGCGGTCTGGCATGTGGTCTTCTCATTTCAGTGGCAGAGGAGGTCCAAGTGGCTTGGCTGCGTTTCAGCTGGCCTTCCCTGCTCGACCTCATTTGACACGGGGCGGCAGCGCCTTACTTTCGTGTCAGGACGAGTCGAGCCTAGCAAAGCATGAGGCTTCCAGCTGGACCCTGACAGCTTTGTTTCAGGGCCAGCGCCAAGCTGCCTTCGGTACGAGTCTCTTAGCGCTGCGGGCGGGCGTTAGCGTGTTAAACTCGTCATCTCGGTTTGCGTGTGCGGAGAAGACAGCGGTAGAGTCGGCTGGTCTCACCATATTCGTCGACGATTCGCCTCATCGAAATCGGGCAACCGTGCTGAGCATTTGAAAATGCGGCAGCAGCCAAGTTCAAATTTGCAAAAGCGCCATTTCCAGACGGAGAGCCTCGTATGCAGCTCGACAGCTTGCCTTGCAGTAAAAACGGACAGAGCAGCAGATGGCGACGACGCGCTGAGCCTTTCGCCGCTGCTGCTGCATGCAAATTGGATTTGGCTTTGGCCGGCTCATTTTCGCCTTTGGGTCGAGGCCACACGGCTGAGCCAGCCCAGCCCCTCTCCGCTTGGGTCGTCCGTCGGTCGTCGTCATTTCTCTGAACCCTCGAGCAATGCTCGCTTATATTCAGCTTTGTCTGCCCATCATCTTCCATCGCGTTGCAAGCAGGTGCTCAGCGTCATCCTTCTCTACTTCGCTGCTCAGCATCCGCCGCTTGCCTTCCAATCGTCATCACCACCACCTTCACTAGCCATCGCATATTCAGCATCTTATTACAGTAGCTCAGCTCGGCCCTTTCCGTCCCAGCAAGCCGCTTCATCGTCGACTCAGCCCATCCTTTGCTGTACATCTCTCATTTGCAGGCCATCAACTCCAACTCGCGCTCGTCGTCAAGACGCTCTGAATCGACTCGCAGAAGCATCCTGCCCCGTCATAGCAGCGTTGCTTCTTCGTCTCTGATCGCATCATCGTTGACAACGGCACACCGACTCAGCCTGTCCTTTGGCACATCGTGGCATCATTCTACAGCATCTGCTCGACGCCGTTTACAGAAGACTCTTTCTTGCTGCACCTGCTCTAGTGTGCCGCATCGTCCAAGCTGCTCGCGAAGCAAGCCTTCTGCTCTCGCACATCCTTGCCGCCGTCTCCTTCGACGGGTCGGAACCTGTTTGCACGCACCTCCAGCATCCATCTCTCCTTGGACCCGTCGCATACAACAAACACTGGCCATAGTCCGAGTGCGCTGCCAATACACGTCTGTCAGCATCTCTGCCAACAACCACAAGCGCTTCGGCGGAGCCACGGTCCACTTGTTCGCTCACCAGCATCGCATCCTCTCGCCTAGCATTTCGCTCCGCCCTTGCATCTCGATGCGCAGCTACTGATCCTTCGTGGCCTCCTACATTCGCTTCTCAGTCCGCAACTCTCTCCTTTCTGTCAATGGCTTTCGGCATCAAGTCGCTTTACCTCGCATTCGCATAGCATCTCGATCATATAGCACCAATACCACCCGCTCTGGTCCGTACGCATCTCCTTGCGTACGTGACCCCCTCCTCCAGCCGCGATGAGGGAATCCAACTTTTGCAATCCCGCCCAGAACAAGGCGAGCGTCTGCATTTCATCCGCCGTCTATGATCGCAGAGCCATCGACTGCACGGCAACGCTGCCGCTCATCAATTCGCTTAATCACCTTGCCTACCTCACCTCGACCTCACCACGCATCAGGGAGATGGTCACGCTCGATGGAGGTCTCGAACGTCTCATTCGCATCCTACGCACCGTACCAAAGACGCCATCTCCGCAGGTTCGTGCTTTCTCGATCAAGGAGATGCAGGCGGTGTGGAAGTGGAGTCTCGCTTTCCAGTGCGTCGTCAACATCGGCGTGCGTGGCAGCGAGAGCGTCCGAACCCGCGTCGTCGAGGCAGGCATGGTCCCCGTCACCATCCGTGTGCTCGAGTCCTATCTCCGAAGCATGGACAGGCTAAAAGACGAGCGACGCAAGGAGGCCTTGTTGCATCATCAACGTCACGAAGCACGTCGGGAGGACCGCTCGCATCGAGACCGAGCCGAGCCCGCCTCGATGTCCAACGCTCACCTTAACGCCGTCGACGAGGATCGCGCGCGGCGACATCACGCTTCGCACGACGCTCAAGCCGCACCACCTGCCGTCGATCACGAGACGTCTTACGCACCTGCAAACGCGCCATTAAATCCAACGCGCAGCGCCGAGACCCTACCAACAGCACACTATACGACCGCGCCTACACCACAGAATGCACCAATACACGCCAGCGCACAAGAACGTCTCCTTGCCGAGACACGACCCACCACGCCGCTCGAGGGTCCCGTCTCGACACGGCGTACATCTGTGTTCGCCGATATGGAAGCACAAAGCAGCGTGGACGGCTACCTCCCGCCTCAAGCCTCTCCGGTCCCTCTTGTCGATGCCAATCAAGCTCACCCTGGGATGCCCATGATCGACGCGATCGACCCTCTTTCGCTCGCATCCTCCGGCGGCGTTCCTGCTGTCGCGCCTGATGGCACACCCAGGGCGCTGAGCTCCGCGCAGGCTGGCAGCTCTGCCGAGGATCTGCGAAGTCATGCTGCCGAGGCAAGTGGCAGCGGATCCGACGGCGCCGAAGATGCCGAGATGTTTGCAGACGACGCCGACGACAGCGAAGTCGATGCAGTGCAGTCTTTTGCAGCGCGATCCAACGACTCGGAAGCTTTGCAGATCAACACTCAGAACCAGATGAGTGCCGACGACGACTTTGAAGACCGCCGCACTCCACGTCCTGCTCGCCGCGCACTCGCGCCGCTGTCTGGTCAGGATGCACCTTCGCGGTCCCCACAGAGCTTCATTACACCTAACAGGCCGACGAACACACACGCGCCGCCTCTTTTTGAACGACAAGACACCGTGCGGCCTTCGCGAGGCTTCGCCGCCGCTTCGGGCTCGCGGGACGTGGCCTCCACCAATGTGGCTCACACAGCGCTTGCGGCACAGATTGGTTCGCGAGACTCGACCCGCCAACGTGACTCGCTCCCTGATCGACAATCTTCAGCGGAGCAGTCGTTGCACAGCGAGCAGCAGGACATGCACGAACAGGCACAATTAGCTGCGTCACAACAGACACGCCACCAACACCATCAGCAGCAGCAGCATCATCACCACCACCATCACCATCACCATCATCATCACCATCAACATCAGCAGGATCAGCAGCAAGATGCACAGATGGCGCGCCAGGACGCCCGACAGCATCAGCACGCTGCTCCTCGTGATGAAGCACGTACTGCCACCCAGAGGACTACGCAGCCTCCTGCAGATGCAGCGGTGGCCCATCCAGCTGTTGTGCAACTGAGCAACCTGGCTGACACCAATGCGCGAGCAGGTATTGACGTTGTCTACCGTGAAGAAGAGGTTTTGCTCAGCCTTCAGCTGCTTGCCTATCTCTCGAAGTACGCACACGTCCGTATCCTGTTCCACTCGTCCGACTTCACCGGCGCATCGCTCACGGGTCCCCTTGACGTGCTCAACGAGGAGCTCGAGCAAGCCACCAAACGCAACAAGAGTTGGGATCCATCCGAACCTCCGCGCAGCAACGTCTTCTCCATCGCCGAAAAGTTCACGCTCCGATCCTCGCGCAGCTCTTCCAGCTACCCCGCGCCCCGCCTCTCCATGGAGATCCAGTACTGGGCTGGCGTGATCATGCGTAACGCGTGCCGCAAGGACGAATCGCGAGGCGGGATCCGCCAATGCGCCAACATGCTCTGTGGCAAGTGGGAGGAGTATCCTCGCGAATTCGCCAAGTGCCGCCGTTGCCGCAAAGCCAAATACTGCAGCAAGCAATGTCAGAGCAAAGGCTGGCAAATGGGTCATCGCTACTGGTGCAGTGCCAAAGCGGACGAAGGCGATGCCAAGGACAAGGAGCGCGAGAAGGCGAACGATGCTCAGCGAGCGGGACGCCACGAAGATGGCGACGGCACTGGACCTCATATTGTGCCAATGACCGCCCACGATGCTGGACACGCGGGCTTTGCAGGCGCACTTCCTACTGATGGAGGGGATGGGCTTCGTAATGCCAATGCGCAGCGACTCCCTCGCGCCGGCGAAATCGATCTCGACGATATGAACGACAACGATGTCAACCGAAGGCGGTGGCAAGCCGAAAACTCGGAGGCACACGTCACGCGTGATGGACGTAGTCGAGCCCGCAGCAATGCTCGCCCGAACATGGACCTGTCTGCAGGTGGTTCCACCCATGTGTCCGCCGCAGCATTCGGTACCCATCAGCATCGATCTGGTGGCGACGTGACGGCGGACGGCAATCCCATGGATGCGCATGCCCTTGCTGGGGCTCGACCCGGAAGCTCGTCGGAGATGCATCGTCTCGCACCCTCTGCATCATCGTCTGTAGACATGCTCGTAGACCCGAGGCATGTTGCCAGCGCTAGTGAGGCCGACGAGGCATGGGCCGGAGCTGCTGCCGGATCTGGCGCGATAGCGTCGGCGCCTTACTCGAACGTATCTGGCGTAGCTGGATCTGCATCGACTCCACGATGGTACGGCGCTGATCGTGGCGGTCTGGCGGACGGAAGCGTTGGTGCGTTTTCGTCCAACGCATCATCTCCTGCTCGAGCCTCGCATGTCGACAGCTCTGCTCAATCGTCTTCGCGAGGCGCTCGTCGCAGTGCGCTGCCTGGCTCTATGGGGCTGCCCTCGTCGATGCTACGCCAGGACCTGCGCGACCGAAGGGTCACGAGCCTCGCCAGTCTAGATACTGTCGATGGCTCCGACATTAGCGAGGACGAAACGGAGCGACGACTCGCTCAGACCCAGGGGATCCTTCCGGCCTTTGCCGCCGCCGCCGCTGCTGCAGGGCTTCGTGCTCGCGAGGGTGAAGCTCCTCCGCAAGCGCCTCAGCGGACAGACTTGGCAGGACGACCTCTGCCACCACCGGTCATCGCGTCTCAGAACGGCGAAGAGGACGAGCTGGCACTGGGCGGCCGCGCTACACCGGGCGTTGGTGGAGAGCAAGACTTTGCCACGGGCGAGATCGACCAGATGCTCGGCCACTGGGCCACGAGGAGGCCAGGTGGAATCGGCATGCAGCAACGACTGGCTGAAGTGCGTCCTGATCTACCTTCACCCGAGCGATCGCTGTCGCCCGAAGCCGTAGCCACGTACGGAGCGGATCCCTCTGAAGCGACCACGGGCGCTCGTTCGGATGACGAGGATCTCGGCGCCACGTCGAGAGCAGCTCGGTACGCAGGGCTGTACGGACAGGCGCCGTTCCAAGCCGGCATCGTGCGTGGCCAGACGCCGCAGCCGCACCATCGACTGCATCAGCAACGGTCTGCAAGCGGCTTCAGCCAGTTCGGTGCGCATGGACCGAGGTTCGGCTACGGCGAGTCGATGGGCGAGCCCTCGACGCTGCAGGGCTACAGACCATCGTCGATGGTGTCTTCTCCGCTCGCGCAGACGCCTGTGCGCCGTAACAGCGGACACCACCTCCATGAGGCGTCGACCAGCATCGTCAGCAACCTGGAGCACGCCGCGCAGAGTCTGAGGCATGTGAACCAGCGACCTGCCAGCAGTGCTAGCAGCTTAGCAGGTGGACATGCTTATGACGACGATGTGGCCATGACCAATGATGTCGCTTCGGATCAAGGGGCTGCTAGCTCCAGCCATTCCCGATTCGCGTCGTCAGAGGATGAGGTGCTGGACGACGGCGACGATCGCGATGATATCAGCATGGAGTTGTAGTGCTGCAGGCTGACATGCATGTAGGTGCATCGGAATATCATTATCTTTTTGGACGACTGCGTGGCGGCGTTGAGGTTGCGGAAGAGCTACGAAGGAGTGGTCAAGAGCGATCATGAGTGAGTGCAAGTGTGAGCGTAGAGGATTGAGGAGGAGACCTGCCACAGCTGACAGCGCTGTGCAAGCGGACCAGACACGTGCGCTTCTGCAACCCTGTTTTCTTTCGATGGCCCAAGTCCCAGCCGCACGGTCGCCGCAGAATTCACCGATAACCTACGCCGCGTTTCTTCTCATTCCAACCTTTCTCTCTTCCTACGACACAGACATCCATCCAGCATGCCGTCCAACGCAGCACCTGCTGCGGCACCGGCAGCCGATGGTGCCCAGCGCACCGACTGGAAGCGCACGCTCGGGCGCGCGCTCATCATGTACATTGGCGTCAATGCTGTCACCAACCCCAAATCGCCCGTTGCCGGCTACATCAACAAGCTCATGGGTCGCGAGTTCAGCGCGCCTACGCCTGCTGCCTCTTCCGCACCCGACTCAACATCGATCGCTGCTGGTCTCACGCCGTCCTCGGCAGTGGCGGGGATGCAAGTGCCCGAAGCAGCGCCGGTGAAGGGCCCGGCCAACGTCGCTTTGCCCGCGTGGAGCGACGATGCGCAGCTCGACTTCTATGTCTTTCTCTCTTCGAGCGTCGCGCCGGACGAGAAGCTGGTGCGAACGCAGGCGTCGGATCTGCTACCGGATAGCGGCCTTGAATTGGCGCCGCCCATTCCCTTCGATGCGTTCACAGATCTGCTGCAAGATCCGCTGCACGAGAGCAGGCGGGAAGAGGCCATCGCCTACCCTTCGAAGAAGGCAAAGGGCGAGCTGAAACCCTTGGCAGCGGTCAAATGGTCGAACATCCGCCTGGACGATCTTGGTCTGTCAAAGGATGTCGATCTGACGTTGCCGCTGGACGACGTGGCGAGAAGGCACAACGGGAGTATTTGGGCTGACTTTGTTGTCGCTCAGGCGGGTGTTTCGCCGAACCCGCAGGATGGGACGCATCAGCCGCTCGCAGCTTTCAGAACGAGGAAGTTGCTGACGAGGCTGATGCCCTTGAAGCGCAAGCGCAAGGAGAAGAACCTGTTCGACAAGGCCAATGCCACCCTCTCTTCCACTGAAACGGTTGCAGAAGAAGAGGAAGAGGAGGAGAAAGTCAAGATCGTCGGCCACTGGCACTCCAATCTAACCCTCGCGTTGGTGCAGGACAAGGGCGATGCTGGAATCCAACTCTCTCAACTTCCGCCCGCGCTGCTGCAGCACGTCAACGTCGTCCGCGAACCCTCGACGCGCAAGATGGTGGTTGCCCCACCTCCGGCCGACGCCCAAGCGAAAGCGGCCCTCGAAGCGCAGTACGCGGCGGGTCGACCACCCAACGTCCTCCGCTACCCCACTGTCTTCCCAAACGACTTCTGGCTGCTCAAAGACCACATGTACCCCCTCAACGAAACCGTCTCCGAGGTCCAACTCCATATCCGACTCTACCACCAGAGCTGGTTCAAGTTCCAAACGCTCGCTGCGCTTTCCGATAGCTTTGACAAGCAGGCCAGTGCGACGGGGAGCGAGATCGACATGTTCAAGACGATGTTGCTCGAGACGAACCCTTGGTTTTTGGCATTGACGATCATCGTGTCCATCCTGCATAGCGTGTTCGAGTTCCTCGCGTTCTCCAGCGACGTGAGGCATTGGAAGAACAAGGATGATCTGGCGGGCGTCAGTGTGGGGAGCATCGTCACCAACGTCGTGGTGCAGCTCATTATCACGCTGTATCTGTTGGACAATAACGAGGATACGAGCTGGATGATTCTGGCGGGGCAGGCGGTGGGCGTGCTGGTGGAGTGTTGGAAGCTCACCAAAGCTGTTACTGTCGGTATCGTCGCTGCTCCTGCCGGCTCATGGGTGCCGTATCGCCTCAAGATCTCGGACAAGCACGTGTTATCGGAGGAAGAGCGAAAGACGCAGGAGTTCGATCGACTCGCGTTCAAGTACACCGGTCTCGCCCTCGGCCCCGTTCTCGTGGGCTACACCATCTACTCGGCCCTCTACCAAACCCACCGTGGCTGGTGGAGCTTCACCATCACCACCGCCACTTCGTTCGTCTACGCCTTCGGCTTCGTCAGCCTCATTCCGCAGTTGATTGTCAACTACAAGCTCAAGAGCACTGCGGGCATGAACAGCAAGACGTTCGTGTACAAGATCCTGGGTACGTTTGTCGATGACATGTTTGCGTTTTGCATCAAGATGCCGACCCTGCACAGGCTGGCGTGCTTTAGGGACGATGTGGTGTTCTTCATTGCGCTGTACCAAAGGTGGATTTACGGGGTGGATCCGACGCGAAGGAACGAGTTCGGGCAGGTGTTGGAGAAGGGCGAGAAGGAGGGGAAGAAGGGGGATGGCGAGACGGAGGTAGAGAAGGAGACGGGAGCAAAGAGCTCGGCGTTGGAGGACAAGACGGCCGGTCTCAAGTCGAGAGCCAAGGAGGTGGCCAAGTAGCCAGTCATCATTCGATCTTCTCTCGCAGAACCAGATGGGTGCGCAACAGACTTCATTGACCGTCCTTGCGTGTGAGAGAGTGAGAGATACTGGATACTGGCTTTGTGTGTGTGCGTGTGTGCGTTTGTGTGTGTGTGTGCGTGTGTGTGTGTGTGTGTGTGTGTGTGTGTGTGTGTGTGTGTGTGTGTGT